ATAAATAGCAATTTTGCTAACTTATTTGTCGCTGAGACACAGAAAGGACACGAAAGCTTACTTCCTACTGGAACGATTAACTTGCCAAATAAAAACATGATTAAAATCATCACTATATGTTGGATAATTCAGTATTGAATTTATTGCAAGTATTCAAATATTGATCTGTGCCAATGCGCTAATAAAGACATCGTTCAGCCATTAGAGCATTGGAAAAGTTGGACTTCATTCCTAATAGTGTTGAGCATACCCATCGTCTTTGATTCATCATAGACGGTATGGCACAATATTACAAATGTTTTCTGTGTAAATATGTGTGCATATATAGGATAAATGACCGGATTGGCAGATGTGTGTGACATCAGTGTCTTCAGGACACATCTGGCAACAGATTGCATGTTGATCTTGGGTCAGGATGGCTTTTGCCAGCAGAGCTTAACCAGCATGGTGAACCAGTTGACCAGTGCTTATGCCTGAGCCGTGTAGTTTCCACACTGTTTTTGAAGTGTGCTAATCTTTGTTTGTCCCTTCTGGGAACAATAGGACAAAATATGCCATTTATGTAAGCTTTCCTGTTAGCTCTCATTCAGAGATTGTGTGGAGCTGTATGAATATTAATTATTATTTAATATTTATATATTATTATTATTATTCAAGATTTGTGTGATGTACTCTGAAGACTGTAGTAACGATGCTGAAAATTCAGCTTCAGATTTTAAAATATTGTAAAATATAAAACCGATATTTTAAATTGGAATACGATTTCACCATATTATTGTTTTAACTGAATTTTTTATCAAATAAATGCAGTCTTGGAGAGCAGAAGAGACTTTATACACAAGCAAGTTGGGCTGGGGACTTCCATGTGTGGCAGCTTATCAGGAGAAGAAGGGATTGGTAGAATGGAGTGGTGGATAGGTGGAGGAAGAGAGTAAAATCAGTGAAAAGCAGCTTTTGTCTTCCATCTGTGCTTGTGCGCGTCCATACCGCCCCTGCCACCAAAACCCATCTGAGGTGTTATACAATATACGCACTGATATAGTGACATTGTTTTAGTATGCACTCATCTGCGTTCGTTGCTGTCCATTAAAATGAACTGATGTCTGACTTTAAGAGAACAGTAGCGCTTATCCCATAACTGTACTGAGAAGGATTAAACCCCCACCCCTTCCACACACACACACACACACACACACACACACATTATTCCCGTTCACCTCCGTGTGGACTTGAAGACCGGGCTTTGACCTCATTTTCAGCATGAGATAGAGAGAAAACTGATCACACAAGTGGTGTGATATCATCAGTGCCGCCCAATGAGCGGGTCTTCAGCCTGTGACACGCGCGTCCGCCGCTCATCAGTCTCTGGCAGCGCTCAGCCCGATGACGAGGATTGTTGTGTTGTGGGACAGGATTAGGATTAGAAAAAAAGTGTGTCGCACCTGGACATTTTCTGGATGATTCTTGAACTGTATTCCGTACGTATTTGTTCATTCTCTTTTAATCTGTTGTTTTAGAGATTATTGTTGTTAATTTATTCAAGCAGTAAGGTTGGAGAGATGTGCTATATTTTATACTGCTATGGCTTTATAAAGATCTTACTGCAAAGTTCAAATAATAAAATATTACAGAAAATAATTCGAAATTCTTATTGTTTCATCAAGGAAATTCAAGTGATATTAAAACATCTCAAACTGTACAGGCAAGCCAACGTGCGAATAACTTTTACATCATTTATAATAATTCAATATTATATATGTGCATATCATCTCACATATTATTGGGAATTTAATAATTTCATCTTACTTTTTGTCCATACCAGCAACTTCACCTTATTGCATATTTCTGCTTAGTTTGGGCATCTGAATGTTTTTTTCCCCCTCCTCCTCAAGTATAAGCTCCATATTCTCACTATATCATACTATATGAGCCATAAAATCCTGATATATTAAATATGGCGCAAACTTTGTTTAGATTTAGTGTGTTCCATTTCAAAATATTCGATTTTTCTGACTATTATTTCATATGTCATGCATTACAGGTATGTTCACCTAAAGTTCACCTAAAAATAAAAAAATCATTGATAATTATTTACTCTTCCTTTTGTTCTAAACCTGTATGAATTCCTTTATCTTCAAAAAAATATATATATTGAAGAGTGTTTCATGTTTGTCCTTACAATGAAAGTCAATGGGGTCCAAAACAACATCGGCCCCTACTGACCTACATTTTTTTTCTTTAAGGTTTCACAGGTTTGGAACAATGATGTAAATGATGACTGATTGAATATACATATTTTCTTCACATCTTGGTTCTATACAAAATAAAGTGAAGGTTGGTTTGGTTATGATTTTAATCGTGTGTAAAGTCATTTGGTGTATGTTTGTGGTTTAAAGCGCTTTTGTTGGCATGAGTTTGGCTGTGTAGTGAAGTGTAAGATCCGTGACTCTGCCATTGTTCCAGTAGTTGCCATGGATGAACCTGCTGTGCTGGTCTTCATCAGAAACATTAGATCACGTTGTCATTAATAGATGCCATTAATTAAATTGCTGTGACAACAGCAGGTTAATTCAGGGTGAGGTGTGAAACCAATGCAGTGGGACAGGCCTGTCTGCATGCACAACTTGTGTGTGTGTGTGTGTGTATGGATGTTTGCATTCAATGCAGTGTTATTCATTTTAAGATTTTTTTGTGAAATGTGTGAATAGCTATAATCGTGATTTAATGTGCGATTAGATGTATTGTTAGATGTTTGATTAGGTCTTATTTATTTTGTGGATGTTTAGGACACCAACATGTAGGAAAAAAAGTCATAGCATAGGCAAACTTTTTTATTTAATTTTGATGAAGACAAACATTTTCTTTGGCATGGTGTGCTGAATGATAGTTCACAATAAGACCAGTAACATGTGGAATGTAAAGATGGTCATTTTGGTCGCTTTCAACGCAGTCAATGAGTTGATGTAACATCTTTTAGGCTTGAATCACCGGCCTGAAATGATTGTCTGTTTTGAGAAGTAATAATAGGTATCATGAACATCGGTTGTGTCAGCTGATGCTCAGGAATGTTGGTGACAGGGTTTGACCAAATTCAGAAATGAAGAATGGGATTCTTTTTAATTCATGAGTAATGTTTGACCGATAATGATTTCTTTATTCTCCATCTTAGAAAGCAGGGTGACCGATGGCTGATATAAACCTGATTCATATGTCAATGTCAATGTTATATATATAGCACCATTATACACAACCAGGGTTGACCAATGTGCTGCACAATATAAACCGAACAACTTGACAATACAATATAATTACTAAAATCCAATGCAATAAAACTTCCTCGTTGATTATAAGCCAAATTAAAAAGATAATTCTGATTTAAAAACAGATAGTGATGATTTTTATGAAACATTGTTGTATTCATTCTAGGACTGCGTGATATTTCGAAATAAAAGTGATGTTGCGATATGGGTTAGTGTGATTGCCATTGTCATCGTGCAGGATGCGTAAATATACAGTATGTGCTAGCGGTTTCAAAGTGTGGTTCATGATAGTGTTTCAGAGACTCGGAACAGTTGAATCATTTACTGTGAATCAAGCCGTTCTGAGATGTAAATGAACATACAGTGCCTTCACTCTGAAACTGGCAGCACATGTATTTATTTGCCTGCAACCCATCAACATAAAAGCTTGATGGTAAACCATTTGAAAATGAAGAAATATAGGGCCAGATTTACTAAACAGAGCAAATTAGCGTCCCTTAAAAGCGCCGATGGGAGTGTAAAATTCTGCGCATGATCTACTGACGACAAGCAAATTAAAGAACACAGATGCAGTCGGATCATTTCCATAATGACCAACTCAATCTACCAAGAGCAGCGCAGATTAGCGCCTGGTTTAAGACGTGCTTTTTTTGTGCGGTAAATAATGGCAGACATACTAGTAAATTGACTAGCACAAACCTTAGTAAATCACCTTGCATGATTCATTTAAATACTCTCCACCCATAAATATTGAGTCTGAAAGGGAAACTCCTACAAATGCATATGCAATAAGGTCAGCTGCAAAAATAACCCTGTCCATGTCTTTTCAGTGTTCATTTTTCACTGTGTCTTCTTTAGTAAATCCTGACAGTAGTTTTTTAACGCCAAAAGAGGGTTTGCACTGTTGCAAGCTGTTAGTAAATATGGCCCTAAAGGCCCTTGCACACTGAGTCCGAAATTTTCGTATGCATTTTTCGTATTCGTGATTCGGTGGCTCTGAATTATCAAAACACCATTCAAACTGCTTGCTACGGATGCGAAGAACGCAGAAAATTTAACGCGATCCAATTTTTTTTTATGACGGACGAAAGTTTCGGAGGCAGTGTGCAAGCGTGATTGACATAACGTGAGGTCGTATTTATTTTTTAACTCAGTGCAAGGGCCTTTAGACGTAAATATTAGTATTGTAATTTTATTAAAATAAAGTATCAAAAAATAAATAAAGTTTAAAGTAAAATAAAATGTATTATTACAATATTTTGTGTTAATATATTTAATAATAATCACAATTAAATCATAATTATTGTTATTTTATAATCGCATTGAATTGGTCAAAAATTGTGTGAATGTGGCCTATAAAAACTCAAATGGAAAGAGTTTTATTTTTTATTAAACCAAAAAAAGTATGAACACCCAGATTTTAAATCATTCAGCCCTAAAAGGATTTCATGCTTAAAACCATTCTTCAGAGTAAAAAGTCATTTTTCAGCTCTCAAAACCACCCAAATCATTCCAGAATGACTCTTTCTTTCCAAATAGAGCTATTCAAATCACTATATATATATCGCAGAAAATATTGCGATGTCAGTTTTATTTTTCAATATGGTGCAGGGCAAATTCATTCCCTTATTTCCCCCCCAAATCCTAAACAGTTGTGTTGAAAGTGTCATTTTCAGTTGTGTTGGATTGTCAGTGTCCAGCCTGTCCACTCAACACCCCTCTGCTGACCTGTTTCCACAGGAAGATCTGTGTGCACTGTAAGTGTGTGCGGGAAGAGCATGTGGTGCGCTCGGTGCCCGGCCAGCTGGAGAGAATGATGATGAAGCTGGTGTCAGACTTCCAGAGGCACTCCATATCCGATGACGACTCGGGCTGCGCCTCGGAAGAATACGCCTGGGTGCCGCCCGGAATCAAGCCTGAACAGGTGAGGAGACCGTCTTCAGGAGAATCTATAGATGCAATGACGTCAAAGTAAAGCGTTAAGTGAATCAGCCAATCACAGCCTCTCTTAAATCCACTCAAGCTTCTCTTTTTCATACAATGAAACAAGACTGTCAAGCTTCAAGAAGGACAAGAAACATCACCTCAGCTGTCCTGTGTAGCGCCAGTGTTGATGTTCAGTTCTGCATTTCATTTTATCCTGGCCAGTAACTGCCCATTTAGACCATTAGAGATGCAAAATCACCCACGCTTGCTTTTCTGTTCAAATGAAACTGGTTTGCGAACTGGTTTAACTTTAGGAAAAATATTACTATTGAACAGTAGAATGTATTTCTCAATTTAATAATAATAAAACTATTAAAACTTAAAAATCAAATCATTTGATGAAAAAAAAAAAAGAATTTTGGGAAAAATAACGGAATTTGGGGAAAAATAAAAAGGATTTCATAAGGACCCAGACATAAACTGTCACACTATTATATGTGTGTATTTGTGTTCTTGTACGTACAGGTTTATCAATACTTCAGCTGTATTCCAGAAGACAAGGTTCCGTACGTGAACAGTCCAGGAGAACGATACCGTATTAAACAGCTCTTGCACCAGCTGCCGGCCCATGACAGCGAGGTACAACCCCTCACATACTTTTTCATGAATTCATCATTCATATTGGCCTGAATACATTAATAGCATTGTAAGAATGTCATGTTGTAAGTCTGTGTTGGTCTTGCGTGAGCTGTAACAGTATTGTAAATGTATGTGTGTGTGTGTGCATAGCCTCAGTACTGTAACTCTCTGGATGAAGAAGAGAAGAAAGAATTGAAGTTATTCAGCCAGCAAAGGAAGAGAGAGAATCTGGGCCGGGGCATCGTACGACTTTTTCCAGTCACCATGACCGGAGCCATCTGTCAACAGGTAGAGAGAGAGAGAGACAAAAACGGCACAGTCTGCTGATGAGATCAGTCCGGATGCAACTCTCCGACTGTAAAATCACCTTCAAATGTGAACTTACTGCTTCCTTCTTCCAGAAATAGTGCATACTTAGCTGAGTACCACTTCAGCTCAAGTATAGAGTGTGCATAGAACTACTTGAGCGGAAGAGGCACTCGTCTGGCATGTGGCTTCTGGAAACTTTTTGATATGCTGTGATAAATTCAAACTCCAGTCTGGCCAGTGCCAAGTCAGATACCATATGCACTAGATAAAACCGCATACTTTCCATACACCCCCTGCAATATTTCATGTGTTTTGCCACATTTCAACACCCATAATGCACTCCAGATGATGAGTAGCTGCCAAGAGGGTGTGACTGTGTTGAGGAGAGGCAGATTATTACAAGTCTTGTTTTGTTGATTTATGTGAAAACCCAGTTTTTTTATGTCATCAAACACAGAACATAGTTAGAATGTAATCTTTCTTTCATATTTCTACTTGTAAAGTTTTTAATTTTGACTTTATAATAGCTTTTAATTATGAGGTGTCACCCTGCTAAAGAACAGGGACGTGCTGTTAAAGCAAAGTTAAAGGGTACTAGACGTGTATTGAAGCAGAATTCACCCTTTTACTCATGGAAAAAACAACCTTGTTAATGATTTTTTTTTTATGTTCAATAAATAATTTCAATTATTGAAGATAAAAATCAGGAGGATAAACTATTATTTAGTCTAGGAATGTCCACCTAGTTGAACTAAATTCTGTTTTATATAAACATTTGAAATGTACAGTCATTTTCATAAAAAGAAATTGACAAAAATGTTTATGACTCATCCTGCACTTTACAGGTTTTTTTGTCCAATCAGATTCTCTGTGGAATGAAAATGTCTCCTGGGGACAGGGGGCATGAAATAATATGAATTATTATTATTTGAATGTTTTTTATTTTATTAAAATTATTTAAGAAAACTATAGTAATAACACTATTGTACTATAACATATATATTTAATATGTAATAATAATGCATTTGTTACAGTAAAATTAATAATATTATTTAAATACATTTTATTTATTAAATTATGAAAAAATTAAGTACATAAAGAAATATTAATTTACTATAGTAATAATTGTATTGTATTGTAAAACAAGATATATAATATTATATAACAATATTTTATAGTACAACAGTAAAATGACAATACCAATATGTATGATATTTATCTTAATTTCTTTGCTTTCAAACATTACATCATAGAGCTTTATTTTGTTATTATATTATTGTTATATTGTTTTCACTGAAAGGTGATAATTCTTTATCTCTGAAGCAGAAAATCATGAATCATCGTTATGATATAAACTAAAGGCTAATGGCTAATAAAAAAAGGGGGGAGTTTTTTCGATGTGTCCTGCAATAACTTCCTGTTTCAAGAGGAAATAAATCAATACAGGGAAGAAAATTGCACTAATCAAGAGATGTCATGGGATCTTTAACTGTTACTGCTATCTTGGTTGTTATATGACATCACAGCGGTCATGTGGGAGCGGTCAGGGCTTCCATAAAATGCTGAGTTTCCAACTTGTAATTATGACTTTCTAAACCTCTCTTCCCATCCTACTCTTTTCTCTTTTTCCCCTTCCCTCTCCTCTCTGACTGTTGATCAGTGTGGAAGGCAGATTTGCGGCGGTGACATAGCGGTCTTTGCGTCACGTGCGGGTCACGGCTCCTGCTGGCATCCTCAGTGTTTCCAGTGCGCTTCCTGTAACGAGCTGCTGGTAGACCTCATCTACTTCTACCAGGAAGGACACATCTACTGCGGGCGGCACCACGCTGAACACATCAAACCCCGATGCCAGGCCTGCGACGAGGTGAACGCTGCACTTCAACATGCAAGCTGTACAACAGCTCTTCGCCCTCTATTGTTCACGCAGTTTCTATTTTCATTTATTTGGTGACAGAATTCGTTGTGTAGTGTTTATCACACATGTGCCTTAGTGCTCACAGGAGACACGGGTTCAATCCTGGCCTACAACAATCCCATTTTATTATATTTACTAAAATTGAATTTGATCCCAGCCCTGCATTACTTACTGAATGGAACAGAAACAAGAGGTGGTGCCACATGACCTTAGACTATATCTCCCTCAGATCATCTTTGCGGACGAGTGTACGGAGGCCGAGGGGCGGCACTGGCACATGAAGCATTTCTGCTGTTTTGAGTGTGAGGCGGCGCTGGGGGGTCAGCGGTACATCATGAGAGAGAGTCGGCCCTACTGCTGCCGCTGCTACGAGTCGCTGTACGCCGAATACTGCGACACCTGCGGAGAACATATCGGTGAGGACAGACAAACAACTCTCTATAACCATATATGGTAACACTTTACTTGAAGGGGTGTGCATAAGACTGACATGACACCTTCATAATCATGACATGACACATGTCATGAATATGAAGGAGGTTTCATGCATGTTTTCATGCATGTTACAACTGTCATTAAGTGTCATTCGCTCAATTATGACATTTTTAATGCAAATATGACATTGTTTGAGATGTCTTGGTAATGACACCTTGACATAAACCAATACATCATAACCTGCCGTGTGTTTGTCATGACAACTTGACATTACTAGACAACACAACCTGTCATAAATATGTCATAGCTGATTAATTATCAAACTTAAGAAACCACTTAGCTTTATGGCTTAAAGCAACACCAAGGAACTTTTCCTCAGCGGTCGCCCTACAGGTTGGAAGCGGAATTGTCCATTACCGCTGTCGTAAATAATTTGGCCTACCGCAGCCTACTGTCGCACGCGCACGCTCGCTGTTTATCCAGCACGGCTTTGGAATCAACAATGGCCACAGACAAGGTAGAGTATTATATATTATATATATATATCACTCACCCTTTTCCTTTTCCGAGTCTCCTCCGACAAAACCTTTGTCTTCTTAGTTTTTGTTACTGCTTCGGCCATACCAAAAACATAAGCACGGAAGCCAGAAAATAAACGCTGGTTGGCCTCTCACGTCCGAATTTGAGGAAGTGGTGGGGGAAGTGACGTATGCCGTAAAGCAGTCGAGTTTTGTAGTTCTTTTTGTGCTCCGGTTACTACCCGAAACCCGAAGTTACATAGTGCGAGTAAAAGCGATGTAGACCACGTCAGGCTATGGCAGATGTGTCATTTAACTTATTGTAAGTCGATGTACCATCACAAGAGTCTTGTAAATATATTATGAAGGTTGAAAAACTACATAGTGTTACTTTAACATTACATTAAACTGTCAGGTGGTTGGTTTTGACATTGGCTGTCATGAGGCCATTATAACATTTTAATGACAAATTCAATTAATACCACTGTAGTTGAGGTCAAGAAAAATATTCATGACACAGTTATAATGGCCTCATGACAGCCAATGTCAAAACCAACAACATGACAGTTTAATGTAATGTTAACCCATAAAGCTAAGTGGTTTCTTAAAGGTGCTCTATGTAACTTTTAGCGGCCTCTAGTGGTGATGTTTCAGATTGCAACCAAATTTTACAAGAGCGCTCGTGCTCGAACTCATAGACAATACCGTCTATTACGCAAATATCTCGCGAATACTAGACGGATTTGGGGAGCACCGAGCTCGTTGGGACCATCTAGTCGAGCTGAAAAGAACCATATAAGTTCCATAGTTTTTTGGGGGGTGTTTTCGCGGAGATATTAGCAGAAAACCATCGGGCGCGCTGCAAAATTGCGGACGCCGGTGACGTCACGATCTCAGAAGAAATCGCTCGTATCTCTGGAACGCAAAGACCCAGAGAGCTCAAATTCGGGGGAGGAGGTCCCAGGGGAACCCTTGCCCGAACGCTAGAGTGGCGGGCCTCGGGGATGCCCCCTACCGGATCGCCGTTCGCTGGGACCCCCGTCCCAGCGAACGGCTATAACTCAGGGAGCCGGGCGAGTTGGACCTCGGGGGTGGGCTCGTTCGAAAGGCCCCGTCCAGCACTACGAACGATTAGAGTCTTGGGAATATTGATCAAAGATTGACTGAGATATAAGCCGAAAAACGTGCGCCTTTAACCGGACGTAACTCCCTGACCGTCTACAATAGACTGTATATAAAAAGGAGAGAGGCTCGGGAGCGCGCATGCACGTCACATCTGTTGGATTTCGCGGTAAATCCGACCCGGAGACTTCACATAGAAATAGGAATTCTGGCCTTCAGAGGTAATAGCAAAAGTCGACAAGTGGATCATTTTAATGTGTGATTACAACCCCTTCACACAAAAAGGATTAATTTTTAGTAAAAAAGTTACATAGAGCACCTTTAATTTTGATAATTAATCTGCTAAGTCATGTTTATGACATATTTATGACAATTTATGTTGTCTTGGTAATGTCAAGTTGTCATGACAAACACATGGCAGGTTATGATGTATTGGTTTATGTCAAGTTGTTATAACAAAGACATCTCAAACAATGTCATATTTGCATTAAAAATGTCATAATTGACCGAATGACACTTAATGACAGTTGTAACATGCATGAACATGCATGAAACCTCCTTCATATTCATGACATGTGTCATGTCATGATTATGAAGGTGTCATGTCAGTCTTATGCACACCCCTTCAAGTAAAGTGTTACCCTATATATTCTTAAATATCACTAAAGTGTAAACCATTTTGGCAGCATCAGTCATGCATCAGCGATTCAGGGGGTTTAAGAGCTGAATTTGTTTAAATGTATTTATCTCAACAACAACAAAAAGAAAAAAGAAATAGTATTTTGCATTCAAAATGTAGCTTTTTTAGGACATTAAGGTGTTTGTTGCATTTTGACATTATTGTCATTACAATTTAGTTTATCTTCCACTTATCATCACCATAATATCACATCAATATAAAGAATACATAATGTGAAGTAAAAAATAATTTAAATTAAAGGCAATGCAACAATACTACTATGATGTATAAAAGGGATTTAATGAATATATTGTTTTGCATTACATTATTGAGAATGGGGGAAATGTACCTCTTTGTCATTATATCAATTAGGCTTTAATTTCTTTATGCAGAATAGAGTCTGTGGTGTATGTATGCATGCATACGAGAGCTTTCTGACCCCACACAGGCAGCAACGTACGTAACCACCACTTTCAAGACCCAGAAAGGTAGTAAAGACAGTTAAAATAGTCCTGTGACTACAGTGGCGACGAGAATACTTTTTGTGTGCAAAAAAACGAAACACAAAAATTACGACTTTCTTTTAAGAATTTGTTCTCTTCCGTGTGATTCTCTGACGCTGTTCACGTGAGCAGCACGACGTGTGTGTGTGATGCTGATGCAGGAGCCGGCCAATACTGAGCCGGTGTTCTGACGTAGAACCAGGAAGTGCTGCACTACAACGTGAATGGCATCAGAAACAAATTTTGTCTAAATCTTACAAAATAGGCTCAGATGATCTTTGGACTGAGCTGCACAGAAATGACTGAACAGATTATTATTATTTTTTTCATCTTTGTTCAAAAGTTATGATGTCGTGCTCTTAACGAGGTCAACCCAAAATTGGTTCAGATGCTGTATCTCGGCCAAACTGGGTTCCGTGGGTTCGAATCCTGTTTGGCACATTACCCAGACCGCAAGAGGTACTCAGGCCAGTAGTGATGCAAAGGTTTCTTCTGCTCCAGACATTGTGTTATTCTGAAATTATTAAATATACCATCCGGTCCACTTAAATACGAAATCTCCATTTTGAGTTGGTTCTCAGTTGAACTATGGGACTTCGGCATCTGTGTGAAAACACGTCTTCCCAGTGGCGCAATGAGATGAGCGACAGGCGACTGACCCGCAGATTGTGGGTTCCAGTCCCATGTGGGGCAACCTTATAAAATTGTGTAATGTTGTGTCATTTAGAGCCAATAGCTGCGGTTCTGCCTTCAAAAACGTATGTCTCTGTAAAATTAAAAAAAACTGTTGTATGAGTGACATACTGTTAAAGCAACAGGCCAGAGCTTTGATGTTTGATCAAATTCAATGTGTAGTAAGTGTTTAACCATTGTGAAATGTTGCAATGTTCAAAGGTTTCCTAATAAAATCCAAAGTCCAAACATGTACATTTGGTTGTACCTGTGCCCGTTTGCCTGTGTTTAATTAGTCTCCATGGTTGTTAACCCCTTAAACCCGAAGTGTACCGGCAAGCTTTTTAATGCATCTAACCATTTTGATCAACTCTTAACGAGTGCTAAGTAGTCCCTCTAAAACAGCGTGTGAATCAGAAATGTTTCTTGAGCAGCAGATCAGCATATTAGAATGATTTCTGAAGGATCATGTGACACTGAAGACTGGAGCAATGATGCTGAAAATTCAGCTTTAATCACAGGAATAAATTCCATTTTAAAATATAACAGACAAGTCATTTTAAATTGTAATAATATTTCTCATAATTACGGCTTTTACTGTATTTTGGATCAAAATGCAGCCTTGAACATATAGATACTTCAAAAACATTTAAAAAGTCTTTGACAAACAAAGCTAGTTTATGCCTTAAGTGTTATATACTTTCAAAAGTATATAACAGGACATATATAAAATGTATAGAAATGTATATCAAAAGTATATAACAGGAGAACTGTTATATATTTGTTTCTCCATTCTGTCACTGATGGAGTTTTGGTTCCTTGCCACTGTCGCGTTTATCATCTTTGGCTTTTGGCTTGCTTAGTTGGGGACATTTAACTTAATATTCAACAGTAATATTGATCTGTCTGCATTATATGAGAACTGAACTGAGCTGGACAATGACATCGCGGTTTTCTCCAGAGCGGCTATATCTATAAATGAACTAAATGAATAACTTTTTTACAACAAAATTGAACCATCACTGAACTTACTGTGACGCTATTTTCTTCTGGAAACAAACTTTGTGGCATTATTTTCCTGTTATCTCTGTAAAGCTGCTTTGAAACAATCTATATTGTAAAAAGCGCTATAAATAAATGTGACTTGACTTGACAAAAGAATGACCTAGTTGCATTTATAAAACATTTATTCACTTGCCTGCTAGACCTTTGTAGGTGTGTTAACATGAACACATTTCTGCAGTCATTTTATGTAATTGCTAGAGATGCAGTACATTCCTTGTTAATTCTGGCAGTAAAAAGCTGAGCAATTACAGATTGAAGTGCTGTGACGTTTGATTTCTCTCTCTGTCTGCAGGTATAGATCAGGGCCAGATGACGTACGAGGGCCAGCACTGGCACGCCTCTGAAGCGTGTTTCAGCTGTGCCTGCTGTCGGCTCCCCCTGCTGGGCAGACCCTTCCTGCCCCGCGGCGGACTCATCTTCTGCTCACGCTCCTGCTCGCTGGGGGAAGACCCAGACAACTCCGACTCCTGCGATTCTGCCCTACAGAGCAAATCAGTGTCACATAAACTAATTCATAATCCGCAGCATAGTTCCACACCACGGCCACAGGGGGGAACCAATGTCCCTGCCGCCACCTCTAAAGTTAGCACAAAGAAGAATGCAGTCATAGCAACTACTACAACAGCAGATAATGGGTGTCATATTCCACTGAAGAGCAAAGGTACAGATGTTATTGTTTACAAAAAAAAACAAAAAAAAACTTTGCTTTTTATGATGCTTCACACATATACGTTATTTTTTTTATTTAAGCACAACATGGAAATACAAAATGTAGCTAAATCTTGCAAGAAATGTCATATTTTAGCACAAAATCAATAGAAAAATCAATGAATATTTTATGAGAATGGAGCCATGGAAAATTGTTGCATTGTGGCTCTTTGAGAAAAAAGCACGTTTTATTATTTTTTATTATTATTATTTATTCTCAGTGGTGATTGAGAATTTTTCTCCCTGAATTCTCATTCTTTAATTAAAAAAACAATTTTAGTAATTCTCTTTCATCTCAATGGTGATTTAAACACAATTAGGCACGTTTGTTCCCAAATTCGTATTATTGCAATAATTTTTTTATATAATTTTCTAAATTGTACAGTACATTTGTAAGTATACGTTATTTATTATTTTTAATATATGATAATTTAAAAAAAAATTCAAGACAAGATGATTAGTGTTTAGGTACAACAACAAAAAAATGACATCTGCATGTTGACTTCAGTATGTGACACTTGAAGACTGGAGTAACGGCTGCTGAAAATTCAGGTGTAAATTACATTTTTAAATATACAATAGTTATTTTAAATTGTAATCATATTTCATAAGTTTTTACTGTATTTTTGATCAAATAAATTCAGCCTTGGTGAGCATAAGAGACTTCTTTCAAAATTTACCAACCAAAAAGTAATGAACAGCCGCGCATTTTTTCAATTCGATTCAATTCACATTTATTTGTATAGCGCTTCTCACATTGTTTCAAAGCAGCTTTACAGAAAATGCAGAGTCCACATTACAAGTTATAGTGATCTGTTATCAGAGGTAACTGTCTTAGTTATGCATTTCAGAAATATACAGGTGAAAAATAGAATATCGTGCTGTAAATAACTTAAATCACAGTTAGCTAAAAATGTGCTAATTTAAACAATGTAAAAATTTAAGGCAGCAACAATGAGCTCATTGAAGAAATGAATACTTGTTAACAAATGATTATGACATAGAAAATTGTAGCATTGGTTCATGTTGATTCAGAGTTTGGTTCATCTGCAGTCCTCACAGATGACTCAAATTGACGCAAATTTTTCAATTTTGTCCTTTGGTTTTGTGGTGAACTATAACTTGTAAATTGGAAAAGCGCCCGCCGTACATACTATTGACAGTGTTTGTTGTCAGAAGCATCTCTAATTATGCCGTTGGTCATTTTGCAGGTGTTCACACATCATTCCCTCCTGTACCGAATGGCGAACCTCCACCGTATGGACAAACTCGCACACAAAACTCACATCTTTCCTCTCAGCTCTGTCTAGTAGCCAATGACAGGGCAGCATTACATTGCAAGGACCAATTGAGCATCAGCACACACCAAATGAATCGCCGGTCAGACAGTCCTTACAGCGCTCTGGAGTTTACAGTGGAGCTGAACGGATATGCAGAATTTGGTCCTTTCCCACCAAACTGCACATCTAGGGGGACTTCCACTGCAAAGGATTGTGGGAACATCGTCGAGATCGGTCGTACAGGTTTGCTTGATGTCATAGAGTCAAATTAATTCAAGCAATAAATCATTTATCAGGTCTGAAGCTGTATTTCTTACTTTGCTTCCTCATAGGAATTTCCTCTCAACTTGAGTCTTCAGATGCGTTTGATGATCTAAACGACTCCGACACCTTTCCGCCTCCTCCGCCCCCTGTTTTCTTCGATCCGTCTGATTCGCAGACGCCTTCGGATTCCCTTCCGGTTGTCACTGAAGACGAAGACCTCCCCACAACACCTGTCCGCAGCAGCACCGCCAGGGTCAGCTTCAGAGAGCCAATCAGCTGCAGTTATTCAGTGGAAGAGGAAGAGTGGGAGGAAGAGGAAGGGGTGGAGATGGAGCGAAGAGAGGGAGAGGATGAGGAGCAGGAGGAAGATGGAGAAGAAGCTGAGGGAAGCTTGGGACACAGGTTGCGCTTTTGCACTGAAGAACCATCTCAAATGGACCTGCTGGGTGAGATCATAATGCTTTCAGCTTTTGTCCTAAGATCCTAATAGCAATAACACAAAATACAGTCTTATGCACGTTAGATGCTACACACACACAAAAACATTTGTTGTAAAGCTACATGCAAAACCACCGCTAGAGAAAACAATCATTTGTTTAATTGGACTTTTGAAACAAAACCAAAATGTGTATTTGCATTTAGCTTAAAGGAACACTCCGACTTTTTGGGACTTTAGCCTATTCACCTTATCCCCCAGAGTTAGATAAGTCTATACATACCTTTTTCATCTCCGTGCGTGCTATAAGTCTGTTTGACGCACCCACCGCTAGCCTAGCTTAGCACAAAGACTGGATGTAAATGGTTGCAGCTAGCATACTAATCCAAATAAGTGACAAAATAACGCAAACCTTTTCCTATTTACATGTTGTGATTTGTATAGTCACAGAGTGTACAAAAAACAAAGTCACATGAGACACAGACATATTTTAACCGTATAAATACTGGGAACTATATTCTCTGAAGGCGAAGCACTGCTACTTGGGCGGAGTGATAACCGCAGCACCTGAGACACGCCGTGGTGAGGAGCAGAGAGTTCGTTCAGAGTGTTGCACTAATCACTCCGCCCAAGTAGCAGTGCTTCGCCTTCAGAGAATATAGTTCCCAGTATTTATACGGTTAAAATATGTCTGTGTCTCATGTGACTTTGTTTTTTGTACACTCTGTGACTATACAAATCACAACATGTAAATAGGAAAAGGTTTGCGTTATTTTGTCACTTATTTGGATTAGTATGCTAGCTGCAACCATTTACATCCAGTCTTTGTGCTAAGCTAGGCTAGCGGTGGGTGCGTCAAACAGACTTATAGCACGCACGGAGATGAAAAAGGTATGTATGGACTTATCTAACTCTGGGGGATAAGGTGAATAGGCTAAAGTCCCAAAAAGTCGGAGTGTTCCTTTAATCGTTCAACAAAGGTACTCAAGTTATTGTAAGAAAAAAATATTTAAGAAATAGAGAAAATATAGAAATGCTGAAAACTAAACTAGCCTGAGTGACAAATGAAGGTTTTATGGGAAATTCAAATGAGTCACTAACTACAAATTAACATTTTGTCCCAGTCTGATGTTTCTCAAGTTTAAGCATCTTTTCTAATTTGTTACAAAAACTGAACGGATTAAGCCTCCAAATGCCCCTTGGAGAATGACATGTGTGGGAAATGCTTAAGAACAGGGTTTCCCAGACCAGAGGTGCATAAGGGAACTGCAAGGCATTAAAATAAGTAACATTCAAATAAACCAATGGGGATGCACTGGTAATCAAAATAAAACTGAAGTAGCGATATACAGTGCCTTGCGAAAGTATTCATACCCCTTCATTTTGGTCTGTTGCAGCCGGATGCTAAGCGGCTTTAACTTTTACTTTTTTCCCCACATCAATCTACACTCCTCATCCCATAATAACAAAGCAAAAAAACTTTACAAATGTATTAAAAAGGAAAAACTGAAATGATTACATTGCATAAGTATTCATACCCTTAGCACAGTACTTAGTTAAAGCACCTTTAGAGAGAACGTTGTTTTGGGTATGATGCCACAAGCGTTGCACATTAGGGGGTTTTCTGCCATTCTTCTTGTCAGGTTGGATAGGGCCTGTCGGTGGACAGACATTTTCAGGTTTCTCCAGAGATGTTTGATTGGGTTCAAGCACAGGCTCTGGCTGGGCCACTCAAGGACATTCACAGAGTTGTCCATAAGCCACTCTTGCATCGTCTTAGCTGTGTGTTTAGGGTCATTTTCCTGTTGGAACGTGAACCTTCTGCCCAGTCCGAGGTTCTGAATGCTCTGGACTAGGTTTTCATGAAGGGTAACTCTATATTTTGCTGCGTTGAGCTTTCCTTCTACCCTGACGAGTCCCGCAGTCCCTGCCGCTGGAAAACACCCCACACCTCGATGCTGCTCCACCACACTTTCCTGTTGGGATGGTATTGTGCTGGTGATGAGCAGTGCCTGGTTTCCTCCATACATGACGCTTGGAACTGAGGTTCATGAGACCAGAGAATATTGTTTCTCACAGTCTGAGAGTCCATTAGGTGCTTTTTTGCAAATTCCAAGTGGGTTTTCATGCGTCTTCACTGAGGAGAGGCTCGAGTCTGGCCACTCTGCCATAAAGCCCAGATCGGTGGAGTGTTGCAGTGATGTTTGTCCTTCTGTAAGTTTCTCCCATCTCCATATATGATCATGGAGCTCAACCAGAGTGAGCATCAGCTTCTTGGTCACCACTCTAACCAAGACTCTTCTCCATCGATTGCTCAGTTTGGCTCTCGGAAGAGTCCTGGTTGTTCCAATCTTCTTCCATTAAGGATTATGGAGGCTATTCTTCTGTGAACCTTCAATACAGTAGAATTTTTATTGTAGTCTTCCCCAGATCTGTCTCAACTCAATCCTGTCTTTTACCCCTTTTCCACCAAAGCATTTTGAGAGCCGGTTCGGAGCCGATGCCTACTGGCGAACCAGTTCTTTGTGTTTCGACAGCCAAAGAACCGGTTCTCGGCGAGGAAAATTGGTTCCAAAGCGGCACCAACTCTTTGCTGGACCGTTCTTTTACCACGTCATGCTTACGTCGTTCGCTGGGCTCTCGTCAGTGGAAAAACAAACAGGTTCTGAGAAGGTTCGCAAGTTGAACCAACTTTGAACCAGAACCAGTTCCGAACCGGTTCTTTTTTGGTGGAAACGAGGTATCCGAGCTTTACCTGCAGTTCTTTTGACCTCATGTATTTTCAGCTGTTAGACCTTTTATTGAGAGGTGTGTGCCTTCCCAAGTCATACCCATTCAATTGAATTCGCACAGGTTAACGCCACTCGATGTGTAGTAACATCTACAAGCACAATTGGAAAGCTCCTGAGCTAAATTTCAAGTGTCCCAAAAAAGGGTATAAATACTTATGCATTGTTATTATTCAAGTTTTTAATTTTTTATAAAATAAAGTTATCACAAATCTGTTTTTGCTTTGTAATTATGGTGTATGGAGTGAAGATTGATGTGATTTTTTTTTTAATTTAAATCAGTTTAGCGTAAGACTGCAAAATGTGAAAAAAATGAAGGGGTACCAATACTTTCGCAAGGCACTGTATCTCATCAAACTGTGATTATCAAATCAAAGAATGCAATTTAACACGCTTAGTCAGTTAATTTAACAAGTATAGTCAGTTGCGCTGCGTGTTTGAAACATTGTCAGTAAGTAGTGATTCAGTAAAGACACTTTTGTCAAATTTTATTACAAAGAAACTGTTGGCATTTCAAGCCTTTAGCCATTTTCAAGAAACTGCTGAAAACTCATCTTTTTCATCATCATCATCACTTGACCAATTAATTCTATAATCTAAAATAAATAAATAAAACCTTGCTACATGTACTATGCTGGACTAGCTGGGACTGGTCACAGCACTAGCATATTGTTGCCCTATTGTTGGTTTGATTTGCTTCTATTGTTCTCCTCAAGTCTCTTTGGATAAAAGCATCTGCTAAAAGATCAAATGTAAGTCATTACCTGGTCCACTTTTAGTGTTTCCTGATGTTTCTTTTAAGTCATTATTCACTGATAATCTGATAAACCAGCAAACTAGAGAACTGGATCAGCCTGTTTCATGATCACTCCTACTGGTTTTTCTGAACTGGATTAGCATATTCACTAAAAAGATTTGACTCAAAAGAATGATTTGTTCATGAATGAAAAGAAAAATGTGAGGAATGATGACAAACGTTCATTTTTGGGTGAGCTGTTCACATTAAGTTATAGTGAAGTGTTGTTACGGCTGTTCATCTTCCCTTTCAGATGGGTCGTACCACCACAGTTTCCGTCGGGGAAGCGGTGGCCAGCTTCCCATGGAGAAGCACCTCAGACGATCCAGAGGTTCACGAAGCGACAGACCTCGTCTGGAAACTCTGGAATGGCGGGAAGGGGAGCGCAGGCGAAGTCGAAACGGCAGCCTGACCCTGCACTCCACCCGCTCCAGACACGAAGAGTCCTGCTCCACCTGCTCCTCTTCCTCAGACTCAGAAGAGGAAGGCTTCTTTCTGGGCCAGCGCATTCCTCTGCCGCCACAGCTGACGGGTGGAGAGAGAGCAGAAGGACAGAAAGAGGACGAGGACAAGAGCCGGAGAGGAAGTTTCAGGAGAAGGACACAGAGTCTCAGTAGAAAAGACAAGGACAAGAACTGCATACTGTCCTGAGAGAGACAGCCGTGAAAAATCACATCACGTTACTTACAACTCTCTGAACCAACAAGCTGCTCAGTCAAGAACAAAGTTTATGAGTCACATTTTGTATGAGAATCTATCTTACAGTCTGTGCATCTGTGTACCAGTATTTTTTATTGAGATTATGTAATATTATCCAATATATCAGTATCAGGATGCTTAGTCAAATTTACTTGCATTATTATTCGGGCAGAGGAACACTTCTGATCTATATTTTGTTCATTGTAGGTAAGGTAGGACTACAGTTTATACATGTATGCAAAAGAAATAGATTCATCTAGATAGATCTACAAACTTTCATTTTACATTTCTTTTCAGCTAAATCTCTGTTCACACCAACACGATTTTTTGGCATGTAAATTGGGTCTGATTTAGGCATGCGATTTAAGATTAGGGCTGGGTATCGTTCAAAAATATTCCATATCGATAGCAATACCGATACTTTGTTAACGGTTCCTAAACCCCAAATTTTTCGCAAACAATTTTATTAAATCCATTTTAGCAAGATTACATTACATATTACCTAAAAATTCAGTTTGTTGACTTTTTTTTTTTTTTTTTTTTTACAGGCTCAGAGTCATATAGGCCACTGGGGGGTGGAATATAGGCCACCAAGTCACAGTTTTATGTAACTGCTGCGGCTCTGGGCATTTGACTAAAAGTGCAAAAGTGTGAATCTTATTGGTTGGCCAGCTTAATTCGCATTGCAATGGAAAAGAGATTAAAATATCTCTTTGTTAAACAATTCCATTGAACTGACGGAACGTTTGTGTCCGGCCGAACAGACGCATTAACAGCCATTCATTTCAAATTAAATTATTAATTGCACCAAATTTTCACACAGCATATTTGCCTTGAATCAGAGCCTGTTTGGAATCACAGTATACACTGTGTCCTGCCTACTATATTTAAATAATAGTATGCAAAACAGTATTTTTGTTATGTAACAATAAACATTTGCAACACTAATATGCCTCGCATTACCTCATAAAAAGTTATCTTACATTTTTAAATCTAATTTTGTGTTCAAATATCATTTGCCGATCAAAAAATGAAGAAAAACTATCGCAGCAGATGTGACTTACAGTTCATTTCTCACACTGAACATGTGAGGTCAAGCACACTGCATACTGCACGTTTTGACAAATGTAGTACATCATTCAGGTATGCCATGCATTTGGAAAATATGAATTTCTATGCACAGTATACAGTGGTAGTGCGCTATTCCAAACACTGCCTGTGTGTGGGTGAAATCTATTTTCAGCCATTCAGCAAAAACATTATAAAATCACAGAAATAAATTATGTTTTAGTCCTTCAAGCCCCACATCTGCTAAAGCCAAAGTACAAGTTAACATCTGAGGTGCTAAATCTAAAACAAACTGCTTAAACAGGTCAATAGTCGTTGCTTGTTTGACTGGTTTTGAAACGGCTATGTAATTTGCACTTGCTTAAGGTTTAACTAAGTGAAACTTATTGAAATGCAAACACAAAGTTGTTGAGTTATTGTATTTGAGCATATACTGTAAGAGAAGTCAACATGGCCGTATCACAACATAACATACCGTCTCTTCATCAACTGTATTATATGTAAATATTGACATTTCAAACCTCTCCGTGTGTAAATGAGAGTTTAAATAAAGACACATGACTTTCACTTTGTGTGCTGCAAAATAGAGATCAAAGGATTGTATGCTAAAATTGTATTTTTATAAACAACATGGTGATGGTTTTATATTCTTTTCAAGATGCTTTCTGGCTGAATATAAGTTTTCGAAGCTTTTCAAAAGTTATGTCTTTGAATGAGAAAAAATAAAACACTTGAACCTGAACAATATGTTATTTATTTTTTAAAAGTACGTTTTTAGGGCTACTGTTTAAGCAAAAATGACGATTACATTCAAATCCTATTTTTTATCATGTAAATTTCGCTACAATGTCTATAAATAGCACTCAGAAATATAGTAGGCCTACCAGCATTGTTTTTCTCATTATCCTAGTTCTGTTTTTTATAAATAAATAGGAAAATAAATATATATGGTAAAATATACTGTTTGTTTTAAATAGGAATTCCTAAACAGACAAAAAATAATGTTGTATCATCGAAGAGGATTGACTAGCAGGTAATTTGATGTCACGCAGCTTCGAACTATCTCTTCTCTATTAATAGAACAACGCTCGGAGATCACAGACAAAAAGTGCCATGAGAGAATTGTTTCAAGGAAAAGGTTGGTCCTTTCCTTTTGTGATCAGGTGACCCTGAGGGCATATCTGGCACATACTTCCTGGTGTGGGAATGAGTTTCTGATTGGATAGGACAAGAAAAAGGGCAGGAGGAACGTTTGGGGAGAGAATCAAACCGGTCTGGCAAGTTTTACTTTTTCCTTAACTCAAACACACGCGTGCACCATCTGCCCTGCTTGCTTTCTGCTCTCTGACACACACTAAAGACATTGCTGACTGCATTCTGACTCTGTCCTGACTCAAACTTTACAATTAAAGAGGAAACCATTGCTGTTGAGTTTAGTGAGGCAACCACAGGTATGTGTTTTTGGTTGTGTATTGTCTATGTATGTGTCAATGCTATCTATACCTTTAAACAATGAGGCTATACACTTTACCGCTTCACTTTGTTATTTGTGTGATTCTAATTCCCTGTAACTGTTGTTTAGACATAATCCTGGATCATGTAGAGACATGCCGTATCGTGTCCCTGGAATCCGTAAGTGAAATCTTGTTCCATTTATTTATGTTGATCTTGTTTTTTCTTGCCTTGAGGGATTGTTTTCATATTTACTTTATCTTGACTTCTAACCAGTTGTTGTGTGTAAAACTGGAAGACATATAGGGAGAGTGTGGTCAGAAAGATTGACTGATTGATGGGAGAGCAAAGAGGATGGGAATAATGTTAGAGATTGTAAAAGACAGGAAATGATATAGAGCATGCAGTGCACTTTAACCTTAGGTGGAGCACTGGCTGTTATGTTAAAGGAATGATAAACGTTTAGTCAATGAGCTGGTGAAAGTATTTTCAGTTCATTGATAAAAGCTGCTGTCTGTCACAAACTGCTGTCATTTATTAACAAAATTGAGGGGAAAAAATCCAGTCTGAAACAAAAAGTCCCTTGAGTTAACCAGTGACTTCAGTGTCACATTCCTAGTGGGCATGTAAGTATCACAATCTTGGATGAATGTTTTCATATCAGTCAGGATGGTTTGCTAAATGGAGTCACACTGAAATGGGTCTTTAGCGTGATTTACAGTTATTTAAGGAAGTATTCAATTAAAAAATCAATTAAGTGAATGTTAGTTTCATCAATATTCTAGAAGAAAGTGGAAGTCTTTTAGCCACTGCTAATGGAGTCTGAGAATGGCTTCATAATGGTTTCAACTCATACTGGAACATACATCAGCCGCCTAAAGAGCTCATTAGTTTTGTTTGCTAAAGCTAGTATCACCATTACTATTGCTTCATATACTTTGGGTTAGGGATTTGATCAAACCCCAAGTATTTAATTTGGAAGCATAACTCACCCTGCATTGTTTGTTCTTCGACCATGAATGACAACTTTAATAGTGCTATTATTTTTCTAAGCAATTAAACTCATTTTGCATGTGATAAAACTGGTGGGGGAAAATCCCATAGACTTATTTAAGCAAGTACTGGAGCCATATGTAGAGACCAGAATTTCATATATTACTTTTCAACACATCAGGCCAAACGGTTACTGCCACTGAGTCATGGCGTCTATTCTGATCTGGGCTTGTTGACACTGTTGGGTTTTTTCGATTGTTGTGCTGCAAAATGAGGATTTTATCATAAGTTACTAATGCCTGGTACACATTGTATGATTTTGGGCTGTCCGAGATGAAAGATGACCAATCGTGGTGATTTCTGTGGTCACGGCTCATACACGGTCCTACGTCATACAGTGAGAGAGGTTTAAAGACAGCCATTGTCACGCTCTTGCCAAAATTAGCCTGTGATAATTTTCTGACAGTGTCAGAAATTCAGTATGATCATCTCACAGTGTGTTTGCTGCTACCACCTACGTCTACTGACTAGCCAATAAAAATGCAACAAGAAATGACGTATTGATCAACACGACATGGTGCTAAAACTTAAAGGGTTAGTTCACCCAAAAATGAAAATTCTGTCAGTAATTACTCTCCCTCATGTTGTTCCAACCCCGTAAGACTTTCGTTCATCTTCGGAACACAAATTAAGATATTTTTGATTAAATCTGAGAGCTGGATCACTCCTCCATAGGCTTCTAAGGGATCGAAACTGGCCGGCCCAAAAGTTATGAAAGACATCGTTAAAATAGTCCGAGTGACTACAGTGGCTCAATCTGAAGTTTATCAAGCGACGAGAATACTTTTTGTGTGCAAAACAAACAAAAATAACGACTTTATTCAACTATTCATTTCCTTCTCTGTGGGCCTTGAGATTTCACGTAGTGAAACTGCGCAAAGCTTCTAGGTTGAACGTCACACGTAGGCTCACTATTGGCCGACGCTGGTCATGTGTGTGATGCGTGTGACGTACAACCTAGAAGCTTTGCGTAATTTCACTACGTGAACTCACTCGAGACCCACAGGGAAGGAAATGAATAGTCGAATAAAGTCGTTATTTTTGTTTGTTTTGCGCACAAAAAGTATTCTCGTCGCTTGATAAACTTAAGATTGAGCCACTGTAGTCACACGGACTATTTTAACGATGTCTTTCATAACTTTTGGGCCGGCCAGTTTCGATCCCTTAAGCCTAGTTCACACTACATGATTTTAAGCCCGATTTGCAAATCGTTGAGCTCGCCGACAGGTCAGGGTGTTATCGCAGGGGATTAGCGGGCGTTGAACGCTCGCCAATCTGTTAGTATGAAAGAGCCAACAACGCATCAAAGACGCTCGCAGACGCGTCGCCGAGCCCAGAAAAATATCTAGCATGCTAGATATCCAGAGCTGTCGCACGACTCAAGCTCACGTGATGTCATGAGCTACAGCCAATCAGAGCAAGGCATGTTCGTGTGTTGTGTTCTTCTTCGTCTTCTTCGCTGGGTATTAGCGCGCGTGCTGTTTCGCGTCATTTCCGGTTCGTTTTATCGCGTGATTTTTCGAGACAAAACGTGGTTTGTAGACAAGATAGAATCGTAGGGTGACAGAGTTGTTGTCAACTCGTGTAGTGCGTTACCTCCTGTTGCGGATCAATCACGTTGTGTCGTGTGGTGTGAATAGCTCAACAACTTGAATACTCCTGATTTCACAGAGAGCAAGTCATGTAGTGTGAACCGCACAGTTCAGCCCGACGTTTTAAAATCATGTAGTGTGCACTAGGCTTTAAGAAGCCTATGGAGGAGTGATCCAGCTCTCAGATTTAATCAAAAATATCTTAATTTGTGTTCCGAAGATGAACGAAAGTCTTACGGGGTTGGAACAACATGAGGGTGAGTAATTACTGACAGAATTTTCATTTTTGGGTGAATTAACCCTTTAAAACTACTTGCCTCAAGCTTCATTTGCAAAATTGACATGCCAAGTTGGCCTCTTTTCCCTCGCCATGATGACCGCATCCATATTCTTCTCTTTCGCTTCATCCTCTCTTTTTTTTTTTACAGCGCACATAAAAAAAACACAATTGCCAAAGTGCAATCATGGTGCGTTCACGTGCTATGGAAAATATGATATTTTCCACTTGTGAACTGGTATTTACCAGTGTGTTGCGTTCAAGTGTTTTTGTTGTCGTAATGTGGTAAAAAGATGGAGATCCAGACCTGTTATTTAGCTAAAACTATTTTAGATTGCTTAAGTCATCTGCTACAGCAAGAAAATGATTTATCAAAACTCAAACAGTAAATAATATGCTGTATATTTTCTAGATCATGAATAGTACATATTTTTACCATTCACAACTCTTGCGTTGCTCTCCGCCATTTTGAAAAGGTCAAAGGTAATCTCATCTCGGCAACTCGTGCATCAAAATATTCTACGAGTTGCCCAGTGGAAAATACCACATGAGGGGGTGTTCATGTGCATTTTCCATGTCGGCTTTTGGTATTTACCATAATTACCATAGCACGTGCACGCACCATTAATCTTGCTCTATTTGTTTACACGAGCGCATGCTGATGACGTTTTATTCTTCTATACTAATTTGCGTCGTAGCTTACGATTCAATAGGTGTCATCATCGTACAGACTACATACATGTTGTACAGTGTGATTTGTAATGATCTTATAGGACTGCCGAAATCGTAGTCTGTATAGCAGGTATAAAACGGTTCAACTTGTACAGTTCTCTTATCCTAAAGTGAGCAATCCATGCTTAGGAAATCTGTGGGAGAGTTTATATCATACCATACTGAATCATGTTCTAATGGAAATGCTACTGGTTCCGTTACTCATCAGAACCGCTTGGCCTGATGGTGGAAAAGCACTTGCGTATCTGGTTGTTGTGAGGTGTCGAATTAGGGCTGCGTGATTCAGAGAAAATATATAATTTCTATTTTGTTTGTAGAAAATGTTTGCTGTGCTTTGTTTGTAGGCTGCACAATTTGGCCAAAATGTTATGATCATTTATCCATATGAATCCTTGTATATCATAGGGGTGGAACGGTACATGTATTCGTATTGAACCGAAACGGTACGGGCGTCACGGTTCGGTGCACGAATTTGCACGGAGAATACACGGTACAAATAAAAAATAAAATAAAAACCTCTTAAATAGCGATACATTTTGCTCTTGGTGTGACTGTGAACGCAGCAATGAACAGAGAGAGAGAGAGAGAGAGAGAGAGAGAGAGAGAGAGAGAGAGAGAGGAGAGAGAGAGAGAGAGAGAGAGAGAGAGAGAGAGAGAGAGAGAGGAGAGAGAGAGAGAGAGAGAGAGAGAGAGAGAGAGAGAGAGAGAGAGAGGAGAGAAGAGAGAGAGAGGGAGAGAGAGAGAGAGGAGAAGAGCTCGAACGAACAGTGTGTGAGAGAGAGAATCGCGCGATCGAACAGTGTGTGAGAGAGAGAATCGCGCGAGTCGAACAGTGTGTGAGAGAGAGAATCGCGCGATCGAACAGGTGTGTGAGAGAGAGAATCGCGCGATCGAACAGTGTGTGAGAGAGAGAATCGCGCGATCGAACAGTGTGTGAGAGAGAGAATCGCGCGATCGAACAGTGTGTGAGAGAGAGAATCGCGCGATCGAACAGTGTGTGAGAGAGAGAATCGCGCGATCGAACAGTGTGTGAGAGAGAGAATCGCGCGAATCGAACAGTGTGTGTGTGTGAGAGAGGCACGGGCGATCGAACAGTGGAAACATAAAAACATACTCCGTCATTTTTTTTCATACAGGACATCATTAAAACGGCAAATCGTTTACTTATATTTGTGTACACTCGCAATAAAACACAACATTGTGCTTTTGTCACACTCTAAACTCATGTCAAACTGTAACCTACAACTGTTAACAAAAGTTTTTAATGGTAGTATTATTTTATACGGAAATCAATTATTTATCATTCAGATGAGAATAAACTTAGGGTTAATTAAAATGAAGGAAAACAAATATATTGATCTGAAATTGCAAATTAATTTTAAATTCATTCAGGTACAATTACCAAACATATCATGGTCTTTTCGTCTTTTTAATAATTTTATTAATAAACTAATTATATAAAACTACTGTCGGTGCACTACAAATAAACTGGTTCTATGCCTTTTATTAATAAAACGTATATAAAAAATACAAGGCTTAAGACATTTATAAAAAAAAGCCTTCTGCATTTTTGTTTTGCTATTAACTCCATTGTACCGAAATCGTATCGAACCGTGATGTCTGAACCGAGGTATGAACCGAACCGTGACTTCTGTGTACCGTTCCACCCCTAGTATATCAATATGACTCTTTACTCCGTTTAAATTGAGATTACTCTCAGCAGCCATTACACTTCATATATAGCACACCTTTAAACTAAGGTTTTAAAAACTTAGTGTACACTACCTTCTCTGGGCTTACAGTGAGTGAGTGAGTGTATATTACTGTGTGTGTATATTAGCAATGTTAATTGTTTGCTATTGTGCTCTGAGGAAACAGTGCTGCATGATGTCAGACTTAACACACTGAATAGAGACTTGGGGGTGGGTTTGGGCCAGTAAGAAACCACCCAAACAATGCTCTGGTAACCAACCCACAATGCCCTAGAATTGTGGTTGTTGACTTATGCAGTCAAGCACCACTCCCATTATCCCCGGCAAATGTACTTCTACTTTATGAAATCATTACAATGTTGTTAAAAGTGTGTGTGCATAGAACAGTAGGCTGTCTAGTATGATGTCTAGCCATACTTTGCAATTGTCTGTTTGTCATAATCATTTCTGTTCCCCCAGGTATCCAAAGTGTTAATGTGGAAGTATACTGGCAATAAGTCCATTCATCTACTTCAAAGCAAACCAGTGCAGGAAATAAGAAACCATATAAAACCGCTGAAGTTTTTAATTTCAAAGGATGTCAAATGACGCCGTACAGCCCTCTCCACGGAGAATAATAAAGCTGGCTGCAACTCCTGGCACACCAAGTCGCAACCCAGAGCTCAGTTGTCCAGTCAAATCATCCCCAGGGATACGCAAACCAAGTGCGGTGGAACGTTTGGAAGCAGACAAGGCCAAGTACGTCAAGACTCAACAGGTGGCTTTGAAAAAGCAGCACCCAGTCACTTGTTCCTCCAACAACAACCAGAGTGGACAAGCTGCTCAACAGCCATCGAGGAAGATCCCTGTAAAACCCACCAAGTCCGAAACGCCACCCCTTAACCTGGAACATCTTTGCAAACTGATCGATGGAGTCGGCGATACCACCGTTCCGGTCATTTCTACACAAACCAACAGCACTGGGAAAGATCAAGATGCTACAGACACATGCAAGGCCAACTCTCCAACAAAAAGTCAGTTGGAAGAACCTTCTGTCGGGTCAACTTCAAGTCAAGGAAAAGCTGTAGTAGAAGCCTCTGGGGTTAACGGATGTCCTACCATGACGGTGCGGAGAGTCGATGTCAGACCGCAGTTACCTCAAATGAGGATGGTCGGTAGACCACAGCTACAGAACCGCTCACAGGTCCAACTGTCCACGTCGCAGGTCCCGATAAAACTTCTGCGCTTGCTTAGACCATACACACAGCAAAATCAGCAACCAATTGATTTCAAAAGGCTCTACAATGTCACAAACGTCAACCGAGGACCTATTAAACCACCAAACTGTGCTGCACAAACCTCACCTTCTTCTAAATCCCCATCTGGCCCTCTCCCCATAAAACCAAACACAGAACCATTATCGTGTACCTCTCCGACCCAAAATACTCCAACCTCCGTTGATTCGTTCCTAGCCAAAAATGACATCCAGTCCCCACCATCGCCAGCCATCACTCGGCTCTCCTCAACAAGCTCCAGGAAGCGTCCTTCACTGACGCGCTCAAAATCTGATGTCAGCGACTGCTTTTCACGAGCCGGGGTAGAGCTCGAGCGCTTCTTTAATTACTGTGGCCTTGACCCATTGGATTTAGAGGAGCTGGGAACACCAGGTTCTGACATTGTGTCCGTTTCACGTCTTCGTAGCGCCAGTGCCCCAGCATCCGAGCATACAGCTGAGGGTGAAGACGAGGAAGAAGAAGCAGCAAAAGATGAACGTCCTGTTTATGGCGTTTCCGTCATTGAAAGAAATGCTCGAGTGATCAAGTGGCTTTATGGAATGCGCCAGGCCAAAGAGAGTCCTAAAGTGGCCAATATGTAACAGGCAACAAGGGACTAACAACCACAATTAAGACTGAAATCAAACATGATGTACAAAGTGCTTACTGTGCTTTTCCCATTCAGTATTTTGTCTGTTATATACTTTAGAGTTGTCTATAGTTGAATCTACTGTGTTTGTGTGTCATTTATATTAATTTAAGCTTGGTGGTCATTAGCATGACTGTAGCCACATGTGTTCTCAAATACTGACCATGCTTTCATAGGGTAAACGCCAATAAACCTTTAAGCACAATGTGTTTTTTTGCATTGTCTATTTCAACAATGATAGGCTGTGCCTGACAGGCTGAATCAAATGACGGGGTTTTGGCAGAGATATCCAAAACTGATGCATGCAAAAGGTATTTGTGTCATCCAAAAATATTTTCTAAGTGGACCAAATATTTTTTTATATTTTAATAACTTGTATTTTGTGTCATTTGATCATAAAAAAAATATGTGAATTTAATTGTTTGTCACTGTGTTAAAACTCATTGGTTTACTCGGTCACCTCAGATCTTTATTATAAGATAGGAGGAAAACTTTGCTTTGGTACACAACATTTTGTACACTAAGGGCCAGATTTACTAACGGCTTGCAACAGTGCAAACCCTCTTTTGGCGTTAAAAAACTACTGTCAGGATTTACTAAAGACACGCAGTTAAAAAATTTGCGCTGAAAGGGATGGACAGGGTTATTTTTGCAGCTGACCTTATTGCATATGCATTTGTACGATTTCCCTGTTTCCCTTTCAGACGCAAAATTCATGGGTGGAGAGTATTTAAATGAATCATGCAAGGTGATTCACTAAGGTCTGTGCTAGTCAATTTACTGGTATTTTCGCCATGATTTAATGCCCAAAAAAGCAGGTTTTAACCCATTTTGCACCTGTGCTGTCAGTAGATCACCCGCACCCTTTTATCAGCGGCTCTGCTAGTTTGCGACCTTATGCTAATTTGCGCTGCTCTAAAGGTACAAAATTTTCGTATGCGTTTTTTCATATTCGTGATTCGGTGGCTCTGAACTGTCAAAACACCATTCAAACTGCTTGCTACTGATGCGAAAAACGCAGAAAATCGAACCGGATCCAAAAAAATTTATGACGGACGAAAGTTTCGAAGGCAGTGTGCAAGCGTGATTGACATAACGTGAGGTCGTATTTATTTTTTAACGTGCGAAAATTTCGAACGTGAATTTCAGACTCGGTGTGCGAGGGCCTTTAGGGGCTGTTTACACGACACCGTTTTCAACTAAAAACATAAAACGTTTTATGCGTTTTGGCCGTTCATTCAGGTGCCCATAAAATGCAAATTTATGAAAATGGGCAAGAGAGCCAGTTTTTCAAAACGGTCTGTGTAAACAACAAAAACACGAATCTCTGAAAACGATGACATCATGCCCACGTATTACGTGTTGAATCTATAGTGTTTCATCGCCATCTAATGGCTGGCAGCAGAATACAGAGTTTTTAGTCGTTTTCACAGATCCAGATTTTTACAAAGGTGACGTCTGCACCTCTATGGTCTGCACGTGGAAAACACAAGGGGAAAATGTTTTAAGCATATCGCTGTCGTGTAAACGTACCCTTAGTAGATTGCGTTGGTCGTTATGGTAATGCTAATTTTTCCTGTTTAGTAAATCTGGCCCTAAATGTGATGGTACACAACATACTCCAAATATGGAATCCTGGACAAGTGAGCAGATTTGATCTGTTAAGGGGTTTGTCATCAAATGGCAGTCCAAAAACCAGTGTCGTATTGTACTGACAAATAGACTGTTTTAGCAAACTTATCTTAAAGATTGAGATCTGTATGACTAAAAAGAATAAAAATGAATTTACCCATGAGCAGTTTTGTATTGTCATTGTATCCTATTTAACAGTTTGGGCTGTAAAAAACAAATGCAGATGTTTAAACTTGGGTGGTGTCAAAACTAGTGTTTCCTCTGGAATAAAAATAGCATTTAAAAGTATTTGAAGGTCACAACATTTTTCTATTATATTTTCACTTGATCATCATTTCCTGTTATTATAGCCAGGAAAACTAGGGGTGGGGTGTAGTTACTTTTTTGGACCATAGTTTTGACCTTACTATATTTCCATCAAAGTTCTAGAAAAACATGAACCTTTTTTTGTGCCGAACCTGTGCATCTCTTAATAGTTTGTGGATGGCAAAAGCACCATTGAGGACAGTCTGCCACAACGTGATGAAAACGGATCTCAGTAACTCTCCAGTTACAGGGTCACTCTTTCTTACCAATGAAACTGGGAAGCTTTGGTTTGCAAGGCCAGATTCACAACCTGTGGACCTGACTAGCTAAATTACTTTATAGCTTGACAAAAGTTTCAAATTAACTTCTCTAACACTGAATAAAACTAATTCACAGTAGTCAGTCCAACCTAAATCTCTCCATGTGATGCATACAATAATGTGTGCCAGCCATTTTGCAGTGTTGTTCAAATTCTAAACCATTTCATTCCCTATATAGTGCACTCTTTTACACCCGTAATGCACTCTTATGGTGTACAACTGCTATGAAATTATAATTTAGTTAAATTATTAGGGCCCAAGCCTTGAAAAGGCGAAGGCCCTATTGTTTTCCTTAGGAAAATGATTATTTTACTACCTTTTTGGCACTTTTGTGGCACTTAACGTACTCGAAAACTCTTGAAACTTTGCACACGGATCAGAACCCGCGGCCATCAGGGCCGGGCTGAAGTTGGTACCCGGGCGTGGCAGGGTGGCTCGACAGCGCCCCCTGGAACGGGGTCCAAAAACTTGGTCCATAAATCAAACATGCTTGCATGTAATAATATGAAACTCGGTACACTTATAGATCTCCTCGAGCCAAACAACTTTCATGCTCTAAGTTTTACGCCAGCCCAACAGGAAGTCGTCAATTTAGGGTTGTTTGGAAAACGCATGCAATGGAATTTAAAGTACTCCTCCTAGAGATTTCAAACAAATCCCACGAAACTCGGTCAGCGTGAAGTCAAGACATAGAGGACGAAAAATTGCCGTGGTGAGGAAACAAAATTATGGCGAGAAACGTGAAACAGGAAGTGTGTTATAACTTCTTCATACATTAACTGATCTTGATGAAACTTCAGCAGTGTGTTCATTGTAAGAGGCCGATTACATGGATGTGACTATTGTGAGTCAAAGTTATGGCGCCACCAACTGGCAGCAGAAAGTGTATCACTTTCAAAATGCTTTGAAATCACCCTCTTATTTTTACCCGATTTGCTTCAAACTTTATGTGTATAATGTAAACACACGCCAGATGTAGACCTGTGAAGGATTATTGATATCTTAGATACTGGCAACGCATCAAACTTTAATATTCTTGTTTGATGCTTTTGAGACTCTTAGCATGCATGAAATTGCATGAAACTCGACAGACACATTACATTTATTAGCTAGTAGACGTGAAAAGTTTCCGAAACGGGCGTGGTGAGGGCTTAGTAGTGCCACCTTTAGTCAAAAGTGGGGGGGTTCGTTTTATCTACAGTAACAAAACTCAGAACGTATATTGTACTCCTCAAGCCGGACAACTTTCTAATTTAGAATCATTAGCTCCGACCAACAGAAAGTCAGATATTTTGGGTTGAATGTGGTCATTCTCTCTCTGAGCCTACGTCTCTGTGTCTGTGCCTGTCTGTGTGTGTTTGTAGGGGGAGGGGGAGTGGGGCTAGATTAACCATTATTATCAATATAAGTTTTTTTAAAAATGGGATGAGATCCATTTTTATATACTTAAAAGTTGTCTTTTTGTCTCGGACTGAAACAATTTATGATTTAATTTAATCAAATCTACCAATATCTTACACTAATCTTTTTTTTTTACTCTCAGTCTCCACAAATAACATGTACCTAACAAATGAAAGTTGATTATGAAAACTGGACTGAAAATATCTTTTTCAAAAACTTCGATGTTCAACAACTCTGTAAAAGAAGTCCTTATGTGCCTGACAGCGTCTCTTATTACAGTGTGCTGTTCCCGTGGGAGGATCCATGGACTAGTGTCACTCTTCTTAGGAATAGGCACTAGTGAAACCAGCAGAGTGAGTATAAATTCAGTTATGATTTAAGACTAAAAACAACAGACCACCAAAAATCAGGCCGAAAGCAGAGATGGACAAAGTACACAACTTCCTTACTTGAGTAGTCAAATCTTACTCCGTTACAAATAAAAGTTGTAAAGACTGATTTTTGCTTAAGTAAAGAAGTACTTGTTTTTAAAAGTTTGTAAATATCAAAAGTAAAAAGTAAATGCACATTTTTATATAACATGTTAATTCATGTGTTGTCCTGGATATATAAACAAAAACACAGTTTATATACACTCACCGGCCACTTTATTAGGTACCCCATGCTAGTAACGGGTTGGACCCCCTTTTGCCTTCAGAACTGCCTCAATTCTTCGTGGCATAGATTCAACAAGGTGCTGGAAGCATTCCTCAGGGAGTTTGGTCCATATTGACATGATGGCATCACACAGTTGCCGCAGATTTGTCGGCTGCACATCCATGATGCGAATCTCCCGTTCCACCACATCCCAAAGATGCTCTATTGGGTTGAGATCTGGTGACTGTGGAGGCCATTTTAGTACAGTGAACTCATTGTCATGTTCAAGAAACCAATTTGAAATGATTAGAGCTTTGTGACATGGTGGAAGTAGCCATCAGAGGATGGGTACATGGTGGCCATAAAGGGATGGACATGGTCAGAAATAATGCTCAGGTAGGCCGTGGCATTTAAACGATGCCCAATTGGCACTAAGGGGCCTAAAGTGTGCCAGGAAAACATCCCCCACACCATTACACCACCACCACCAGCCTGCACAGTGGTAACAAGGCATGATGGTTCCATGTTCTCATTCTGTTTACGCCAAATTCTGACTCTAACATCTGAATGTCTCAACAGAAATCGAGACTCATCAGACCAGGCAACATTTTTCCAGTCTTCAACTGTTCAATTTTGGTGAGCTCTTGCAAATTGTAGCCTCTTTTTCCTATTTGTAGTGGAGATGAGTGGTACCCGGTGGAGTCTTCTGCTGTTGTAGCCCATCCGCCTCAAGGTTGTGCGTGTTGTGGCTTCACAAATGCTTTGCTGCATACCTCGGTTGTAACGAGTGGTTATTTCAGTCACTGTTGCCCTTCTATCAGCTCGAACCAGTCTGGCCATTCTCCTCTGACCTCTGGCATCAACAAGGCATTTCCGCCCACAGAACTGCCGCTCACTGGATTTTTTTTCTTTTTCGGACCATTCTCTGTAAACCCTAGAGATGGTTGTGCGTGAAAATCCCAGTAGATTAGCAGTTTCTGAAATACTCAGACCAGCCCTTCTGGCACCAACAATCATGCCACGTTCAAAGTCACTCAAATCAACTTTCTTCCCCATACTGATGCTCGGTTTGAACTGCAGGAGATTGTCTTGACCATGTCTACATGCCTAAATGCACTGAGTTGCCACCATGTGATTGGCTGCTTAGAAATTAAGTGTTAACGAGCAGTTGGACAGGTGTACCTAATAAAGTGGCCGGTGAGTGTATATTTTTTTATTATGCAAAATGTGCCAAAACAATATATATATATATTAAACATTTAAAACATTACAAAAATTTATGAATATGCTGCATAAATATAGCACAATTTCTTAAAGCTGCCTGGTTCTAACTCCTGGTCTTTGACTTTGATTGCCAAGCGGGGCATTTTTTGTGGAGGTGACTGGTCCACACCTGCATTGTCCTGTTGAAGGAACACACATATCATGTCACACTGACCAGATTTAATGAGTGATTCTTAGAGAAAATCATAATACATGTGTATTTCTACAATGTCAATGTGAGGGTTCTATAAACTGAAAAGAATATGATACTAGTCATGTATTAAATTATTAAAGTGTTTACATTTTTAAATCTGAAAAAAGGAGGGAACTTACCAATGCTCTCTTCCGGTTCATCTGGGACCTGGGAGGAATGCTGCTCTGATCCAGGTGTGAAGTCTTTATCCGATCCGGGCTCCTCGGTTTAGTATTCAGCTGCACCTTCTTGTTAATATCCACACAGATTTTATTTTTTGGAGGTGGCTGACACACACCTACATTGCCCTGTTGAAGAAACAAATATAATCATGTTGGGCAGTTTAATGAGTGCTTGTTAGACTAAATCTAAACATATCTTTCTAAAGTTTAAAAATAATATATGAAAAGATTTGAATAGAGGACCTAGAAAACATAGAAACATATTTGAAGTCAATGTTTTTTTGTTTGTTTTTGAATAAATCTGAAAATGATGATGGAATGAGACTTACAGAAGCTCCCTTTGGGATATTCTGCTCCCTCTGCTTCTGCCTCTGCTTTTTAGGGATCTTGAGGCTTTCTCCCAGTTTGGGGGAATCTGAAGGTACAAGTGATCCCTGTGTGGTCCCCGAATGCACAAGCATACCTTTTGGGATCCTTGGGGCCATATCTTCTCCCTTCGGAGCCCCAGAGGGCACTACCGCTTCCTGTGGATTCGCTTGAGAAGACGCTTGAGGCCTCCTCTGCAGCAGCTCCCCTCTCAGAGGCTTTGGGGCAGGCACAGATGGTCTCTGTAGAGACTTGAGCACAGGTGCTCCCTGTGGAGACCCAGAGGGCACAGGTGTTTTCTGTGGGGACCCAAGAGCCACTGGTGCTTCCTCTGTCTTTTTCTGCCTCCACTTTCTCTGCTGATGCAGCTGCTCCTGCTTAAGAGGATCAGGGAAATTTAGATTTCGCCAATCTTGAGACTGGGGCACAGGTGGTCCTAGTGGAGACCCAGAGGGCACAGGTGTTTTCTGTGGGGACCCAAGAGCCACTGGTGCTTCCTGTGTCTTTTTCTGCCTCCACTTTCTCTGCTGATGCAGCTGCTCCTGCTTAAGAGGCTCAGAGAAATTTAGATTTCGCCAATCTTGAGACTGGGGCACAGGTGGTCCTAGTGGAGACCCAGAGGGCACAGGTGCTTTCTCTGGGGGCTCAACAGCCACTGGTGCTTCCTCTGTCTTTTTCTGCCTCCACTTTCTCTGCTGATGCAGCCGCTCCTGCTTAAGAGGATCAGATAAATTTAGATTTCGCCAATCTTGAGACTGGGGCACAGGTGGTCCTAGTGGAGATGCTATGGGCAGAGGTGCTTTCTGTGGGGGCTCAACAGCCACTGGTGCTTCCTCTGTCTTTTTCTCCCTCCACTTTCTCTGCTGATGCAGCCGCTCCTGCTTAAGAGGCTCAGAGAAATTTAGATTTCGCCAATCTTGAGACTTGGGCACAGGTGGTCCTAGTGGAGACCCAGTGGGCGCAGGTGCTTTCTGTGGGGACCCAACAGGCACAGGTGATTCCTGTTGGGACCTGGTGGGCACAGGAGCTCCCTGTGTCTTGTTTTGGCTCCACTGCTTCGTCGACTTCAGGGATATGGGGCGTGGAGGCCAGGTGAAGTCGCAATACTCTGGCTCCTCAGAGATGGGACTTGAAACCTCCATAATAGCCCACCACTCCCCTGCAGCAAGGGCCATGGTGAGCTCATCTGAGAGTTCAGGACCTAAGGACTGCTCTGCACTCTCAGTAAAACCGATAGGAAAGCTTGCCATACTCAGATTGATTTTGGATATGATGATATCTAAAGAACTGAACAATACTGACTTTCTGCAATCTCTATCTGTAAAACACTGTGAAAGACAGAGAAATGGAAGAGATGAGTTGAGCAAACACATACAAACCTGGAAGCTGATTGTCTTATCAAATTACTTGAAAAAATTAATTTTCTACAGTGTATGCCCATGGCTGTCAATCAGAAGAGGCAAGGGAGTCCAGTCCAAAAGCCTCCTTCAAATCTATTCAAAATTAACAATTAAGCTTCATTAATTGATAAATTATCAATTTAACTACTAATGTGGTCAACTAAGATACATATAATGATATATATATATATATATATATATATATATATATATATATATATATATATATATATATATGGTTCAATTTTCCATAATTATTGTATGTCATAATGTCAATATCAGTATTTGCTTTCTACCATGCACAATTAAAAATGTCACTGAACGTTTGCTGTTTAATTGTAACAATGAGCACTCAAACACACCAAACCAACAATTACCAAAAACACACACAAAAACTGATTTTGCACGGGCACTTTGGACTAGTATATAAAATGTCTATCATGCCTGGTAGTCAAGGCACATTTTATTTACTGCACGAATAGAAGAGGATGACAGCAATAAAGACTCCATTTAACAAACCAATGAGAATAAATTTTCAAATGGACATTTGTCTGTCCAAAATGGCAATTAAAGGCATAAGGAGTCCAAATGAAAATTACCTCCTTTTTTGCATACCAGTTACAGTCAGAGATACAGAGATAACCATTAAGGCCAATCAGCTTTCATTATGTGTCATGAGATCTGCAAGTTTGTCAATGTAAAGGATCTCAAAGCAAGAGAGATTGAAAAGATAAGATAATGTCTATGGAGCTCTCCATGTGCATAAATGTTTAAATCATTTGTTGATTTAATGTGTTGTGTTGATTATGTAATAATGTGTCATTAATTATCAAGAATATAGGAGGTTATCATATGTGTATGGGAGCAAATCAACAAATAGCTGGCGTTATATTAAAAACATCAAACCCAATTTACATATTAAATTGTGCACACAAATTAGGCCTACCACTGTATATCGTCATTTATCTGCATCGAGTCAATAACATTCTATTGTTTAAGTAGAGTCTAATCTGATCTGACTAATGCAATTATGAAATAAAATTCAAATATCCAAACCCTGAGTAAAAAGCAGCCTACTCACCATCACTCGCCGACTCGCTACAAGTTGCAAGATAACTTTGCACTCTATTGTCTCAGCGAACGTTCTATGACATCACAATAGAGCAAGGCGCTCACTGAAATCAAGTATTTGTGAGTGGCGGGAAATCTATCCTGTTTCGTTAGAATAAAACTGAATATGCAATACAAATACAAAGAGTGATTAAGTATGTTTAATTTATGATTGCTCATTTAACTCTAGTAGCCTATACTGACATTTTTTTTCAGGTGCTTTGCTAAATAATTCTAACGGCTTCTTAATCCTACGTATTTTTTTTTCCCTTTGATAAGTTGCATAATTATTATCTCTATCAGTTTTCAAATGTATTTCTGTGGTTTGCATGTGTTTACCTTAAAGAGATTGTTTTCAGATTGATTTATTATTATGAATGTTTTAATCTAAATGTTTGTTGCAAATATTTTGGGTTGTATAATAAGCATTGCTTATTATTGCTTTGTATAATAAGCATTGCTTTTGTATAATAAGCATTGCTTAACTACATTTTTCAGTAGCTTGGCAGTAGCTCAGTTGCTTTTTAAGCAGTGTAGCTTTTCCAGTAGCTAACTACTTTTTGCAGCAAGTAGCGGTGTGGCGCGAGCAAAAGCTACATTGCGTTTTGTCGAGCCTTCGCGAATAAGCGCGATGCAAGGATATTCTTCTTCTTGTTAGATTACAAACTAATTTTTTGCCATTACCGCCACCTGTTGTTTAATCACGCATTTTGCGGCTAACGCCCGTTTCACACATACTCCGTGTGCAGTGCGTGTGCAGTGCGTAGCCTGCGGTACAGGAGCAGCTTTCACATATGTTGCAGTGCGTTCCCATAACTTCCAACATTTGTGTGGGCAGCCAGATAATTACAGCATTTCACTCGATTTGTAATATAAAAGCACTTTTGACAAACAGTCTGAGATTTGAGTGTTGTGTGTAATAAAACAATACTCTTTGAAATCATAATTGTATTGCATTGTTTTAAACACTAAATATTTTACTTAAAACATTCCTCAGACACTTATTCAGTTATTTATAATATACGTTGTTCAAAAAAAGCTAAAGTAGTTTCAATGTAGCTAGCTACTTTTTGATAGTAACTTGTAGTGTAGCTAACTACTTTTCCAAAAGGGTAGCTTGACTGTAGTTTAACTACTTTAACTTACGAGTAGCTTGTAAAAACTACAGTTTCAGAGTAGCTTCCCCAACACTGCAAATTTGCGTCATTGCGTAGGCTACATTTGTAGAGGGATTTCTTGCAAATAGCGAGAGGCGGAGAGCGCGCGCGAACAGTTTACTGTTGGTAATGTGTTGTGTAGCGTCGCCGTCGCCCCTCGCCGCATCCAATGTAGACAGCATTGCTTTCGTTTGAGGGCGCTTAACACACGCAAGCACCCCGTAGAAACCGGCCTGGCAGCTCGCGCCATCTAGACACGGTGAAAGTTTCCCGATTGTGAAGGATAGCCGAATTTACTAGACACATTATAAATTAGCATTATAGATGCAGTGCCAAAAGAGAAGATGAGAATTGTGGATAAAGACAGAGGTAAAGTGATGTAATGACGAATGAACAGTTTATCTGCATAGTAGTAAGATATATATGTAGCCTACCTTAAACTTTATGCTAACAGTTGTTCTGAGTTCTCCAGAGGCCCCAGTCAGTGATTTGTAAATATAATAAATATATAGGCTACAGGTTTATTAAAAGTAACAACGTTTTATGTAAAATTCACATTAAAGAAGACATTTCGCAGTTTCATTCATGGTGAAAACATGAAACGTGCCATAGTTTAGTGGAAGATTGCTGCCATCGCCGATCGCCCATCAGTCTGTCAAGTCTGAGGATTTGACATAGGCTACATATTGGCTCATTATAGCCGAATCAGACTGATTTTCCTGGGCTTGGAGTTGAACGCGAGCGCGTCTCTCTCTCTCTCGAATGAACTGTCTGTCGCTGTCAGAGGGCCCTATTTTAACGATCTGAAACGCAAGTATCAAGCGCGAAGCGCAAGTAACTTTGTGATTAACCATTTCACTGCTGTGTGTTTTGGCCTGCATTAAAAAAGAAAATAAATGTCTTATGCCTTGTATTTTTTAAATACGTTTTTTTTTTTTTTTTTTTTTTTTTTTTTTTTATATATATAAAGTAAAGGCATATAACCAGTTTAATTGTTGTGCATTGCAGGCTTGTGCAAAATTCAGAATTGGCCTCCATTCAATTCATGAATTGGAATTTGAATTAAATTGACTCCGCCCCCCAGGAAGTTGAATTGGAATTGGAATTGGAATGACAGGAAGTGGAATTAAATTCATGGCAATTCAAAGAAATTCCACAGAGTCACACAACAGAAAGAATGTGTTGAATCTCGCATAGGGGAGAGCGGGGCACAACGTAACGCTTTTTGACTTTCTCACTTTGTGCAAATCTATTTAGAGTATTTATTTTTTCCCACATTAATTTCCCACATGTCTAGTACAATTATGTGGTTTTGTTTTATTAATACAGTGTATACTTTTTTCTTGATTTACCCTGAAAGAAATGTTGAAATGTGACAACATGCCCCAAAGGGTGGGGTACATTGTAACATTTTAAGCTGTCACCATAATGACAGCTTAAAATGCTATCTGATCTAATAAAAAATAAAAAAAACAAGTCAAACCAAAATATGTTCTTAATAAAATACAATTATTAACTTTTTCATATAAAATAATGGCATTTTTTAATAATTAAAAATAAACTAATTTTTGAGTTTGACAACAAACACACGGGAAAACACAGCATCATAGTTGTAAAATAATAATTAATAATTTCTGAACATTGACTCTCGGTCTTTATTTACATGTTTCTCATGTTTTCTCAATACAATTCATTCATAAAAGTATAGACTAATATTGTATTTCTAATAGGCGCACATTGTAACGCAGTGTTACAGCACGCCCCAACTGCACAACTGGGGTTTAAACCCTGCTAGTGTCTTCTGCTAGCGAAGCATTAAAGAACTATATCAACTGTTAAACAACAGATTCGAGATTAAAATAATATCAGATTTGTCTAATTGTAATTAAACAAAAAAATAGAGAGAAATAGAGATAAAAAAAAGTTATCTTAAGTAAGAAATGTACTTTTGCTATGGTTAAATAAATGTTCAGTGATATCTTACAAAGATTTCTGAATTTTGGCACAATTTTTTCTTTATAGTGTTGAAATGGCAACAAGTAAATACACCAAGTTTTGTCATGCTGGCATGTGTGGAAGTATTTAAAACAAGTGTGTTACAACTAGCCCTGTGCTACATTCAGTGTTACGAAGGTTACTTTGGAAATGTAATTGCTCACTGTTATAAGTTACCCATTATAAATGTGGTTTAGATTACTTTATTTGGATTACTTTATCAATGTAAAGCAATTTCCTTTTAATTTGATTAGTAACTAATTTAATTACACATTTTACCTCAGTAATGCAACTAAATACAATTACATTCATTTTGTAATTCAATAACATAATTTCATTACAGGTAAGTCACTCTTCAACCCTGCATACATTTTGTTGTAATATATACAAATGTCCACCTCAAAAAAAAAAGAAATTCCGTAAAGATTTACAAAAGAAATTCTGGGAAATGGAGTTAACATAATTACAATTACAATAAATCAAACTTAATTATTTGTTCTGTGACTAGAGCTTTTAACATTCATTATTGTTATTGAATTGTAATTCTGCTTCCTTTAATTCAAATTCGAATTGTAATTCTAGTTCCTGTTTTTGACATAAATTCAAATTCAAGAATTGAATTGGAATGCAGTAGTTATTCTCAATTCAATTCTGAATTGTGCACAAGCCTGGTGCATTGACAATAGTTTTATATAATTAGTTTACTAATTTAATTAACCTGGTCCGTAAACTTGGTCTGAAAATTTGGTCTATAAATCAAACACACTTGCCTGTAATAATATGAAACTCGGTACACATATAAATCTCATCGGGCCAAACTACTTTAAGCCAGCCCAACAGGAAGTCGGCTATTTTGGTCTGAATGTGGATGTTTAGCAAAACCAGCCTTTACATTTTTACTTACTCCTCTTAAGTGGTTTATTTTATTCCCACCAACCTTTTTCAACATGATGAAAATACATTAAAGATGCTCAATTGTTAACGGATATTGAACATCTCAAACGGTTTTGCTATGGCGAGGGATTATGTAAAAAAAAAAATCAGGAAACGTCTCATATCTTCTAAAAATGTAATTATACACAATTTATTTTTATATAGAATTATACAAATATTAGAACTAGACTAATTTTATTCTATTTGTTTTTCAATTCAAGTAGCATGAAAAAGTTTAAAACAGGCTATTTAGTGCTATGTGGTTAAACAAAAAAATCATACATAAGGCCACAACATACAACCTCTTGTGTCCAAAATGATATTAACATAGTACATTAAACTTTTTTATCAGGTATGGCTATTGTATTTATATATAAATATATTAGGTATGTGGCTGTGAGGATATTTTCCCACCGGTTAATCGATGTGTGACACCAGCGAGGGCTTTTAAACCGCTAATATAAAGGTGAAAGTAAAGGCGCTTTTACACAAAATATTCCGTCATCATCTTTTCAGTCAGCTCTTCACTCTGGTGATTAATGAAAGTTGACTCCTGTTGCTGATCTTTGCTGCAAAATTACAAATAATTCATTTCTATATAAAATAACATACTGACTAAAAATACTTTTGACGTTTCTTTTTTAATCAATTGTAGAATGTGTAACTTAAAAATAAACAGATTAGTGCTCTGTTTGAGGACAATCCTGTGTGGGGAGGGGAGGGGAGGGCAGGGGGATTTCTCTGTTGGGTGAGAATTAATTTAATTGAATGTTTTTCAAGGTAGCATTCTAATCAGGTAAAACAAGTAATATTCTCTGTGTTTCTATAAATATTATATATATATACTGTATATATTGTTATCTATCTATCTATCTATCTATCTATCTATCTATCTATCTATCTATCTATCTATCTATCTATAAATATATATAGCTACGAATACGAGCAGCGATTACGGCCCCAAGCCGGTGGCACCGCAACCCCGGTTATAGCACCTCCAACTGGCAGCAGGAAGTGTGTATCTTTCAAAATACTTTGAAATCACCCTCTTATTTTTTACCTGATTTGCTTCAAATTTCATTACTATAATGTAAACACACGGCAGATGTAGACCTGGATGTAGACCTGACCTTTCAGAAGGTTGTTCACGCACTTTGTGGTTGATATGTGCCCTCGATGCGCACTTTTGCAGAGCCCACACTGATGCAAGCTCTTCAGCACACTTCTTTTCGACAGTCAAAGCGGGGTTACGTTATTGCACGTCGTGCACAATAACCCTAAAGGCACCAGGGTGCCGGTGCCACCGGCTTTTTATATACATATATTTATGCTTAACTTTTTAGTGTGATTACAACCAAATAATATAGCTTGGCCGTGCATCGCTGCTCGCAGCTATATTATTTGGTTGTAATCACACAAAAAAGTTAAGCATAATTGTTCATTTTTTTATCTGCATTTTTTCTGATTAAACATTATGAACTATATTAACTGACAGTATGTATAGTTACAACATATTTTCAAACTTTATTATTTGACAAAGAAATTTAGTTGTTTCTGTTGGGTTTCTCCTGCATGGTTTACATCATCAATTTAATTCGTTTGCAGGCAGGGTTATTGGTGACGGAAAATATTAACAAAACATTAACAAAACACAAAAACAAATGATAAAAACTAATTTATTATCAATATAAGTTTTTTTAAAAATGGGATGAGATCCATTTTTATATACTTAAAAGTTGTCTTTTTGTCTCGGACTGAAACAATTTATGATTTAATTTAATCAAATCTACCAATAATATCTTACACTAATCTTTTTTTTTTACTCTCAGTCTCCACAAATAACACGTACCTAACAAATGAAAGTTGATTATGAAAACTGGACTGAAAATATCTTTTTCAAACACTTCGATGTTCAACAACTCTGTAAAAGAAGTCCTTATGTGCCTGACAGCGTCTCTTATTACAGTGTGCTGTTCCCGTGGGAGGATCCATGGACTAGTGTCACTCTTCTTAGGAATAGGCACTAGTGAAACCAGCAGAGTGAGTATAAATTCAGTTATGATTTAAGACTAAAAACAACAGACCACCAAAAATCAGGCCGAAAGCAGAGGTGGACAAAGTACACAACTTCCTTACTTGAGTAGTCAAATCTTACTCCGTTACAAATAAAAGTTGTAAAGACTGATTTTTGCTTAAGTAAAGAAGTACTTGTTTTTAAAAGTTTGTAAGTATCAAAAGTAAAAAGTAAATGTCAATGCATTGTTTTATTATTGTATCCTTATGCCTCTGAAGCAACCGTGAATACACTGACCAGTTAGTAGTATCTGTGGAATTAAGAGTTTTTAGAATGTTATAAAACCTGTACAAATTAAACAACTGAATTTACAAAAAAAAGCCATAATCATCTTTTTTTTTTTTTCTTTTTTTTAACTTGTAAGTCCGACTAATTCGATCCAAGGGCGGCATTCAAATTAGCGGTGAAGGTCACATGCGCGTTCCGTCTCTTCCAATGGCAAAGGGATTTTTAATTAAATGCAATACTTTTTATCTTATGTATTAACTCGTTTCATCTGACTCCATAAAAGAAAGTGTTTTTCAATGATATCTGTGCATCATTAAATATACGTTAATGTTTGACTATTCCTTTTAACTCCAATGAAAATAAAGTCAAAGTCTGTTAGAATAATCAAATATAACAATTTATTATGTCAGGTAAATGTATTTTAACAATTCCATAATCAATTGAAAGATAATCAATGCAAATCATCAAATGTTTTAGGATTAGAGAAATAGATGCAAACCCAACATGAACTACATGAGCTAAACCTCACGGGCTATCTGAAATACAGAAAAAGCCACGATCCCTTGCTGCCTTCCATTAAATAGCCAGACCTCATTTCATATGTAAACCTGTATTCACAGTGGAAATGTACTGTGTTCATCCCCCCAGACTTACTGGGGGCAGAAGTAAATTTACATGGTACCATTTGCTAACAGTGGAAATTAGCATTGAGTTCACACCTTGGAAGTAGGAGACCACATTCATTTGTGTGCCAGATATTCCTAAACTCTTAAAAAACCTTATTACCTTTTGTTTTATACTTTGGGAATGAGACATTTGTACCACTCATTCCTGAGACATTTCAAATGATACCAAACATAATACTCAATGATAATCATTCACATCAAACCATAGATATTCTTATGTGAGTTTTTATGTGTCACTGCGAGAGTGGGGGATGCGGGGAAGAAGTGTGTGTGTGTGTGAGAGTTCAAATGTTAATTTGCCAAGGTCCTTTGTCTCATAGACCAGTGGTCTATCTCTTCACCCAGTTTCCAGTTTTCCAGTCTTACAAACTACAACCTCAACAAAAGAAGTAGGCTACACATCTCTGTGCACCCCTTAATGCACATTTGAATCAAATGGTCTGTAAAAATCAGACCCAGCTACAGCTGTACAACTGCCCAACAGCAATACTGCTTTAAGTCAAGATACAGTTATTTATATAGCGCTTTTTACAATTCAGATTGTTTCAAAGTAGGGCTGAAACGTCGACAATAAGAAATTATCGACAAATATCTTTGTTGTCGAGTAGTCGTTTGAACTCACGTGACCAAATCTAAGGGCGTGCAATATCACGATTTGACCGCTGTGGTGCTAGAGTGTATTGAAGCCCTTTACAAATACTATTCGCTGATTTCACGCATTTCACGCAGCTGCCATTTTGAAATCGCTCCGGTGGGAAGAAAACCGGAAGTGTCGCTTTTAATCATAGGAGAGTCGCGAATTTGATGGCGTATTGTTGTTTTAATGTAGAAATTAGTTATTCTAAAAACGTACACACATTTCTTTCATACTTTAGACTATTTACAGTGAAATTCATTTATAAATAACTTTTTTTTTATTATATGTAATTCAGAAAGTAAAAAAAGAAGCAGGAACAAACTATATACATACCCTATATTGGATATTAACATCCAATAGTGTAAATCGCGGCAGCAGCTTCAGGTTGGTAGTCCAAGGCATTGTTGTCTATCTACCGGGGTTCTTCCTACCGGAGCCTCGCTTTCGATTTCAAAATGGTGGCTGCGTGAAATCAGCGTATTGCAGTAAAAGAAAAAACAGCGCGAATTATGACGGAGTGCAAACGAATCCGAACTATTACGGTTTGGTAAAGTTTCACAAAACGTCAAACCAAGAATGCTGTCGTGTGCAATACATGCTAGGTAGAACTTTTTCACGGAAGCACAACATGCATGTTGGAGCACTTAAAGAGGAAACATCCCGGCCAAAGAGGAGCCGGTGAGAATTGAGTGTTCTCCAGCTTGAGCTACGTTAACTAATTAGCGGTAAATCTCTTTATTAGAGAATGCAATACTACTAATAATAGTAATAATATTATCAATAATAATATAATTACAGTAATGTGATGATTTATTTTGCATAGAATAAAGCTTGATCGAGCTTAGGAGTCAGGGCTGTTTTTATTATTGCAACACTTAGGTTCCATCTAGTTGAATATCGGAGTCACGCCGGTATGGAGACGGATTTGTTGAGGATCAGTGCCGATGGCTGTCGTGTCTCTGAGGCCTTCACGGGGAGAGTCTAGTTGACACAATCTCTGCTGACACTTCAGGGATGCGTTCTGGTCGTGTCTAGGTGTAGGTCCACCATCTGATCTGGATACGGCCCAGATCCGGCTGACTACATCATGCGTTGTGGTCGTGTCTAGGCGCAGGTCCTCCATCTGATCTGGAGACGGCCCAGATCCAGCTGATTACAGTAAACCTTGGAATAAGCAGAAAGACCAACATAAGTGTAGATGCCATTCTTCTTATGATGTAGCGAGTACATCAGGTGTTATAGGAAGTGTTCCCGGTTCCGGCTGACCTAATTTATGCAGCCTATTAATCATTTAACTGATTTGAATAATAATAAATGTGTATGTCAGGTTAAAGAGATGTGTTTTAGTCTAGATTTAAACTGACAGAGTGTGTGCTTCCCGGACAATGTTAGGAAGACTGTTCCAGAGTTTTGGTGCTAAAAAGGGAAAGGATCTACCGCCAGCAGTCGATTTAGATATTCTAGGTATTATCAACTGGCCAGAATTTTGAGATTTCAATCGGCGTGAAGGACTATAATGCATTAAGAGCTCGCTCAAGTACTGGGGAGCTAAACCATTTAGTACTTTGTAAGTAATCAGCAATATTTTTAAAAGTATACAAATATTTTATAGGGAGCCAATGCAGTGTTGACAGAACCGGGCTAATATGGTCATACTTCCTGGTTCTGGTAAGAACTCTAGCTGCAGCGTTTTGGACCAGCTGTAGTTTGTTTATTAAGGGTGCAGGGCAACCACCCATAATAGCATTACAATAATCTAGCCTTGATATCATGAATGCATAAACTAACTGTTCCGCATTTTTCATTGAAAGCATATGTTGTACTTTAGATATATTTTTAAAATGGAAGAATGCGGTTTTACAGATACTAGAAACGTGGCTTTCAAATGAAAGATTGGTATCTAAGAGCACACACAGGTTCCTAACCGGCGACGAGGACTTGATGGAGCAGCCATCAAGTGGTAGACAGTATTATAGGTTAGTATGTGTAGAGGTTTTGGATCCAATCATTAGAAACTTTTTTTTTTTTTGCAAATACCATATCAGCTATGCAATTCCGTTAATTTCTTGAATTGGTAAGTTTCGTCAGGGCGCGAAGAAATATAGAGCTGAGTGTCATCGGCATAACAGTGAAAACTAATGTCATGCTTCCTAATGATATCTCCCAAGGGTAGCATGTACAGAGTGAACAGTACCTAGTACTGAGCCTTGTGGTACTCCATACATACATGATCGATAAGACATCTCTTCATTTACTGCTACAAACTGATAACGGTCAGACAACAGTAAATCAGAAATACCTATAGTATTTCCATGGATGCGCACACTGCGATCTGTCTTCGTCTATTTTGCCACGAGTTGATTAGTGTTCTAAGAAAGTGATAGGAAATCGCCGAACATCACAACACGTGACCATACAAGAGTGATTATTACTAATAGGCTGTCTGTCACCTATCATGTTTTAGAAATGGAAAAACATCTTGATATTACTTTTTACTCAAGGACCTTGACAGAAATGTAGTGGAATAAATAGTACGATATTTGCCTTTCAAATGTGGTGAAGTTAAAGTGAAAAGTTTTCAGAAAAAAAACAACTTAAGTACAGATACTCAAAAAGTATACTTAAGTATAGTACTCAAGTAAATGTACTTTGATACTGTCCACCTCTGGCCGAAAGAGGGTAGAATCAACACAGCGCTGACCGCAGTGTGCCGACTTCTACAACACGGCCGGATAAAGAACAGAGTGTTTTTACCTTTATCACTGATGAAAATGGTAACAGAAAAAGATAAGAGTCCAGAGACTCCTACAAATCCTTTTTAACAAGTTATTTTGTAACACATTCATATGTTGTGGATACGGAGAATCCCTCCTTCTTTTCAAACATTTGTATGCTTTTTCATTTTTAAGAGGCCAATGTCTCTCTCTTTCTGTGTCGTCACAATAAGGTGAGGCGTCCCCTCTCCAGAAAGCTGTGTTATGCGGTAGGTGGTGTACCATATCAGATGACCAACATTGCTATTGGTCTTTCTCTACATATCTTTCTGTTGGACGTAGTGCAGGTAAGAATGTCATCTGCCTTTTCTCACCTTTGGCTGAACAATAGTCCAGAGATGAATGATTTGTATGGTCATATTAATCTTTATTGCACTATCCCCTTCATTTTAAATGTTTTAACCCAAATTTGGGTCAAATATGGACAAACCCAAAAATTTACAGTTGAAAATTGAAAGTTGAAGTTGGGTACATTTTTAACCCAACATTTGGGTTTGTCCATATTTGACCCAAATTTTGGTTATCACAACCCAGCGTTGTGTAGAGTCCTTCTGTTAAAGCCCTCCTATTTTTTTTATTTTTTTAGTTTAAAGTCACCATGAAACCAAAATTGACAGTTCTTGTTTTTATGGAATATTGCAGTATTTATTATAAATGATTTATCCGTTCACATAATTATTATTTTTTTTTTTATGAATTTGCCCTTCTAATCTTTATTCAACATAACTTCCCCACCCTCTTGCAGCGACATCTCTTCTCTGATGATGCGTTTAGTGGCGCTAGGGCGGGACAAGCTGTCAATCATATGAGATCCACCAATAGCAAACCACAACCATCCAATCAATTCCTATTGGAAAAATCCAGTCTCATCCTAAAAATGTACCTGTTCGAGAAGTTTCAGTTGGATTTACTACACAATAGGAAAGAAAAGACTATCGGAAACGTCTGTTTCATGTCGACTGTTAAGTCAACATGAAACAGCATTCATAACCAATTTAATATCTATTTGAAAAAGGATATTCAATGAAAAAAAAAAGTGTAGGGCTTTATTTTATCAATCCAGAATTGATTGGATCGTGTAAGTGGCCAATACCAGAATGGCTAAAAAAATACCTAAAAAGCTACTTTGTTATTCGTTCCAATTATTTAAAAAAGCCAGTGCAGCCAAAGCGACATCAGCCGAAAAGAGAGATAATTTCAGAGGCAAGTCAGTACATTTTGATGAAAGATTACAAAAACAAACCTTTTTTTTTCTTTGGAATAATCAAGGAGGTTTATTATACATAAAGCAATTTATAAGAAATTGAAAAATATAGGTCAATTTCACACTTCTATGAACTTACAAAAAAGAATATAATATCTGTAATAACATAATGAATTTGTTGCTTTAAAAAAAAATTGGTCTGACAGCTATTGCTACTTTTGAATGCCAACAATGGAGAAAAACACTTTCTGGGTCCAGAATGTATGCACATCATAGTCTTGACCTACAGTCAGCACGATAGACCAGGAAAGAGCTCTATGCAAATAAATCCATTTCCATATCGGTTAACTTTAACTGCCAACTAAAGTTATGTCTAGGTTTTTTGAATGGAGTCATTTAATCTCAACAATCTTATCTCTGACATGGAAAGTATGCAATCCCCATATTTACCCTCATTTCTCTCTGTTTTGCTCTTGTGTGGTGTCCAGATGGAGACCCCCTCGTCGACTATATAGTGAGCAGGAGTCAGTGGACCCAAATCGGCAAGCTCCTCCCATGGTGGGTGGTACGATAAGAGGCGGAGTTTGTAACATGAGTGGTACTGTATATTTTAATTAAATATTACATAGTTTTATATTAAGATTTTTTTTTTTTTAGTGGATTCAGTGTTTAATGAGGAGTTGATTTAACCCTGTGGTGCTGCTCGTGTGGCGGTGAAAAATTACAGATTTTCTTTTCTCCATTAAATGAATGTGAAATATTTTAGTTTGATCATTTTTTTTTTAATTTAGTATTTTTAGGGGATTTTACGGTACTAAATTATATTTATGCAATAGTTGTGATCCATTCATTAGCTGTTAACCACTTTTTGAGCATAGACATGAAAATGACATTTCCAACTTGTTATAAATCTTGAATGCTTTGGAGACTTAAAGGTGCTCTAAGCGATGTCACGCGTTTTTTAGGCCAAAACTTTTTTTGTCACATACAGCAAACATCTCCTCACTATCCGCTAGCTGCCTGTCCCCTGAACACACTGTAAAGAAACACGGTCTCTGCAGACACCCCAGGCTCCACAAACGGCAACAAAAACAAACTGGGCTTACCCGCACCACGAAACATAACAAATTGTTCCAGCCAATGACCAACAAGAAGGGTTTGGGGGTGTGGTTTGGGGGGTTAGTGTGCGGATGAGGAGGAGGGAGGGTCTAGCTAGCCTCCGTTTTGTTTGACAATAGTTCGAACGTCAACAAGAAGTGACGTCAGCCAGGATCGCTTAAAGAACCTTTAAGACTTAAAGCAGCACTCAGTAAGAATTCCGTTTTTGTCAAACAGCGACCCCTAGAGTCGCTGTGGAGTACTTGTACTGTCGTGAATAGCACTCACGCAGAGATGGTTCGCGCTCACGGCCGGATCCCCTCCCCCTGTACACCGGTACCTGTTTAGTAGGATGGATGCTGTAACGAGTGGAAATAAGGTATGGCCCCTTTAAGAGCTGCGCGCACCCAACACCACATGTATATGCCGCCGGGTTATTTCTGTTTGATGCTCATTTTATCAGAATTTTATCAGATCTGTTTTTTGCCGTAAAGCAATTCGTTACCTCGCGAGACCTGATATCACCGCTCGCCGGCCCAAAGTTGCAAGGGTGGTTTTGCGGCTCACAGGCACCAGGGGGGTGCGAGACGACCACCAGTCAACACGAAATCCGTAATATAAACATTACAATGACCCCAAAGCTGTTCGGTTAAGGTAAAAAAGTTACTTAGTTCACCTTTAATTGTGGTCTCACACTAGGCAGATTATTGCTGAAGTAAAAAAAAAAAAATGAAAATGCATAAAAAACCTATTTTAAAAATTGCATATGAAATGTATCTTTTAAAACGTTTTTTACTCTAAAACTGTGAGAAAATCAAAGCCATAAATCTAAACAAGTTGTGTTCCAAATTTAAGGTTGATATCTAAAAAAAATTGCTTTCAGTAAGATTTTGTTTGGGCGCAGTATTCCAAACGTTTCCACTTGATGAAATTCGCTTCCCGTTAGTTTTCAATAGTTTCCAATTTGGTCAAGTGTGTGACCATATCTTTCCGGACTATTTAACCTTTTAGAATCATGTACATAATTTTATTTAGCACATAGCAAATGCCAAAACCTTTACCAAGTTTCGTACCGTTCCAAAGAAGTATAAAAAAATAAACAATAAAGTCCTCGACTGACCTACTACTTCTGCTGAGATTCTGAAGACGCTGGTAGGTCACGTGACAGTAACAACATATGTCTGGATAACATTTATACTACCTATATAGAGCATCATTTCGCAAAGGTTACAACGGTCGGAAAGTAAATTTCAAATATAGTAGCCTACCTACTCAGACAGCGATTTCGGACGCGACTAGTTTCAGCAGATCATTCATCTTCAATACTTGCGTGATTTAGTACAACAGCGTTCATTTCAGCATCAAACCGTTCCAGAGTTCACATGAACCGTACATGGACCACTCTTTTAATGCGGACTCGAGTACGGTTCGCCGGTGTGCACCAGAGTAGCCTACGGAAAACAGCGTTCACGTCATCCAAACGAAACTCTTACTGTACGTCAACCGAACCCGAAAGAAATGTTAGTGTGAAAGCAACCCATAGTCACCTTTAGAGGTTTACCCTGCTATAGTTTACTTCTGTTTTCCAAATGTGGAAAAAAGTCCATTTAGAACTTTACAATGAATAAATGACTGAATCGTTCATAAATGCATTAGCAAAAATAGCCTGACATTATGCTTTTAAACCCTCTGGCCTGCTTGACTGCCAAGCCTCCAGTGTAAGTGCACTATACTGTATGCGCATTTCCTGTTTGTTTTTACACTGAAGCATGAATCATAATAACTGTCTATGTTAATGAACATTATACAGTCGTACAGATGCTGTTCATAGACTCTTCAATTCGAGAGTTGAGAATGGAATGGTTGTAACGTGCAGTTTCCTGCACATGCAAGAAATGAGAAAAGTGGTTTATAATAGGGCTCTTGGTATGACTCATCTGTGTCAGTGCTGTAATTGCCACTGGTCATTCTTCCTGTGGTTTATACCTCACAATACAGTGAGCTCAGCGTTCAGAGTGCCCTGGTACCTAACCATCAGCTGTCTTTTTGAGACTTTCATGAGTGTATGACTTCCTTTCTTATTCTATCAATCTCTAACATATGCCCTGTCCTTTCCCCATGATGATTACTGGCCCAGCAAAAGCTTTTTATGTAATAGGCAAATTAGCCAACTTCCATTAGCACCACACTTGTGTTCATTATTGAGGTCAAATGGCTGTTACATCACACATCTACCCCCGCATGTCGTTCTTGACTTCTTCAAAGTGAACGTTTTGCTTCCTGCAGTGCTACAGTGTTCCATATACATCCCTCAACATGTTTCTGGGAGGAGATCAACAAGACAGAGACTCCTTGCAGAGAGAACATTTCAAACACTCATACTGAACGTCAGCGTTACAAAATCGAATTCTGTCATCATTTACTCACCCTCATGTTGTTTCAAACGTGACGTTTTTCCATGCAACACAAAAGGAGGAATTCTGAAGAAATATTATGGAAAGTGGGCATTCTTCACAAATTCATATTTTGCCTTCCACGGAAGAATCAAAGAAATTCATACGGGTTGAAACAACATGAGGATGCATTTTCCTTTTCCTTTTTTATCAAATGTTTGTTTGTGCTATGCATTTTTACGCATCTTATAATATTGTGCTATTAGCTTAGCAACATGCTAATTTTAAACTGTTGCAGTTAACTGAAACAAACTATTTAAAATCTTTTTCATTCATTAAAATATATATTAGATTAGATTTAGACAAACTAAAAAAAAAAAATTCAAATGAGATGTTTTCCAACTAAATAAAATAAAGTTGAAGTAATAAAAGAAAATGACTAAAACTAAAATAAAAATATAGCTAAATAGAAATATTTTTTAAAAACAAAAACTTGTCAAATGCACAAGAAAATGACTAAAACAAGTAATAGATAGAAAATATTCAAATAAAAGCTATTAAAACTATATAATTGTATGAATACTATGAAAGAAAAAAAGGATGTGTTAAATTGATCAAAAGTGACAGTTAAGACATTAACAATGTTTTAAAAGATTTCAAATAAATGCTATTCTTTTATACTTTCATTGATCAAAGAGGCAAGGTTTCCACAAAAATATTAAAGAGCGCCACTGTTTTCAACATTGATAATAATAAGAAATGTTTCTTGAGCAGCAGATCAGCATATTAGAATGATTTCTGAAGGATCATGTGACACTGAAGACTGGAGTAATGATGCTGAAAATTCAGCTTTGATCACAGGAATAAATTACGGTTTAAATGTGTATTCAAATTAAAACAGTTGTTTCACAATATTACAGTTTTTATTGTATTTTAAATCAAATAAATGCAACCTAGGTGTGCATAAGACACTTCTTTCGAATGCAATAACTAACACTGTTGAGAACTGATGCCATACATGCTACAATTACAAATAGCACTCAGTGGTTTGCACCAGATTTGGGGCACAGAGTTGCGACCTACATAGATGATTCCTCACAATGTTCCATTTTGGTTAGAATCCTGCAAGGCAGCTGCCCATTTAGGCAGTAGGCAGCTCACTAAATGTTGGAACAGGGCCATTATAATCTATTATTACACTGCCAAGACTGAAAAAACAGACCTAATCCTATCGCAGGATGTGTGCGATAGCGTTTCACAGAGCAATAGTTTGTATTATCGGTTGTTGTAAGGTTGTGTGCACATCTGTCTCACCCTATTTCTGTCTCTCTATCAGGGCTGAGTGTGGAGGCGTTAGCTATGCTGATGGCGACCGTGATTCAGGGTCAGGTGCTGTGGGTGTATAACAAAGACAGAGATCAAGCCTGTCTGAACGAGGACCAAGAACCGGACCTCCCACACAGCACAGCGCTGCACAAAACCATATCACAATAACACCTACACACCACACTGTGAAATACTGTGTAGGGCAACTGTTCAGACGTTACTTAGGTGTTTTACCATTTATAATTAGTGGCATTTGCTAAGGAAAGCTTAGCTTGTAATACTAAGGGATTTGAACAAAGCCATAAAGTATTTAACTTTGGGGTGTAATTTTTTGGGCTGTTTAGTGTGTGCAATTACACAATTACTTTCAATCTTTTTAACAGAATTTCTATAGGTAGTTTGCAGCCTCAGGGACAGTTAGTCTATGAGACCATGTGAAAATACACACTCTGACTAACATGTAATCCAACTTTCAACTGTTGTAATCTAGCTAAAACATTGTTTGAAAACACAGTAGGAAAAGTTCCTTATATGAGTACAGTTTAGTGCCACACTTTCATTGGGGAGGTCTTATTAATGCCCCTGTAATTTGCACCCTGAGTCTGTTTGCATATACAGTACACTTACATGTCTGTGTTTCCCAACAGAGAAATGCCTTCATGATATCAGCACTAGTCGTAAATGCACTCTTCTTTGTTTGTTGTATGGTGCTGTTCCTGGGGGTCAAAGAACAAAAACGTGTGCCGAACATTTGTGTCGAAATTATTTAATTTTTTAAAGCCGTGGTCACGCTTGACTTTGAGCACGCAACATTTATACATACACTGAAATGGTCGCAAAATGACGTCAGATTCTCCAGCGTATACATTATTCGCCATATATTGCCTAAAGATTGTAAAAATATGTAATCTGCTCCTTAAAGTTTGCGTTCTTTAAAAGGCACAATATGTACGATTAAAATATCCAATAACCACTAAAACAATGTTGTATATGTTGTTGACTTGTGTACTTATATTATCCCAAATGTTTCCTAGAGAAATCAGCTATTTTAACCAGTCTAAAATAGTAGCGTTATTTAAGGAATAATTGACAATGGGCTGTTGAATTATTAGAAAAAGAATGCACACCCGAGGTGGTAATGCGGCCATGACACGAAGAGGAGTGTGCATTCATTTTCAATAATTCAACAATTATTCCGTATATAAACTACAGTTACTACACCTCAAAACATTATTCAGATGATGTATTTCAAGACATTAGTCAGGTTTTTGTAACACTATTGTGTGGAGTAATTTCTTACGCATCTATTTCCAAGCGTTGCGAATTCCAAAAGGTAATTGTATAGCTAATAATGGAGGCTTGCGCCACTAATAGCAGACTAATGCAGTTATGAGAGAGAGAGAGAGAGAGAGAGAGAGAGAGAGTTATCAGGCGTGTGTAAATTACCTGAGTCTTTGCATCTTTCAACAGTGTTCAGCTGCAGTGTCTTTACTAATAGCAAAACTGTACGTTTATCTGCTCCAAGAACAGCGCCGTTATTACCTCGCAAGTGAGAAATGTCATGTAGCTTTTACGTTGATAAACTATCATTTTAACTATTGATAAAATCATCAGAGCAGTGCTGACAACACGTTTCTCTGCGAGTGGAAATCATTTGGCGTAGTGATATGGAACTGCCAGGAACTACTTTAGCCATACGTTTCCCTGAAAATAATTGCACACCTTAGAACGTTTGTCAACCAATCAGATTCAAACGTTCAACAGCCCCGTGGTATAAAACATAACTTTCAACACACTCAAACATATTTTTAGAATGATAGTTTTGACCAGGCAAAACAGCGTTGCATTACCCCACTATTTAAATTCAAATATGGCGTATAAGCATAATAAAAACCACAAGGTAAAATGTTCCAGGCTCTCGGGCCCGGCCTTCACCCCACAGTAATGTTAATAAAACTTTAATACTTTAGCTCATCCATGAACACGATTCCCGTCGGATTGCTTTCCATCGGCTGTGGAGGTGAAGACGACAACTCCCTCGATTCCACGCTCCTTCACAGCGCCATCAAGCTACGCCTTCGATGTTGTTTTAAATAAGTGACCTCTAGTGGCGAAACTTACATACTGTGCCTTTAATTCAGCTAAAAGGTCACCCTAGGGCATATCAATCTTTGGTCACACTTTAGATCAAGGTCCAATTCTCACTATTAACTAACTATTAACTACAACTTTTGCCTCAATAAACTCATAATTACGGCTTATAACTATTTTGTGAGGTAGTTGTTAAGTTTAGGTATTGGGTAAGATTAGGAATGTAGAAGAAAGTCATGCAGATTAAGGCATTACTATGTGCTTTAGAAGTACTAATAAACAGCCAATATCCTTGTAATATGCATGCTAATAAGCAACTAGTTAATAGTGAGAACTGGATTATGTGTTACCCAATCTTCTATTGGTCTTCATGTGATAAAACTTTGCAGGTCAGAATTCAACTATCTTGAACTTTGGAACGCAGTGAAGACTATAAAGAGCAGCTTGAGCTTGTGTTTCCTGTCTCTCGCATTCGTATGCATAATGTAAGTCAATGGAATGAAAAGTGTAGTGTGACCACACCTTCATTTCGAAGAATGTTTTGTATATATATTTTTTTTGTTCTGTTTTGCATGATTCCTTGATCATACATCTGAGCTTGAGGGTTTGATGACCAACATTTAATAATGATAACTTTATGGCAGACTACATTTTAAACATGTTTGTGAGCCAAACAATATGTGTTTGAACTCTATAGGGAATTTATTGTTTACGAATAAAATCCCACCAAACTAGCTCTTAACTCTATACCAGTTCGGTGTCGAATTTCATTGCTGATGTAATGATGTATTGTTGTATCTCACTCTGGCTCCTGTAGTGCCTCACAGTGTTCACATGCACACTACATACCTGAATGCTTTGACGAAGCTCACTGGCCATCTGTCATACCAGTGTCTTGTCCTCGGCTTCCTCTTCTCCAGCTTTTCAGGTTGGATCTCTAATTAACCTATAAAGTACATGGAAAATCAGAACTAGAACAAAAATGTCATGTTGACATGCAATCATATCAAGAGTATTTGATTGAAATTGTATGTGGTAAATAACAAAAACCTACCTTCTGTATTGTATAAATCGACTCTTATGTATGGCCGCAACCATATCAGTGCCAATGTGGCAGATGACACTGGTGAAGCCGAGCATGAAAACTGAACTTTTTATAGGTCTACCTGTAAGTTTCCTCTGATGGTGATGGTGAGGAGACCATACACAATGATTCTGGTGATGTTTTGGTGACATATACTGATCTATCTATATGTTCTTTGCCTGTGTTTCTCCGTAGTTCCTCATACCAGCTCTGATAGTCTTGGTTGCCATGCCAGAGAACTTTCCAGTTGTACATGGTCATGTGTGTTTTGGTTGGAGCTAGTTTAGCTGCACAGTTCTTGTTACCATGGGGAGTAACAATAAGACCTTCACGCTGTTCATCTCTGCTAATCAGGCCAGCATCCTCCACCATGGAGAGTTTAGCACTTGCCGATTTATCAGCAAATCTTACTTTAAAGGGTTAGTTCACCCATTAATTACTCACCCTCATGTCAATCCAAACCCGTAAGACATTCGTTCATCTTCTGAACACAAATGAAGATATTTTTGATGAAATCAGAACCAGGATTTCATCAACCAATCATAGGCAGCAACGTCATTGCAACTTTCCAGGCCATTGCAACTTTTCAAAGTAGTAAAGACAATGTTAAAATAGTCTACATGAGACTACAGTGGTTCAACCTTAATGTTATGAAGTGACGAGAATACTTTTTGTGCACAAAAAAACCCCACACAAAAATAACAACTTTATTCAACAATTTCTTCTCTTCTGTGTCATTCTCCTACGCTGTTGACGTAGTGTAAACAGTGCAGCGCTTCCGGGTTGTACGTCAGAACGTCGCCTCACTATTGGCCGACGCTGCTCACGTGAGCAGCACAACGCATGCGTGTGATGCTGACGCAGGAGCCGGCCAATAGTGAGGCGACGTTCTGACGTACAAGCACTGGACATTGTTTACTACGGGAATAGTAGTATTTCACTGTCTGATAATATTTGAAAAAAATTGTCTGGTAAAAAACAAACTAATGTGGTGTAACCAACAGTCATGTGAAACTAACATGAATTCAAAATTCTAAGAACTTGGCACACTTATTTTAAAGTAGATTTTGAAAGATTTTTAAGATTTTACCTTTTTCTTTATCTTGAACACTTTTATTCGTCATCGGTCCAGATCGGCACTGCTTGTGCTAAGGATAAATCAATGATAACTCAAATCTTGTTGAGGAGAGGTGTGTGCTATTACTTTTATAAGCAAACAGACATACAATCTTGCCTGCTGAGTGATAAAATGGATGACAAAATCTCATAGATTTACACACAAGTAAAGATCAGAATATTATATAGACTGGAAGGTCTGAACTTCGGCCAGTACGCAAAAGCAACACCCTGGAAACCACACCAAAACCCCCTACCACTACTAAAAACCAATCAGGACACCCTAACAACCAGCCTAAACACTTTTAGTGGTTGGGAGTTTTGCACGGGGAAGCACCTCCTAGTTTGGTCAGGTCAATGCTGCGAGATGTAGTGGATGAGTTTGCTGTTCAGACCCCCTCCTGCGGGGGCCCGGGGCCTGGAGCCCTAGCTTTTTTCATGCTCGAGGTTTTGCATCAAGCTCGGAGGAGGTCTGTCTGCTGGCATCTCCACTGTGACACTGCAGTGAGTCAGCACACGCTCTCTCCGAGCTAAGTAAAGCCTGATTTAATGTGGCAGTCTGTCAGTTTTTAAAAACATTGTGGACTCTGGGCCTAAGTACAAAGGCTCAAGTACAATTGTTCACGCTCTATGTCCTGCAAGTTTTTAAATATTGTCAGGCAAGAATGTTTGAGCAAAACAATGCTTCTGTTTGCAGTAGTTCAGCCCTTTTTATGGAAGTCCAAAATGTTCACATTGAAATGTTTACACAGAGCAATGTGTTTTGTTGAAGCTTTACAGGATATAAAGCAGGTGCATGTAGTCATGCGGATTGAATCATCTTGGCACTGAAACTGCTTTTGGTCCCCATACCGATCACCTTTTGCTGGTGGGTTTAGTGTTTTTCTATCTGTACCCAATCAATGAAGCACATCAGAAGAAGATTCAACAAGATCTCGGACACACAAGGTAAGATGTACTAGTGTCATCCAATGTCTACCCAGAATGTTTTGCTAATGTTCCCATTAAGTTTTGAAAACATAATTTCTTATTAATTCTTATTCTTATTTCTGAATGTTCTCTGAATGTTTAAAACTTCCACGTGTCGGAAACGAAAAGCGTTACGAATCAGAATTTCCGCTCCGAATCTTCCTCAGCACTTGATGCACTGTGATACGAAGAGGCACAATGGCGTTGTTTTTTCCGTATCAATTCCAGCGGGAGTCCTCATCCTTTTGAAGTGCAGAAAGGTGGATTTGCAATGTCGACAAAACGAACAAAACTCTACCAGGCTTCAGCTGCAACTAAAGTGTTTGAGGGAGGGTCAAAGTAGACGTTGTGCGAGGGCAGCCGATGAAGACCATAGGCTGGAAATTGGAATTATGCTAATTGTTACATAGGTATGTAACAGGAAGTGAGACTGGAATTACTGACGACTTGTTTCGGCAGTTCAGAATCGATTCTTTCTTTTAGGAGACAATAACTTTAATCGCCGTACCATACACTTTCATTTTTAAAACTTTGCCGAGGTTTTACATTTACAAACAGCTATATAACACACTGCATGGAAAGTATTTTTTGAAAAAAACATAATTGGGGCAGTTTGAAAATGTTAGACGAATGTCGAGCTAAAACATCCTCCATGAACGACGTATAAATAATGTTTTTGTGGGAACATTTGAAGAACATTATTAAAGACCAGGTAACTTTAAACAAACATTATATTTACGTTACTGGAAGAATGTTTGTTTAAAACTTTCAGTGCCTTTGCCAGAATGTTAGCTAAAGTTCTGAGAACGTTACCTGTTAGCGGAGTAAATCTGATAAGATTTATTAATGTTTTCTTTCGTTTTTTGGGGTCTAACAGTGCCACACTTCCACAAAGTGCCACAAGTTAACTAATCCATGGGTCCAGTCAGAGTTTCATCTTCAAATCAAAGCCTAGAATAACATCACATCTTTATGCAAACTAATCTGTCTCTCAAGCAAAAAATTCTTCAGAATCATCTCATCAAAAACACTGCAAGACAAGTGCTGATTTACATGTCAGGATGTTGAGTTTCAAGTCAACAAACCAATTTCATAAATCTAGAGCTTACCCAACATCATCACAACAACAAACACTGAACAAAATTATAAACGCAACACTTTTGTTTTTGCCCCCATTTTTCATGAGCTGAACTCAAAGATCTAAGACTTTTTCTATGTACACAAAAGGCCTATTTCTCTCAAATATTGTTCACAAATCTGTCTAAATCTGTGTTAGTGAGCACTTCTCCTTTGCCGAGATAATCCATCCACCTCACAGGTGTGGCATATCAAGATGCTGATTAGACAGTATGATTATTGCACAGGTGTGCCTTAGGCTGGCCTCAATAAAAGGCAACTCTAAAATGTGCAGTTTTATCACACAGATGCCACAGATGTCGCAAGTTTTGAGGGAGCGTGCAATTGGCACGCTGACTGCAGGAATGTCCACCAGAGCTGTTGCCCTTAAATTGAATGTTCAAAGGCGTTTCAGAGAACTTGGCAGTACATACAACCGGCCTCACAACCGCAGACAACGTGTAACCACACCAGCCCAAGACCTCCACATCCAGCATCTTCACCTCCAAGATCGTCTGAGACCAGCCACCCGGACAGCTGCTGCAACAATCAGTTTGCATAACCAAATAATTTTTTGCAAAAACTGTCAGAAACCGTCTCAGGGAAGCTCATCTACATGCTCGTCGTCCTCATCGGGGTCTCGGTGGGGTTATGGCAGGCCTATGTTATGGACAATGAACACTGGTGCATTTTATTGATGGCATTTTGAATGCACAGAGATACCGTGACGAGATCCTGAGGCCCATTTTTGTGCCATTCATATGTCTGTCCCCCCCCCCTTTTTTTTTTAATTTGTTGATGAATTTGTTCTGTTTTAAAATTTTGTTATTAAAACAATTTAAATTCTAAAGTAATATCACACTGTTGTTCTGAATATCAGCACTGTGATTCGCTTGTAGGCATGATGACGTCTATAATCACAGCAGTTCTGATATTCAGTAGCCTACTACAGATAGCCAATAAGTAATTTACATTGTAGACAAACTATTGCTACTTACTTTTTCTGTTGCAAACAAAGGCAAAGCAGAACCAAGTTGCTTACCGAGAAACACAGTGGAGTTCCTGAATGAATCTGTGTTTTGAACAAATCGGTTGAGTAAATTGATTCATATGGACAGTCAACGTTAACCTGCAAAAAAGAGTAACTGAAAATGCCTCTGCTGGCTTGTCTGGAACACGGCATAGTTTGGCATAGTTTCATAATTAAAATATACTTTAAAAGCTGGGGGAAACAAAATGAATTCAAAATGAATAATGAAGCGAAAAAAGCGATGAAAATGACGTAGGCTACCTGTTGTAACGGGTGTGGTTTGGTATACTGTGGTGGACGGAGTTGGATAAGCTATTAAAAATTTAAATTAAATATCAGCACTAGTCTTGCGCACACTGTTGTGTAATGAAAACTTAAATGTAAAAATGAAAATACACATATAGCTGTAAATGTATTTGAATTTCATTACACAGATAATGTTGCTGCTACCTTTTCCTAATTAATTCTGAATAGAACACACAACTACCAAATTAATATCAAAGTCCCTTTTAAGTTATTCTATATTCTTTGTTGTTATGCTCCTGATGTAGACTAAATCATTTTGTAAGGGTAGATATGATATGTCGGTTTCGTATGATGCCATATAGCCTACTTATATGGGTAGGCCTACTTATGTCAGTCAGGTAGGGTAATTATTTTATAATATGACCTTAAATGTTTATATCAGTTGCGTGTTACTACTTTTGTTAAATAATCACTACGTGTTAAATACTTTATTTGTGTTGGCTAATACCAAGTTAGCATTTTACTGGTATTATTATGGTTGGAAAACGGTGGTGACGGCTTTAGATATCCATAATGGTGACGGGGGTGAGGTTGATGGACGTACAGATGTAGAGCGCTGTTCGGTGTTCGGCCGCTGGGGGCGCTAATGCTCGAGTGTGGCGCAGACAGGGGGTTTTCTGCCCTCAATCACAATTACTGAATTACTGAAGCGCATTTTGTGTGCAGAGCTTCAGGAGTCAAAACAAGCAGCCAGGATGGGAGTCGAGGTTGAAACCATTACTCCTGGAGACGGTAAAATGCATCACATATGGGATCACATCGACCATTCAAAAACCACAATGCTTAAATATATCAAATGAATGGAATTTTAAATCGATTTAGTCTGCCTGTTTTTGGCATCACGGGCGTTAGCCTGCTAGCTAACCACTAACCTCTTCCCACAGGATTTGGCGGACAATTTTAATCGTTTTCTCTTCTTGTTTTGGATTTTTAGGAAGTACTTTCCCTAAAAAAGGACAGACCTGTGTCGTGCACTACGTGGGTAAGTTGACAAGTGATCGTGTTGATGAATCCCTGAAGGGTGTTAGCCAGCACTAAGTTAGCTGTTAGCCGCATTGACAATAACGTTAGATACTTAAGCTTCCGCGATCCGGTCAAGGCTTTACATTTTTAATATTTTTATGGGCCTTAATATTTACCACGTGTTTGATCGTTCCTTTTAGTTACTGAAAAGGAAAAGTTCCTTTTACGCGACTTTTTGACAGCGCTTGATTTGGAAACCGCGGCCTGTTTTTGCGGATATAGGGTGGCTTTATTGCCGTCATTTATGATGAGATGGGCTGTGTTAAAAATAGCGGGCAGTCCATTCAGGAAAACGTTTTAGGAGATTCGGTCTGAACATCACATTCGAGCGTTTATAATTTTCTCCAGCTTTGGTGCTAAAAAAAAATGCTGCAATTCGAATCGGTTCGATATGCTTTTCAGAATGCTTCGGTTTGAACGCGCCCGTAACTGTCAAACATATTTTGATTCGAACGAACTGTGGACGCTCATTGGGTGGTTTTGTTGAATCAAATTGTTGCGAATAAATAACAGCCATAAAAAGCTTTTAATTTTAGACATGATATGGGGTGTTGAGCATATGTTTTCTTTGCATGATTCATACGTTTGAAATATTCCTTTTTTTTTCTCTCAGGCTCCCTGACAGATGGACGCAAGTTCGACTCTTCCCGGGACCGGGGAAAGCCTTTCAAATTCAAAATTGGCAAACAGGAAGTGATCCGTGGTTGGGATGAGGGAGTAGCCCAGGTAAATGCTCATTCTTCCTGAAGTCAAAATGGATTTGATTTGCTCTATAAATCTGCTTGAGTCCTATATTAAGCTGTTTGTAACTGTCTGTTTATAAAGTAGGTCTCTGTCCCCTTTTCTTCATCAGACAAATACACACAAGCTGTCTAGTAGGGTTTTGATAACAAACCCTTGTCACTTATTTAACCTCCATGTACTGGACCTAATTTGGCCAAATGACCTTTTCCCCCTTGTAACAGATGAGTGTCGGGCAGCGTGCCAAGCTGACTTGCACTCCGGACTTTGCTTATGGGAGCAAGGGGCACCCGGGCATCATTCCTCCCAACGCCACCCTCGTATTCGATGTGGAGCTGATTGGCTTGGAATAAAGCCCCCACACTTGGACTCAGGTTATTCCCTATTCATTCTTTCAGGGTATGTGCAAAGTTTTCCACATTTTCCTTTTGAGTTAATTTGTTATTGTTGCTCAGTTTTTAAAACACTTAATGAATGCATAATTAATGGAAGTCAGTTCATCCAGTTGCATCATGCATGGATGACTTTAATAACTAACAGATAATCTTTAAAGGAGATTATTCTAGTCTTGGTCTTAACTGTCCTGTAGAGTTTATTTAACAGGCTCTTCGATTAAACCCTTGTAATCGTATTTATGGCCTTTGAGGAACACGGTTCAGTTGTTTAATAAACCTCTCTCTTTGTTTTCTTCCAGGTCAACCTTTTTAAGGAACATTGCTCCATGCATGTGATCCTCAAAAGGGGTAGTGTTAATAGCGATACCACTTAGCTTAGCTCTGTTTTGCATTTGTATATTTTGTTGCCTTTTTATTTCTTTTCTGCTTGACATAATCACTGGTATGCTCTCAATCATTGGAAGTTCACTAAGACACAAGTTTCTTTTTTTTCCCCCTTTCTCTCTTTTTATATTTGATTTCTGTGTTGTAAACGCGATCACAGCAACAGGGTTTTGGCTGAGCTGGTAATAAGTACTCTGGTGGGGAAATCTGGTTAAGTATAAAACAAACTACTTGAAAATAAATTGTTTATAAAACATTAAGCTGGTCTCTGATGTGTTGATTGGGAAACTGGGACGGTGTGTTTGCAGGTGCATCATAATCATGTCAAATTTGACGATAAATGGCAGAACATTTTGGAAGTCATTTGGTGCCAATCTCTGATATTGTGTATTTTGTGTACTCATTGGTCTAAATCCCACTCCACATGACTGTTAAACGTTAATTGTTTTGTCACAGCATTCTGCTTTATTTGAGGAAAGACTACGACACTGCAAATAAAAAATAAGAAAAGTAATTAGCACAACAGAAGCCATGTCATTTTAATAAAACACTTTTATTGTCAAGGTGCAATTGAAACAAACAATCCAAATTTACAATTAGGATCGAGTGTTGATGGGCTCTGCCTAAATACACAATCATACTTTGCAATGTTGCTGTTCAAATCAGCATGAGTTGTTTATTCAAATGTCTACTTGCAATATAATCTATAAGTTTATTGATAGTTAACTATGAGGAATTCTTGTGCTAACATGCATTCTAAGCCCTTACAATAATCTACTGGAATGCCATGATTACTCGGTTTTGTTCTTTTGTTGTACTTCAAATAAACCGAAGACTTTGTTTTACAAATGCATGAATTAGTTACATAATTGCATTACTGAAATCTGGACGCATGCAATAGTTAGACTCATTGGTTTTGAAGCGATGCGTTGATCAAAAAATCTAAAAACAAGACATTTATGACAGTAAATGTACATGTTCACAACTATTGTTATTTATAAACCTTTGTTTTTTTAATGAATGAATGTTTTGGCATGGGTTTTGACTAATTTTGCATCCTCTCTAGTACTATTCACCTGAGTTCCACCTGAGACTGATTTTAAAAGAACTGAAAATCTACCAACCAACAACAGATTAATAAAGTCATCTTAGGTCATCACCGTCCATTGCTTTATCAATAAAATTTGGCATTTTTAGCAAATAAACTGTGATGCAATTCAAATAATTCCATAAATATTATGCAAATGCACCGTCAAGCAGTTTCAGAATTCCCTTTGCTCATATATGAAGAAGCACAGTTGTGAAACTGATGAAACATAACTTCAGTAGAAAAGTCAAGAATGACATCAAGAGTAGTGATCCACAAAACACCACATTAGTTTAGGCATTTTTTTTAGAGATCCAAACAGTTTCTGGATGCCTATTGCTTTATGTGTTCATATTTTATGAAATAAGATGGATTGGCACAATGGTTGCTTAGCAACAGGTATGTAAAGGTTTAAAATTTGAAAGCCCAGCCTTACTAATTTGTTTGAGCTATAGGCTTGAAATTTTCACTTCATGAAGAACAAATTATATGTCTATATAACCTACCTAAAGTTACAAGTTTTCCTGTAAATGGGCCTCATTCGTGAAACATGAGCAGAATGAATTCAGTTCGATAGAACAGTTTACATAAGAATATTTCACATTATTTACACTAATGTCAGTGAGTAAATATCATATCACTAAAATCCCATAGGGGGGATGTTGCAAATTTTCTGAAACTGACAGTGATGATGGACCAAGGTCAATATTTCAGTAGTACAATTGTCATTGGATGAACAGAATAAAAATAACTCTTAAGGCATTTAATTATTATTATTTTTAAATCTGTGCTTAAAAGGCCTAAACTTCTGTACATTGTGTAGCGTGGACTCTGGTCATTGCTGTTTGCAGTTACTTTTGACTGTGTACTGCCTGTTGAGTTTCAGACAGGAAAGGGAGGAAATAAAGCAGATAAGAGAACCAGAAGGAGAAGGAAAAGGAAAACAAATGGTGGAAATGAGAGTGTCCGTGCAAATAAGGGCCACATTCCCTCGATCTTTGTCTCAAAAACGCATTTGAACCAAGAACAGATTTACGCCTCCTTGGTTCAAAGATATTACCAACAAGGACAAAGAGTTCACACAAGGTCCAGTTAAAAGTTTTTGATGGTACTGTAATGTTAAAGTTATCAGATAGGTGTCGCGTTTCCTGTTGCCGAGGGGACGCGACCACAGCCACTGCCAACCCGTCTGAGAGAGTGTAGCGCGACGGCGCAGCATCCGCGCAACAGGGAGCTCATGTTGTACATCGGCATGCCTTCATTCCGTGGCCCTCGGCAAAGCCACGCCAGTGTCGGAACTACGGGAACGGCCACCGCTAGGAGGTCGATCAGGAAATAGCGGCTCCAGTGGCTCCTCTGAGGGGGAGTTGATTCTTCATCCTCCTCCACTCCATCTTCATCATTGACTTTTACTACCGTTGTTTCCAGTGGCGGCAGCTCGAGAGGTGGTGGCGCTCTGGGACACGGTTGCTGAACCTGTGGCTTGGTCAGCACTGTTGGTGTCGCTGTTGATGTAAATTCAACTGTGCTGTCTAGCGGTAAAGTTTCTGTGATGTAAGACATCTGAGCAGGTGAAGTAGTGGCGGAGGATGGCGAAAACACCAGTGGCTCAGCTAAAGTGACGTCTGGTGCGCACGTTGCTGAAGTGATGACGCTCAATTCCTCTCCTCCGCCCTCTTCGGAGATCCAGGTTATGGTGGGGCTACAGGCCTGCGACCGGTACCCTGGCCTGTCACTCACTTCGGATGCACTAGGGGGTGCTGTTGGAGGAGGAGGTGGTGCTTCCTCCTGTGGGAGGTGCAGAAACAGATGGTGGTGTTGGAGGTAGGCATGTGGACCACAGCTACAGTTGTTATTAACAGCATGACAGGACCGGCTAACAGGCAACACCGTCTCTCCGCTACACAATCTCTCGCAGGTTGATGATCGCGACAAAGTGGAGCATAGCGTTGCGTGAGGGACTTGTTCAGACAGTAAAGCTGCTTCCAGAAGTAGATGAGTACGCCCATCACCTCTCGGTAACGTCATTGCCCCTCTGTTGGCGGGGATGTAGCGATCAGAACATACATTTCCATTGCGGTCTGTAGCGCCAGGTGACGTATCACTGCTCAGCCTGGTGAAGGTGGCGCTGCGACTCATGGTGTGGGCTGGAGAGCAGCCACAAGACCTTGATGCCCCAAACCGTTGGTTTATCCTACCGACACCTAGACCTTCAGACTTGCAGTCCTGTTGATCTGCCTCTGTCCCCAGGTTGGACTTAACTGTGTCAACAGCCTCCTGAAGCTGCCGGATCTCCTTCCGGGCCTTTTTTAGGGCCAGCTGAGCCTCTACGCGGTGACATTCCTCCTCTATCCAGTCCTCCTGCATCCTAGTCAGCTGAATCCGTAACTCCTCGACCTCAGAGTCTCTGCCGTGGTACAAAAAAACAAGGGCATAAGTAATAAATCCAATGCTGCATTCGAAATTGCAGATGGTTTAGTAGGTACTACATTTGGTTTGAAACTTACTTCTTGTCCATTAAAAAAATATGTTCTATATAGTATGAGTTTGGGGGGTATGAGTACAATCAGGATGAACTACAGCTGTCATGTGACCACTGTCATGTGGCGTAAGTTGCGGTGCTTCACTGTCATTCACAACTGCTCTCCTGCGGCCTTGTGGGATAATAAAGTGTTCATCAGATTTAAACTTCAGAATCTCGCCAGAAGTAGTTGGTCATTCAGGTACTTTTCGCCAACTGTTTTCTAAATACCATATTTGTAGTGAAGTAGGCATATTCGGACACTGGTTAGGTTCCGCTATATATATATATATATATATATATATATGTGTGTGTACTTGTTTAACCTACATTGTGAGGACCAAAATTCCCCACAAAGGAAATGGATTAGTAAACTGATGATTCCCCCTTCCATGTGAAGCCCTTTGAGTGCCTAGAAAAGCGCTATATAAATGTAATGAATTATTATTATTATTATTAAACATACTAAATTAAGGTTATTTGAACATTTAGGTTATTTGAAGTTTTCTGTGAAGGGTAGGTTTAGGGTTAGGGTTAGTTTATGGGGATAGAATATACGGTTTGTACAGTATAAAAAAACATGCCTATGGAGAGTCCCCACAAAGATAGTGAAACTGTTTGTGTGTGTGCGTGTGTGTGCGCACGCATGAATGATTCACAGGACATGATCTTGTACTGCTAGAATGGCAGGAAGCTGTAAAACTCCACTGACACGTTGACAGGTAGAAGCCCTACTAACCGGTCCTGAAGCCTCTCCACATTTTCCTTCAGCCGAGCTCGTAAGTGACGAATACACACTTCCTTCTGCTGCAGTGGGGTGAGATACTGCTCAGGAGCTGGTGGACGGATCCCGTGATTCTCACTACAGGTCGCATACTTTACCTGCCGTCTGGTTTAGAAAGCAAGGAATGCATAATATTTAATTGTGATTAATCTCATAATTTTTAAATATTTAATATGTTAACGGTACAAATAAAACTAAATAACAGGTCCAAGTGTAATTATTGGGCTCATGGTGTGACAGTGTACATTTAGGCAACAATGATTTTTTTACCCGTCTCACTTGCACAAAAAGCAACAGATTGTATATTTCTCTATTTCTGCTGAAGAGAAAATTAAGGAAGCTCTAAGAGGTCATGCATTGTACTTTTTTCTTCCTTGTTTTCTTGTGATCTCGAAATAAAATTGCTATTTTCACAAAGTATCGACATAACAAAAGTTGTTTTCTTTTGAACACACCTTTTTACCATGTACTCAACATAATAGCATGCTGTTTTTTATTGTACTAGGGGCAGCAAAAGCTTGGCGCAATCTTTAAACATCATCAGTGAACAAATTGTTTTTTACTTTGATCAGGGATTCAGCTCTACATCTGTGAGTGACTGGCAACTTCCACATTCATGTTGTACATTTGAGAAGCTGTCCGGTCTACAGTTTTATTGTCGAAGACAATATAGTGACCCTAAATATGTGGTCAGTTTTATTGCCAGCCAGTCCATCTGTACAGCGTGCAATTTGTAATGGCAATGGGGAAGACATAACGTGCATGCAAAACCAGTCCCACTCACAAGAAAATTTAATTAAAGATAAAATTACATTGCGAGTCAATTGGAAATGAGACCTACAAAGGAAGAGATTTTCAGAGAATAACAGCTATGTCTTGACTTCAGAAGACTTAGAATATACACTACCTGGCAAAAAAAAAAAAAAAAAAAGTTGCTGTTTGGATTTTAATAGGCAAATGCTTATGAGTACATAATTTGATCATTAATGCTTGACAAAAAAAAAAAAGCACATCTTGATGGAAATAAATGTGATGTTATTTCCAACAAGAGGCGCATCAATTTATGGTCAAGATCTTGTATTGTCAATGCAAGAGTCCAGCTCTCTGTAAAGTCTCCTCCAGAACATCCCAAAGACTTTCAGTGAATTTAAGATCTGGACTCAGAGGAGCCGATTCATGTGTGAAAATGATTCTTCATGAACCTCACAATCATTCTTTCACAATCTGAGGCCCTGTCCACACGGACACGGGTATTTTTATAACCGTGACTTTTTTTACGCGGTTCGGCCGTTCGTCCACACGAAAACGCACTGAAACCGAACATTTTTGAAAACCCCTGCCAGGGTGAGGATTTTCAGAAACGCCGGTTACAGTGTTGTCGTGTAGACAGGGAAACCGGGGTTTTTGCCTTGCGACGTCAGAGTTTGCGCCATTACCCGCTGTGTTTGACGTCAGATGTGCGCTTCTGATTGGCCAACGTGGCTTTACGGTTAATGTTTATATCGCCGCCTGCTGGCATGGCATGCTCTTGACCGCGCTTGATAGCGTGTTTTTACGTTTTCATGTAGACAGAGACCGAGCATGTGTGGACGGGATTTTTTTTAAAAACGCTGTAGGAAAAACTCCGGTTATAAAAATACCCGTGTCCGTGTGGACAAGGCCTCGACATTGTCATCCTGGAATATGGCCATGATGTGTCTTCCTACATGGATGTTTAAGAATTGAAAAGCTACACACTCCATCAATTAGGGTTAGAAAAACTGACAAACAAACAGCAACTTTTTTTTTGGCCGGGCAGTGTAGCGTTCGAGTAGTATGAATTACTTTTCATGGGCAGTTGTGCCCTAATGGTAAGAATGTCAGACTGGTAACCCGAAGGTTGCAGGTTTGATCCTCAATACGGGCAGGAAATGACTGAGATGCCCTTGAGCAAGTCACCGAACCCCCAATCGCTCTCTGGGCGCCGCAGAAAAAATGGCTGCCCACTGCTTCCAGCTCTCGTGTGTGTCCACGGTTTGCAGTGTGTGTGTTCACTGCTGACTACTAATGTGTGCACTTACTGCACTAAATTGGATGCAGAGGTCAAATTCTGAGTATGGGTACCATACATGTCACTTTTATGATGCTTTTTTGTCCTTTTTTGTAGCATAAAAGCCCCAGTCCCCATTCACCTTCACATAGAAAAGAGCAGGTTGTACATTCTACAAAATATCTCCTTTTGTGTTCTACAGAGGTCCGAATGACATGAGGGAAGGTAAATTAAGAATTAAAATTTTTGTGTGAACTATTCCAACATGCACAATCACATCAGCATTTCTGTATTTCAGAACTTCTGAATTTCCGATTTAGACACAAGTAACCAGACTTATAAATGGATATAGAGTCATGTCTGTTTCATTAATTCTATTTTTGTACTGTACTTTTTGCCACCATACGAAATCTGGAACACGACCCTAATGGAAGACAAATCTAATCTGCCTTCGAGTGTGTGCGCCGCTCACCGTGGTGTGGCTGGATTGGAGCGTGGTACAGTATTGCTCTCTGTGCACTTGCAGGATGCTGTTGAGTAACTGCTACGGACAGTCGAGTCTCCAAGCGAGTGTCGAGTGCTGCTTGGGGCAGCAGACCTTCTATGACACACACACACACACACACACACACACACACACACACACACACACACACACACACACACACACACACACACACACACACACACACACACACACACACACACACACACACACACACACAGTGACAGCTGAGCTCTGACGTCCATTTCAAACATGCTGTCACAGTGAAACTGGATGTGTTTTTGAAGGAATTCACACTACTGGTGCTTAATGAATATATCACATCATAATAATCAGAAAACTATTGATATGTTTGATTATGCATGAAAAAAAAGGCGGATAGCATTACTTGCGGGAACCAGCAGATGGTCTTCGGTTCACGGGGAGGGACATGGGTAAGGACTGGCACCTTGTAACGGCACAATTACAAGGATTCTTCAGGACAGATCTCTCTAAAACACACATACACCACAGATGAGACAGGATATTGGTCTCTTGGACAGGGATCTTTTTAATGGAATACAAAATGTTCAGATTATATTTTTAAAAGAGTTACTGACCTTGACATACATGAGGGGCTCCTCTCTATGATATAATTTCATGAATTATATATATTTTTAATGCGTGTTTCTGCATGTGGGCTGCACCACATGATTCTGATTAACGGGGAAAAGTTTTTCGATTCTGAAAAAGCAGTGAATGAGATTTCCTTTTTAAGTGACCATGAAATCAAAACTGCCATTTCTTTTTTTAAACCTTTTACATGTAAATTATTATTATTAAAATATTCTAGCTGAGCCCCAGTGTGAGTTTTTTAAGGCAACCGTTATTTTAAATAGCGCTGTATTACAGATGTATCTCTTTTTCTTTTCTTTTTTTTTTTAAATATTCACAAACTTGTTAACTATATCATGAACTATCTTATATTCTGGTTTTAAAATATGTGAATGTGTTCTGTCATTTAAGTACCTTTATAATGATCATGTTAGCTGATCTATAACGCGCGATGGGCGCCGCCATGTTAGTTTGCGCCGCAATTCAAAGAATCGCATCTGTCGGATTTACGTCACATAAATTCATCCACTTCTCCTGAAATACATGAAAGTGGCTGATGAACTGGGAGAAGAATAGAGTAAACTTTATAGTTAGCCATATGTGTATCTGATATGAATAAAACATGTTGTCAAATTATAGTTGAAAGGATTATTAGACACGTGTGTTTTTTTTGGTAGTACTTATGTGTATTTAAATGTCTGAAACCTATAATAAACATTATGTGGTTGAAATCACTGAATAGTTGTGATATTATAGGGCAATCTCGAATCTACCTTTTCTGTCAAAGATACTAGAAAAGGCAGTATCCTCACAACTATGTTCCTTTTTAGAAAAAAATGGAAATGGTTTTCAATCAGGATTTAGACCATACCATAGTACTGAGACAGCTCTTATTAGTCACAAATGATTTGCTGTTATCATCCGATCGTGGTTGTATCTCTCTATTAGTGTTACTCGATCTTAGTGCTGCATTTGATACTATTGACAACATTCTTTTAAATAGACTAGAAAATTATGTTGGCATTAGTGGAAATGCATTAGCATGGTTTAAATCATACTTATCTGACCGTTATCAGTTTGTAGCATTAAATGAAGAGATGTCTTATCGATCACAAGTTCAGTATGGAGTAACACAAGGCTCAGTACTAGGACCGTTGCTGTTCACTCTGTCACCCCTTAGGAGACATCATTAGGAAGCATGGCATTAGTTTTCACTGTTATGCTGATGACACTCAGCTCTATATTTCTTCACGCCCTGACGAAACTTACCAATTCACAAAATTAACGAAATGCATAGCTGATATAAAAAACTGGAAGACTAGTAACTTCCTACTACTTAATTCTGAAAAAACAGAGATTCTAATTATTGGACAAAAAACTTCCTCACGTAATAATTTTGAATACTGTCTAACACTTGACGGCTGCTCTGTCAAGTTTTCGTCGTTGGTTAGGAAATAGGAACCTGGGTGTGATCTTTGATACCAATTGAAAGTCACGTGTCTAGTATCTGTAAAACTTTTTCATCTTAAAAATATATCTAAATGACGTCATATGCTCTCAATGAAAAATGCAGAAAAATTAGTTCATGCGTTTATGACATCAAGGCTAGATTATTGTAATGCTATTATGGGTGGTTGCCCTGCATGCTTAATAAACAAACTACAGCTGGTCCAAAACACAGCAGCTAGAGTTCTTACCAGAACCAGGAAGTATGACCATATTAGCCCAGTTCTGTCAACACTGCATTGGCTCCCTATTAAACATCGTATAAATTTTAAAATATTGCTGATCACTTAAAAAGCACTAAATGGTTTAGCTCCCCAGTACTTGAGCGAGCTCTTAACGCATTATAGTCCTTCACGTCTATTGCGATCTCAAAATTCCGTCCAGTTGGTAATACCTAGAATTTCAAAATCGACTGCTGGCGGTAGATCCTTTTCCTATTTAACACCTAAACTTTGGAACAGTCTTCCTAACATTGTCCGGGAAGCAGACACACTCTGTCAGTTCAAATCAAGACTAAAAATCTTCATTTTCATTTTTAGCCTCATCAGCCCTCTGAAGGCCTCATCGACACAACAGCCATCGGCACTGATCCTCAACAAACTCGTCTCCATACCGGCATGATGACTCCGACTTCCAACCAGATGGAACTGGATTAATATTCTGAATGTTCCGATCCAATCTGACTTCTGACCTGCAAGGCTGCCTGAATCATAATCATACACTGTTCGTTTATTGGCCAGAGGAGAACTGGCCCCCAGCCTGGTTTCTCCCCAGGTTTTTTTCTCCATTCTGTCACTTGATGGAGTTTTGGTTCCTTGCTACTGTTGCCTTGGCTTTTAGTTTGCTTAGTTGGGGAAATTTAATATTCAACTATATTATTGATCTGCTGCTTTGATGCAATCTGTATTGTAAAAAGCACTATATAAATAAAGGTGACTTGACTTTAACAATACTATAATTAATTTTAATTAATAGATACATATTCATTAATAAAAATATGTACATCATCATAGAATAGCTGTATTTAGGTCGCTGTATGTATGAATTAGATTATGTATTTTTCATTGACCCAAAAGCAAAATGTTAATGCTGTTATTTTCCAAACACAAACAAACACAAAACAAGTCATATGACATTCTGAAGCCACACCCTTTTTGTGTTCCATGGTAGAAAGTTAGTCATGACAGTTTAGAATAACACAAAAGGCTAAACTATAAGCTGCGGTGGCCATTTGATAGCCACAAACACAAGTGTTTATTAGGACACTCTGTAACCTTGCATCGCACTACAATACCAAATCCATGAAGACACATGCCAGACAATATTAGATTCTCAAGATGCTGAACACAATCCAACAGAGAGCATTTCATTCTGGATGCCACATGACTCACAAGACAATAAATGCTTATGTAAACCAAACATTCAGAACAATACACAAAATGAACTAGACAAAGGCACTCACACATATATACAGCGGACAGATTCTTTCACACTTTGCACTAAGCTATTCACACACTGACAGAAACGTTGATTGACTATCATGATATGGTGACATGAGTGACAAGTGTGTGTGTGGGTGTGACTGACTGGATGTCATGATGACAAAGCTAGTGTGAACTATGAGATTCATGTGCTTCTAGATTATTTTTATGCATATTTGATGAATGTTCTCAGAATACTCAACTGTCCAAGAATCTCCTGTCATCCATAAATGTGATAATAGTAGTGGACCCTTTGTAAGCAGTTTTGCAGTATGTTTGGATTGGATTCTGCATCTCTGAAAAATGTTTATTTCAGTCCACAATGTGCAATGACAAATAAATTGATTCGCTGAGAAGTTTGCACTGTCATCAGCAAAGAAAAAGGGAATTCATATAAATTCTTTAAGTATGATAACATTTCCTGACACTGTTTTGAAAAATAAAAACCCTCCACAGTAAATAAGCAGAATGTGTATGATATGGCAGTATATTTAGCCCCTGGGCATCTGTCAGACAACAGGGTTCAGTTCAGGACAGTGAACAACATAAGGTCTGCACTATGATTAACATTGACACAGACACATACACAATATCTGGAGACTATGAATCCATATGTTCTAAAACCAGCCTGAACCGTCAAATCCATCTTTCTTTACCATCCTAAACAAACCCCCTCAAACTACTTCCTGTTGCTCACTTTCATTTCTGTTCTAGTTTGGTTTGCCACATTTCTTATGTTACTATGTTTATGTTGCATTCATCATTCTAAATCTAAATACACTGTGTATTGGAGTCTGAGACTACACTGTAAATCAGGGACTTTCTTTATTTAAACCTGGAAATAAACAGAACATTACAGAATTTTGAAAACATTACAAGAAATGATATAATGTAATATAAATATAAAATAGTTCTGCACTATTAATAATGACTAAACAAATTAAATCTGTGGGTTTATTGAATGAGACATCATTTGTGACACTTGAGACACAAAACGTGATGCTAAAACCACCAACATCGACACTGTTATTGAACTGAACTGAATCAACATTGAACTGAATAATGACACTATTGTCCTTGGTAGCAGCTTTACAGCAAAAATTTAATGATCTTATATTTGATCGTTTTCCATATTGACTGTTATATTCTTGTTAATACTGTAAAGCTGCTTTGAAACAATCTGTATTGTATTAGCCCTATAGAAATAAAAGGGACTTGGCGTTGATTGAACACATAGGCAGATGTTTTTTGGAACGTCTCAAATCTAAATCCATGCCCAAATGTTTTGCTGACAATATGTGTATTGGAAATACACATCAGAAAAATACAAATTAGCATTTTCACTAGTGGTACTATTAGTGTAAGAAATTAACATTTTAAGGGGCAATATTTTAATTAATTTTCAGCATTTTATTTTTTATATTATATATATATATATATATATATATAAATCTTTTATGTGAAATTAAAAGATCTCCATTATATTGGAGAGCCCAATCCCTAACAATATTCAAAAAATGACTGAAGACTGAAAACCTTCTATTCTTTCATTATTTCTTAATCCCTCCATGTTCTAGCTTGTACTATTCTGAATATCTGAAACTTTGTATTGCTAGCACTTCTTGTGTTACTGCCTCCTTAAGATGAATTTGCAAGTCGCTTTAAATAAAAGTGTCTGCTAAATGAATAAATGTAAAATGAAATGTCATATACTTCATTTGAATCAATCAATTGAAATACATTTTCAATTCAAACAACTGTCTGTTGCCAAATCAACATTAAATACAAAAGTCCCTGTAAATAATGCCCAAGATCATGACACAGTAAACGCTCAACTAAAATACAGCTTAAACAACTGTCTCGTCTTTCTGTTTGATCACAGTAATATTTTAATGCTGTCAGTCAAGTTTTGGAGCTCCATCCAATGTTTTTAAGGCTGATTTAACTTTCATTTGACATTACTACACATTCAACAACACTTGCCTCTGAACAATATCTGACAGTCGCAGGTCACTCTGGTGTCTGCAGAGACTCTAAGCCTATGGCCAGATAGGACTACAATAAAGATAATATTAATAAATAAAAGTAAAAAAAAAGGCACTACAGGGGCTTTTTTCTACCACATTTTAAATATCTGAGACATATCCATGTATTGTACTACAATATACAGTAACACAAACCAAGATATAAACATTTAAATGCTACATCCATGGTTTCAGGACCCGCGGTGGGAGCGGGGCATGGTGACGTCACCACCCTCCATATGTTGCAGGTAAATCGTAAAGGGCACAAGCGGTCTTATGTAACAGTATGTGACATATCAGCAGAATACGATCCGCCTGTCTGAGACTGAAACGCGGCGCTGCAACAGTGCGTCGTTGGTTTTGCAGGACACAAAACTATATTAGGCTTTAGAACAAGCTTAGTCTAAACTGTTTTATGCTGAGAAACGCACTTATGATACACAAATAATTTTGATGATGAACATTAAGCCTCCATCATAACATTACAGACGAGTTTATGAAAGTCGAGAGAAGAGTAAGACCTGGTTGAACGTGACTTACATCCTCTGCTTTTCCGTCGACGCTGCTTTGCAGTCTCCCATTCCCAGTGAAGTTTGTTCATGGATGTTATTGGCTGTCATTTCTCCCGGGTCGGTTGATGATGGGACTGATGGATGCTGCTGCTGATGAGAGCGCGCGCACGAGACCTGCGAAAGCAGAAACGACGCATTTGCGTGACGCTGCAACGGCGTTTCTTAAAGGGGCAGGGGGGCAGGAAACGAATGTTAAAAAAGGATAAAATTACCTGGTCGCAGAGAATCAGGTTATCTTCCGATCTGGACTTCAAGTGTTTTGTACAGTTATTGTGCGCACATATCTCTCTTTAGTAGTTTTGAACCTTTAAAACGTTAGTTAATCCCAGTGGCGATTGCTTTAAAATAGCAGCTTAACATGTAATTAAACTCTTCATGATTAAATGTAGCTTATTGCCGTTCATCAGTGGGAGTCTATGGCAAAGGCTTGTACCACTGTTTTTGTTGGACGTCACACCAACACATCAAAACAGAAGATATACATGCCTATGTTTGTTTTTGAGTATCTTCTTTGAAACACCAGGAATTCATGGGTCATATATAGAATTTAAGAAAAAAAAATATTTATTTTATCAGTTTGGAGGCCCAAACTGAGCACAATAATTGTACTGATGCTGATATTTATAAGGCCAAAAAGTAAGATGCAATTCTTACAGCTTGTAATGTAAATAAATGAGATCTTTATAAGAGTATAGGAGAGTAGGCTGCTATATAAATATCAGTTATAAATATAAATGCATATCAAATTATTATATTATATTATATATCAAATTATTATAAGTGAATATAAATATCAGTTGTCACTACAGTACATCTCCCATTAAAATATGTTAAGATTATATTTGTTTGTTTTTTATTGTAGGGGGCAAAACAGATTTTCAGCAAAGTTTTGATCATGTTGATAATTTAGAGGCCTTAAATTAATATATTAAACATGATACAGTAGGCTTTATAAGGTTAAGTGCGCATGCAGTGAACACTACTATCCAGTAATGCTTGCTGCAGACAGATAAGATTAGAGATCTGAAATGGTTGAGTCGTATCTACTTTATGATGCTATTTTTCTCAGCACTCAATTCACTAAGATTCACATCAGTCCCCATCCACTGCCATTTTAAAAGAGCAATCTGCTAAACTTCTCCTTTAGTGTTTGTGAAAGTATGTCAGTTTGTAACAACATGAGAAAGAGTAAAGGATTTTGTTTTTCCTTTTAGTTTTGCAATATTTATTTGATTTATACATTTAATGGTTTATAAGGATTCTGTGAAAAGAAAATACAGATCAAAATAACCAACACAGAGCAGAACTGTTTTTAAAACATAACTATTACTACATTAAACTGTAGGAAGAAAAGACTAATAACTATTCATGCTCGACTTTCAAGCCATTGCAACTCACTTTTCAATAATGAACAAATATTGGTCAATTTACTAAGATCATTAAATTGGTTAAACTGAAACAATCAAATTAATGATCATTTGATGCAGACAATTCACTGTGCTGCTTTACAGTACGATTTAGCCAGCTCATATAGATCTGAGAACAATATATTATATATTAGAAACAGTATAACACTATGCAGATGCATTTCATTTTTTTAGCACAGGGATTCATAACACATTGTTGAAATTAAAAAACAAAACAGAAATTCATCAAATTTGTTTCCATCCAAGAACATGAATGACACAACAAAGCCCTTTAACGAGTCAAAGCCTCAAATGTTTTTCCCTCCATTGCTTCATGGCTACCTGTTCTAGGGGGAGTGAAAGAGAGGCCCAGGTGTGGCGATGATGTCACTGTATGGGGCGCTCTGGTGCAGGTCGAGAAGTTGTTGTTTCTTTAACACCAGCAAGCAGAAAAACATGGCTGCCACGTATGAACGACTGCTGCTCTCACATAAAGCGTGAAGACTGTACGCGGCATTGGGAGAAGAGTCTTGTCTCTGAAGAGAAAGGAGAAGTTAGTTCAAGTTCAAACCTAAAACATGCATATATCCACTAACACATTATCAAGTATGCAAATTATATAGTGAATTTTAGGAGGGTCAGCCTTTTTGAAAGGAATCTTTATAGATTTTTTTTGGAGAGCAATCAAATATGGGGTTAGAATTGTTGCATTACTCCAAATAAATAGATTAAGATCCACAAATAAATGTAAAGAGATTTACAAAAAATTATAAAATTCACAAATAAATAAAATGAGATTTGCAAATGAAAAATAAAACATTTACAAATGTGTTTTATGTCACAAACACAACTCTGCCTGGCATTTATTTGTGAATCGCTTCTTGTGCATTTGTAAATCCCCTCATGCATCTGTGGATTTTAAAACACTTCTATATGGCGTTATTATCCTGTCCAATGTTGAGAGCGCATTATTGTAGCGCGAAAGTACATTAATATTATGCGCGAGCGTGAATCTCTCTGCTCGCGCGCGGAATATGATGTGCCGAGCGTGAATCCCTCTGCTCGCGCGCGGAATATGATATGCCCAGCGCGAATCTCTCTGCTCGGGCGCGGGAACTGGGCACGCGCTCTCAGATACACTTCTCTTGTAAGAATTCTCTCTCTGGGCTGAGTGGGCTCGCTGCCTTGCTCAGAGAATATGCCTGCACTTAAAACGTGTTCAGTGCAATCGCGAATTGCTCCTCTTCCCCAGCTAACAATTTTAGGTTATAAGAACGTTTTCATAACGTTCCCATTAAGTTATAAAAACGTTATTTCTGAATGTTCTAGGGAATTTCAAAAAGTCCAGTTTTTTAGACGTTGTATTAAGGTTATTTCTTGGTTATAAGACCGTTCAATTCTCCCGTTGAAAAACATTAAGAGAACGTTAATGGGAGAATTGAACGTTTGAATAACTTCTTATAACCAAGCAAGAAGGTTAATACAACGTTTATATAAAGGGAGAATTGAACGTTCTAACGTTATTATAACCAGGAAATAACATTAATACAACGTTTACATAACTGGAGAATTGAACTTTCTTATAACCAAGAAATAACGTTAATACAACGTCTAAAAAACTGGACTTTTTGAAATTCCCTAGAACATTCAGAAATAACATTTTTATAAATTAATGGGAACGTTATGAAAACGTTCTTATAACCTAAAATTGTTAGCTGGGGAAGAGGAGCAATTCGCGATTGCACTGAACACGTTTTAAGTGCAGGCATATTCTCTGAGCAAGGCAGCGAAGCCCACTCAGCCCAGAGAGAGAATTCTTACAAGAGAAGTGTATCTGAGAGCGCGCGCCCAGTTCCCGCGCGAGCAGAGAGATTCGCGCTCGGCATATCATATTCCGCGCGCGAGCAGAGAGATTCACGCTCGGCATATCATATTCCGCGCGCGAGCAGAGAGATTCACGCTCGGCACATCATATTCCGCGCGCGAGCAGAGGGATTCACGCTCGGCACATCATATTCCGCGCGCGAGCAGAGAGATTCACGCTCGCGCATAATATTAATGTACTTTCGCGCTACAATAATGCGCTCTCGACATTTGATAGGATAATAACGCCATACTTCTAGCGTCGACGTGCAGACAAATCCACAAAGTGTACTCCACCCACCGTTTACTCAAGCCAATCAGATAACGGCCACATTGAGCTGACCAATCGTATCACGTTCTCGCTACAACCAATCACAGTAGGGCTTTACAATCAGAGCAGTAACTGAATCATTTTGCACCCTCGAAAGGAGCTGTAATCTATATGGGCACTTCAAATTGAGCTGTTTTTGTGGTTAAAACACCCTGTTTTCAAAAGATTGTTGGAGTCTAACACTTCTTTATATTTCCATCAGGATAAACTCAGGATTATACACAAATTATGATCATTCACAGATCCCGAGCATTATGGTCAGTAACACCCTCTCTACACCGGACTCAAGCGGCGCGTCAAAAGCAAATAGTAGCCCATTATCTTCCCTGCTGCCGTGGCAGTTTCAAATAATGTAAAACTAACATGTCCTATGTGACGTCTGTTTTCTTACCTGCAGATATGAAGTGTCTGCATAATCTTCCTTATTGACTAGTGCTGGCTACATGAAAATTCATAATTCGTGATACGGTCTACACTGTGCAGCACACTGATAGTAAACGGATGCCCATTCATTCGCTCTGTCCAGTGAAAACAGCCTTGCACGAGGTAGACACGATGTAAGAAATGGCAAGACGGATGATTTTGTCTTTTAAAGGTGCTATATGTATTTTTTAGCGGCCTCTATCGGTGATGTTTCAGATTGCAACCAATTTTTACAAGAGCGCTCTTGCGCGTGCTCGAACACAAGAGCGAGCACTCATGGTACCGGCCACACTGAGACTTTCAACACACCGGAGAAAGCATCACACAACATGCTGGAAACTCATGTAAACTCCCACTGCAACGGTACAATAATAGACTACTTTTATCAGCTTGACGTTGAACTAATGCTCCATGCTCGTACCATGATGACGTTACATTGACTGCATTTAGCCGACATGTGATGTTATCTAGCATAAGGCATTTCACGAACTATTCGTGTATCTTTCACAATCAGCAATGTCAACATAGGTGAATGTATATGATAACGAAATCGGTTAGTGAACTAGACTGAACAATTTCAGTGTAACAGTAAGATCGTAGGAAGTAACATTACTGTACTGAACGTGTCTGAAAATGATAAACAATATGATAGTAGTGGGATGAGTGACGTTAGACAGTAGATCTAGTACATCAAATAAAAGTTACATCCTAAAGCACCTACTTTTTGTTATCCTGGAACAGTCTTTTGTATTCATTTCATGTCTCATGTATGTTGTAGTTTACCTTGCCATTTCATTACAGTTTACCATTATTTCAGCATATCTGAAAACTTGTAATTTATTACAATAAAAATAGCAGAGGTCTCTCCATAATTCAAACGCTCTGCCGATGTTGATCCGTGTTTTCGACCCAAGTCGATCCGATTCACGTTTGGCCTGACGAGCTTCAGTAGATACATTTTTGTTTTGTTTTTTATATTTTTGTGGAGTTTGTGTTGGAGTGTGTGTTGTGCTGGAGGCAGGTCATTTTTTGGTGTTATCAGACTCCATGTCGTCAGCTGCAGTGCCGTCGCATAGACTGTATATAAAAAGGAGAGAGGCTCGGGAGCGCGCATGCACGTCACATCCGATGGATTTCGCAGAAAATCCGACCCGGAGACTTCACATAGAAATAGGAATACAGGCCTTCAGACGTAATAGCAAAACCGAACAAGTGGATCATTGTAATGTGTGATTACAACCCCTTCACACACAGGCAATAAAAAAAGGATTCATTTTAGAAGAAAAGTTACATTTAGCACCTTTAAAGCCCAATCGCGGTGACAAATAGCTATAGGACATACAGTATCTCACAAAAGTGAGTACACCCCTCACATTTCAGCAAACATTTTAGTATATCTTCTCAAGGGACAATACTATAGAAATGAAACTTGGATATATTTTAGAGTAGTCAATGTGCTGCTTGTATAGCAGTATATATTTACTGTCCTCTGAAAATAACTCAACATACAGCTATTATTGTCAAAATAGCTGGCAACAAAAGTGAGTACACCCTAAGTGAACATGTCAAAACTGTGTCCAAAGAGTCAATATTTTGTGTGAGCACCATTGTTATCTAGCACTCCCTTAATCCTCCTGGGCGTGGAGTTCACCAGAGCTGCACAGGTTGTTGCAGAGATCCTCTTCCACTCCTCCATAATGACATCACGGAGCTGCTGGATGTTAGACACATGGCACTTCACCTTCCGCTCGAGGATGCCCCACAGGTGCTCAATAGGGTTCAGGTCTGGAGACATACTTGGCCACTCGATCACCTTCAGCTTCCTCAGCAAGGCAGTTGTCATCTTGCCGGTGTGTTTGGGGTCGTTATCATGCCGTTCGGCCCAGTTTCTGAAGGGAGGGCATCATGTTCTACTTCAGAATGTTGCAGTATATCTTGGAATTCATGTTTCCCTCAATGAAGCGCAGCTCCCCAGTACCAGCAGCACTCATGCAGCCCCAGACCATGATGCTACCACCACCATGCTCGACTGTAGGCAAGACACAATTTTCTTGGTACTCCTCACCAGGGCGTCGCCACACATGCTGGAGCTTCAGAAGAGGCTTCCTTCTGGGACGATGGCCATGCAAACGGACTTGTTGGAGTGTGTGAGCACTGACAAGCTGACCTTTCACTTCTGCAACCTCTAAAGCAATGCTGGCAGCACTCATGCGTCTGTTGTTTGAAGCCAGCATCTGCACTTGATGCATAACACGAGGACTCAACTTCTTGGATGACCCTTGCGAGGCCTGTTCCGAGTGGAACCCGATTTGGAAAACCTCCGTATGACCCTGGCCACTGTACTGTAACTCAGTTTCAGGGTGTTACCAATCTTCTTATAGCCAAGGTCAACTTTGTGGAGAGCAACCATTCTAATGCTCAAATCCTTAGAGAGTTCTTTGCCATGAGGTGCCATGTTGAACATCCAGTGGTCAGTATGAGAGAATTGTACTTAAAGCACAAATTGTAAATACTCTAATACAAAAGATACACAAATTTGTATGGTCCTGTCAAGCAGACAAAAACATGAACATGATGAATAGGACATGTGGCTTTGCATGGTTAAACGACGTACAGTATAATCACTTAGGGTGTACTCACTTTTGTTGCCAGCTATTTTGACAATAATGGCTGTATATTGAGTTATTTTCAGAGGACAATACACACACAGATTATATTTCATATATGACAGAAGTGCTTCAACGCGGCCTGGCGTTTCTACTGTGAACAGAGTGTCAAATTAATGGCAGTGTGTGTGATTGAGTTTATTGAGCCCTTATAATTAAGCCTACTGTTCTCATCAGCACCCATACATGTAATTTCTCATTCTCTTAATTCTTCACTCCAAAATCCTCATCTACAGCTTTTGATTGTTTCTTACTTTGAGGGCCTGGAGGAGGTCATGTGCCCGACTGGTTAGTCTCTTATCCTCCACATCCTGGCTGTTCAGAGCTGACTGCAGACAAAAAGTAAGAGGTCAAAAGTTCTGCAGGTGCACACACACACACACACACACACACACACACACACACACACACACACACACACACACACACACACACACACACACACACACACACACACACACACACACACACACACACACACACACACACACACACACACACACACACACACACACACACACACACACACACACACACACCCCTTGTGAACACAGCAAATCTCTACTGTAAAAGTGTGATCCTTTCATGTGTTTTTCAATAACATTACTGATGATATAAAAATTGTTATATTACATTCAAGATATACATAATTTCATGTGGGGAAAAAACTTGCTGCTTTAATTTAATCAAAAATACAGTAAAAACTGTAATATTTTGAAATATTACTCCAGTCTTCAGTATCACATGATCCTTCAGAAATCCTTCTAATATGCTTATTTGGTGAAACAAGAAACATTTGAAATGTTATTATCAGTGCTGAAAACAGTTGTGCTGCTTAATATTTTTGTGGAAACCACACTTTTTTTCAGGATTCTTTGATAAAAAGAAAGTTCAAAAGAACAGCATGTATTTGAAATAGAAATCTTTAGTAACATTATAAAAGTCTTTACTGTCATGTTTGTTTTAATGCATCCTTGCTGAATAAAAGTACTATTTTCTTTAAAAAAATATATATTTTTATTGCCATTCCTAGATATGTTATATGAAATATGTGAAGTTACAACATTACAACAACAACCACAGTAAAATTTTAATCGCTCGCCGGGAGGATAGACTTACAAAATGGAAATGCTTGCATTTTATGATTATAATAGTGTCCTGGTATAAACCATCTCAGCTGCACTGAGTAACATAATAAGAGCCATAAAGGATCGCTCAGATCGTTTGACGGGTAATATTTCTGATCTGTTTTAAAGGTGTGAAAAGAACCCAATCAATCTGAAATTAAGTGCAAATACAGCAAATTCAGATGTAACAAAAGCATTGGATCCACCTTTCAGATTTTCATTGGTTAATTTTTCACAGGAAACTGAGGAAAGGCTGTAATAAGAGGTCTGTATTCACAGGTCCCTGCGCAACGGAGTACGGCACGGGACAAGTTATGATTGCTGTGTGTAGCAGGGAAGATACTGATGTGTGCGCAGGAAGCAGGAGAAAGATGGTGAGGTCAGAACCATCATTTGTGTAAGAGAATTGGAAAAACATTTTTAAAAATATATTTACTTGTTTTTTAAAAGCAAATTATAATATATATTTGGTCAAATTTCTAAAAATAAATTGGGTCGCGGCCTAATGACCATGGGACTGACTGGGCTAATAGAAAAAAATCCTTAGCGTTGAGCCCTGATAGAGGTATATGTGACATTTATTATAGTGGGTTTATGTGAAAATTGTTAACCTAATTTAAAAGATTTATTTTTTAAAGCCTAATAAATGTTAAAATTGACAGCTTTCATTTATACTGTAATGTTGAATGATTATAATTAATGGCTAAAATGGGGTCTGGCGTTGTGACAAATGACGTTGTGGCATAAATTCCGCCAATGGCGGGAAAAAGTTAATAATCAGTACATGTGGTCGTGTTGAAGAGACAAAATGTGTTTTGTGTGTGGTTGAGTGTTTAGCACTACCTGTGTCTGTGTCACCAGTGGGGTTTCCCTCGTCTCTACAGATGAATGACCAAACATGGAGATCTCAGAGACAGGCTCTGGATACGACACCTCCAACCTACTCTCCTCCTGTGACCAAAAGGGTGAAAGAATGGTCAAAAGTTGTTTCAGAGATGGAGCTCCATTCTGATGAATGATTATGACCTTGCATCAATGAATCATTCAAAATAAGACCAAGAACTTGAATAAAACAAATAAACAGGGTCTGTGTCTTCTTGAATTTTGACTTCTTGAAGTCAGTTCTCTTGATGAGTTGATGAGTGTGTAGTTCTTACACTGGTGGTGTTCCAAGAAGGATGAGGTCCTGGATGAATGACAGAAGTGTCTACAGTAGTGTTTGCATTATCTGCTTGATCTTGTCCAACAGACTCTTGCAGCAAACTCCAGTCTTGCAGGACCGGCTCAGCAGTGTTCTCCCAGACGGCTACAGGTATAAACACAGTAATCAGGATTAGCTGAGATTTCCCCTTCATGCCATTCTAAACTTACGTTCTTTCATGGAGCACAACAACATTTTGCAGAATGTGCAGACTTACAATACAAGTCATTATTCCCTGAATATCTTGCTTTCCTTGTGTGTTCGCAACACACAAGAAAGGCTTTGAGAAGGCAGTGCTGTCATATGACTTCTGAAGAATTGGAATAAAATTAATTTCAATTTTTTTTCCCTTCATTCTGTCATCTGATGGAGTTTTGGTTCCTTGTCGCAGTCGCCTTTGGCTTTTGGCTTGCTTAGTCAGGGACACTTAATATTCAACAATATTGTTGATCTGCCAGCATTTAACACCCTTATATGAGAACTGAACTGAGCTGGACGATAACATCACTGTTTTCTCCAGAGCGGCTAGATAAATTAATAACATTTTTACAACAAATTAACTATCACTGAACTTACTTAAGCTGGACTATGACACTATTTTCTTCTAGATCCGCTGTACAGCAGAAACAAACTTTGTTGCATTATTTTCCTGTTATCACTGTAAAGCTGGTTTGAAACATTCTGTAAAAAGCGCTATATAAATAAAGGTGACTTGACTTGACTATTCAATTTAATTTCACTGTGCAGATAAAAGCACCGGAGACATTCTGCTACCTTGACAAAGCAATGGCATAAACTGTTAAAGGGATAATTTGCCGAAAAATTTTAATCATTTACCAACCTTCATGTCATTCCAAACCTGTAAGACTTACTTAACAGGGTTCCCCCCCATTCTTCAAAATATCTTCTTTTATGTTTCACAGAAGAAAGAAAGTCGGAACGACATGCGGGTGAGTAAATGATGACAATTTTCATTTATGGGCCAACTATACTTTTAATGATTTCTGATTCTGACATTTATAATGGAACAGCAAGAAAGTCAAACTGGTTTGGAGCGAAACAAGGGAGTAAATGATGACAAAATTCATCAACTCCGTTTCTGTCTGAAGCAATGTGATTTCCTACCCTCTCTAGTTTGCTCTCTCATCTCCTCGGGGTCAGCCTGCTGTCTCGCTCCTCCCTTCAAGCCCTGTCTCCTAGGTGATGTGTCACAAGGGAACAGCTAGAGGAAATAGAGGGAAAGGAGGCTTTCCTATGATGCACTGCCTTAATGCTACACTGAGAGTATAATGACAGCTGTGCACTTCAGCTGAGCTTTATTGCCATTTCTGAATGGGTGTGCAATACCTGCTTTAAGTCAGGGTGTAAGATTGGAAGGCAAAAACTCGAGAAGAGCTGCTTCACCCCTCCATTCGCCCTCCACTCCATGAGCTGCCGAGTGGGCGGGGCTATCTCCAACGGGGTTAAGAGGTCAGAGCAGTCAGCCAGTTGAACTCTGATGGCATCGTCAGTTAGTTCCTTTGACCGGTCAATGACCAGCTTCCTCTTTCTCGTCATTTTTTTCCTTGTTGGAGATGCTGAACACATGTTTGAACTTTCAATTAGTCTGATGTGAATTGCAATTATTAGCAAATTTGTGACCATCCCTAGACTCAAAATGGAATACTAGCGTACTGATTATTGAGCAGTGTGTACTATAAAATGCTAAAATTAGCCAGTAGAAACATTTAAAACTCACTAAGTTACATGCTTAATGCAGTGAGTGGTTTTTAGTTGCCATCACACATTTTTTATTTGTGATCTAATATTATGCAAAACTGTGGATTATATTACTCTGGTTGCATACTACACCTTTTGGCAAACATAGCAGGTCATCATGATATTCCTTGAACACAGATAAATCTACATGCTAGGCACTGCAGCAGCTGATTCATTGCCATGATCTGGCCTACAAAACTTACAATGGATATTTTTATTATTGGTTGTCAACAGCACCCTCAAGTGGCTTCATGAGACCAATTAAAACCCCAACAATAAAGGGATTTTTCACCCAAAAATGAAAATCATTTACTCACTCCTGTGTCATTCCAAACCTGTGTGACTTTCAGTCTTCTGCAGAACACACAAAAAAAATATTTCTAAATAATGTTGGTAACCAAACAGTTTTGGTGACCATTGACTTCCATTGTATAGACACAAAATATCTTCCTTTATGTTCCACAAAAGAAAGCAAGTCATACAGATTAGGAAGGACATGAGTTTGAGTAAATGACAGAATTTTGGGTGAACTATTGCTTTAACAGTTCAACCAGTTTGAAGCAAAGGTAAATACTACTATTCATAATATTCTCCAGAGGCGTTAACACTCACGTGTGACAGCAACAGGTGCAAGAGCGAAACCTTCCTCTGCATTTACCAAGAAAGTGGTCTCAGTCAAGGCTGGACTGCTCCTACCCTTTAAACAGGAAAGTCCTGGTTTCACAGACTCCGGCTCTTTAAGAGAATGACACAGTGGTAAATGTTCATGTTGGATTGTTGCTCGATTGTTACTGTACACCCAAATAACCAATCAGATATTAAAAATTTGTCATATTATAATCAGGTCAGGTATTAAATTAAAAATGCCCCTATTATGGATTTTTGAAAATGACCTTTCATGTAGTGTGTAACACAGCTCTAAGTGAATGAAAACATCCTGCACAGTTTTAAATCTGAAAGTCCACCATATATAAAGTTATTGTCTTTCAAAAGTAAGAGTCGACTTTGAGTCAATGAAATGAATCGTTTTTCAAACGAGTCATAAGCCGTTTCGTTGTGACGTCAAGACGAAACATTAGCATATTGCCCGTCCACTTAATGCGCGCGCAGACACCAGGGAAAACTTGAACGCCCTCAAACCAGCAGCTGATTCCTGTGGATACTGGACCGTATCATGTCGAGAAGACGCTGAGCTCTACAATGTGAAGGTAACGCCAGTTTTTTTTTCACTGCCAAAGGACGAGCATGTTTAGAATCAGTGATTAAAATAAATCTTTACCACAGCAGTATAATCCTAAACTTTTGCTGTGTTCCCTTTATTTTACGGACAACTTCTCAAATCTCGGAATTCAATGCAGAATTCAATGCTCTTGAAAGATGGTGTTCAAAATACTTAGTTTTGATTTTTATATTGTATAGGTCTCCTGCTAACTGTCTAACTCACATTATTACTGTCTTCCTGAAATACTTCTGCTGATCAGCTGAGGGCCACTATTACCTAAAACTGTCTATTAATGCAGATTGTCTGTCGTTCTCACTACTTTGAGTAAAGATTAAGCATGGAGTAAGTTTTGTTTTACCAACGTTTATGTTACATTAGTCATTCACGCTAGAGCTCGGCTAATGTATGCACTGTTATTGATACAGTTTCCACATGTTCACCACAATAAATTAGAAAAATACTCAGTAAATAAATGAGTACAAGTAAAATAATCGGTTTGTTGATGGACATGCACTTGTTAATGCTGATGGTGAGGAGTTACAGTTGCAACATCTCATAATGTACCTCAAAATGAGCACTGCTCGAGTCGTCCTTGTGATGGAGGTTCGGGTTGAATAACTAGTTCTTCCAATGTTTCATCATCGGACTCGCGCTCGCATTGATATGGTAAAATCGACGTCTTTGTTCGTTACTGTGTTTAGTTTACGGTGTAGGAAGCATTGGGATAAGCAGAGCTGACGTTGTTATGGCAATGGGCGTATTTGTTTTCAAACACGCACGCTGTACGCAGTAACCCAATTACTGAACCCAACAACAGACTGAGCTGTCTGCCAATCAGAGCAGCTCGCGGAAAGGGGGGATTTAGAGAGATTGATTCATCTGACGAGTCGTTTGAGAATCATTGAAAATGTGGTGATGTGCAAATTTATATTATGAGAAAATGAAACGTTGAAAATCGAAAAATAAAATGTTTTTTTAACCTTTGATGCATGTAAACCGGTTGTAGGAGACTCCAAAACAACATTAGGAAACTTTAAAATAGTATAATGGGGCACTTTAAACAAGTAAAGCACATACTATACACCTAAATGTGTTAGTTATTACATTTCATATTTTTATTTAAATGCATGACAATTTAGCCACATTTTGAAAAAAATTATTATTTATTTATATTCACATTGTAAACTGGCTTTGTCAGACTTATTCTTCATGACAGCATTATGCATGAATGCAAATCAAACATGTCTAATTATTACAATCTTATTAGAGGACCTTATTCGGTTGTTAAGTCTGACGTCACGCGTGACGTTTAGCCTCTTCCGGGCCCAAGCGCTCCGCTCGTCCACTCCAGATCCTAGACTAAATAAACCCTTTTCTTAAGGGCTTTTTTCGCTTCAGTGCCAGTGGGTGTTACTAGGGATTAAGGGATAGCACCCACTGGCGCCAAAGTTTCTTCATTCGTTTAAGATTTGTAACTTACCTTATCAACTGCAGCCATTTTCTCTTATCTTTCTCGTCACAGGGAAAGCGGTAGAATGACAGTTGAATGTCACTTGTTTTTTAACTCCGATCTATTTAAACAACACGGGAACACGTTAAAACTCGGGCGAAAGCGGTAGGTAGGTAGAGAGGACCCGGCCTTTGGACCCGGAAACAGTATTATCGGAGAGTGGTTACGTCACGACTTAACAACCGGATAAGGATGCCAGCAAGACATAATACACTTAGATGACAAAACAAATCATTGTGTACTTTTTTGGCCTTTTCCTTCTCATTGTCATTATTTTATTAATTTTATTTTAAATTGTGTGTGAATGTGTATGTCTGTATTTTAAGTTTATTAATACTTTGGCAATGTAAAGACTTTTTACCAAGCCAATAAATGTGACTTTTTATTGCATAAATCCGCTGACACCATGCCAGAACATTTACTTAATCCAAACAGCTGACGAGAATGAAATATTAAGATAAGCCATGAACAACAACATGGCTGCTGGCTCATCTCTTTCAAATGGTAACATATGATGTAATGCAAATAGTTAAAACAAAAAGTAACATCATTACCTGCACTGACAGCAGTTGGAGGAGGTGTAGCTGGTAATTCAGGAGTGTCATCACACAAATCAGGCATCAGAGTATCCTCAGTATTACTCGCTATAAAATCTTGACAGACCACAAACAAAGAGAAGAAAACAAATATTGAACTCAGAGAAGTGGGGAGGTGATCACTGATGAGGTTATAAAAATTAGGCAAAGGGACTCGTAATCCATGCTCAACACATAATGCCCAGATTAATGTTCACACTGAGCCATATGAGGTAGCCATGTTTCCCAAACGTGTTTAAAAATTAAAATAGTCAAGTATAAAAATAGCCACTTCTCAAAAGTCACTTCTGGTGGTAAAGAAATAAAACAAAACAACCTTTAAACCATACTTGAAACCCCTTTTTTTGTAATGTAACAAAAAGCCATTTCAATAAAACATTTAAATATTTGCTATCATTGCAGTAATCTCTATTACATTAATGGTAACTAACTAGTCTTATACAGTATATTGTGCACAAAAAAATTCATTTGAATAACATGCTGCATTACAAAAAAAGTCATTTATGATTTCGTGTTACCTTTAAAAAAAACTCTTTAATCTACTGACATTTCATTAGCATGTAAAGCATGAATATTAAATGTGATGAACTCACCGATGAGGTCAACAGCCATTTCCTCATCACCAAAGCAGTCGCCATGGACACTGAAACTCTGATCAAACAATCCTTGATAAGACTGGATTTCCTCCCCTTTTGAATAAATACAGAGACATAAATGGTTTTGCATAAACTATGTAAAAAAAAAACTACTTAGTTTTATTGATAAATCAGAGTTGATACCTATTCCCTCGATGTTGAGAAAGTGGTTCCCAAAGTTCTCCTTGAGAGTAATATCTTCGGTGCGGCATTGATTCAAAGAGAAGTGGTCTACCACATCAATGGTCCTGGGTGAGACATAACATGCCAAATAGGTAATAAAAACACTAGTACATCAGAATAAATGCATCTGAAGTGCTATGATCGAGTGCTGTAGATAAACACAATACTTGAGATCAGGTAGCTGAATTTCAAAGTCAGTGAAGTCTTCCGGTAGAGTGATAGTTTTTAAGGTGGCCTCCATCGCGTCATTGGGCAGGTCTGTCTGTCCTATGGACAAAAATGACATATCATTAGAGTTGCAGTGTTCAGACAGTGCATTGTTTGCTCATTCTGCTGTCATTCACAGATACAACAGGCTGCATTTACCTGGCCGGAAAGCCACTTTAATTTTGACCAACGCATCACTGCAGTCTGAGAGAAGGTATCTGGTCTTCTTCGAGTATATCCGGACGACTCCTAAAAGAAGGTGGCCTGACGTTCGCAGACCAATTTTTATCTGGTAATGAATCACAGAGTTAGATCACACACACAAAATTCTTATTTAACTTCTTCTAGTTTAGCTTTACACTTAATTCTAACTTTATTAGTTAGCTGGTTTAGTGTCAATATTTGGATTAACTAGGTGAATCTTGCCTGGGGGGATAGGATTTCCTTGATGGTGGCCTCCAGGTCACATTCAAACACATGTGCTTTGGTTAATTTCTTCTCCCAGTGGGCTGCAAGCCAGATCTTGGCTAGTGTGCCTCGTTTAGAGACGAAGAGTTGGGAATAAAACATCGTGATGTGTGCCGTGTCTGAGAAAATACACGTCGTCATGGGAGACCGTGAGTTGAAACTTATTGAGCTTATTTGCGTTTATGCCATACATATAACGTTACATGTAGTCATTCATCAAACAGTAGCATAAGAAATTCCCACATGTTGTACTTGAGCACTGGTTGTCAAAGTACAAAGGCCTAATGCTAGATTTGTTTATTTATTAGGCTCTGAGTCTCAACACATATAACGTTAGTTAGCTGCCGACCTAAATAGGCACCGTTCAGATGTTTGAAATTGTCTTCCAAAATGCTGACTAACGTTAGATAGGCACCAAACATTTTGTGCTTTCGGAACGCGCCTATGACACCCGAGAATATTAACGTTACCTAGCCTAGATAACTTAACAGTTAACGTTAGAGAGCTCGCTAGTTTTTGAGACACCATCTTGTGTAAGGCTAACGTTAACCAATTCAATAAACCTGGATTGTTGCCGTCTTTAGCAGCGGTTTCACCTCAGTATCCCGTAAAATTAGCTTTATTCTTTTTAAAAATAATTAAATGTAAAAGTTTAGACATCTTCTACTGTAGGCCTACCTTTTGCCGCTCAACGTTCATCAACACTGAATAAAAATTTTTCCCGCCCACTTCACGTGCGCTTTGTTTACGTTACTTGTGCTTGATGCTATGCTGGCCATAACATTTTTGCCTTATTTAACGTGTGTATGTCAAGTTACGCTATTATATAATTTTTTCAATTTAGTTTCTACTCTTACTTATAATTTTATTTGAATAGCCTATTAAACGTAATGAATAAAACATTCCAAAATAATGTCCCCACTCGAGACACCTTCCGATCACATTAATGTAGTGCAAGGAGATGTGTAATTTTGAGGCAGTAACACTTGTGTCCATTTTATATCAAAGGGACATGTTAGTCTGCTGAGAAAATGATTTTAATCCTGTATGGAACATTGTCATTTATAAATGACGCGAAGAAAATTGCATTTAAAATACAATAATAATGTTCAACACCAAAAAAATAATTATACTAATATCATCCCAAACAGCATAGTGTCGGCCCAGATCCGGCCCACATCTGGTAGCCTACGCATAGAATCCACATGTTCCAGATGTGGCCCATATCTGGGCCGACACTATGTTGCTGTCTGGGATGTGACATCCCCTTCAGCCAATATAATTAAAATCTATTTGCCATGTGCTTGACATTTTTGACAAGTAAAGGAGACATTATATGGTTGCATCTGAAATCAATACTTCATGACCACTAAAAAGTACATTCTACATAGTATGAGAGTGTGTAGTATGAATGTAATCTGGACGACATGTATACTACCATTTGCCATGTTGTCATTATCATGTGACCTACCAGCGTCAGTTAAGTGACGTCGCTTCACTGCCATTCACAAATCCTCTCCCGTGGCGTGTATGGTGGCCGAGAAGTGAAAAACAAATCACAATTCCAAAAACAAAATAAATCCAAAAACAATACAAGAAATTATAAATGCAATGGAAAGACTAAAAACAAATTAAAGCTACAACATGTAATTTTTTTTCGCCGCTAGGGGTCGCTAACCTCTTACAATAACAAAGGCATAGGTTGATGACGCATAAGCATGCTGATGGATCTAATAATGTTTATGGATGAGTGAATACATTGATGTTTTTAAATGAGCAGGTCGCGATTGCTAATAATGAGAGACAGATATCAGCGCCACACGCGAGTCCCGTGGATATAAAGGAATAAGGACATTTAATTCTACCGAACTACCCGCAAGTGCTGAATTAATACTCACACAGGTCAGTTTATTAGACGAATGAAACTTGTGAGGTAACGCAGCGCTGTTTCACTTGGTCTACTACACTATCACACTAAACTGCATTTGAGTGTGTTGAAAGTTATAATGTTATTCTATGTGTTAGTTTGTCTGTGTGAGAATAGCAGTAAGCTAGATCAACATTAGAATAACATACAGATCATATTCTAACATTTCATCATGTTGAGCTATATAACATTGATTAGTTTTATACATTTGCTCCTGTCTAAAAAAGTACATGCAAGAGCGTCGTCTCTAGTCGAAGTTAGTCGCGGATGCGAAGCTCTCGCTATCTCGAAAACGCCACGCTGATATTGATCCTCTTTTTAGTTCTCCTTTTGTCCCAAAGTCTGCTTGTCATGGTCCATAATGTTTGAACGAAACAACAACAGCGTGAACGTGCCCGCTAGACGTAACACAGTTGTCCACGTCTGTCGCCATGGTTACTATGGCAGTACGAGCGGAAACCAGGGATAATGCGGATATTACGTCATTGACAGGCGACAAGTGGACATGGACGAGCCATTATTTAAAATTAGAATTTCTCTGAAATTAAAAATCTTTGGGAACTTTTGGGATATTGTAAGTACACAACTGCAAGAAATATATCACACTGTGCAAGTGATTTTTGGATATTTTATTACAAAAATCTAACACTACAACAATTCCGAAAAACAAATCAGAAAACACAGCAAGATGTGATAAATAAACGATTTCTTCGTAAACAAATTATCCGAAGGTACACGGACCCATGGGATAGTAAAGTGTCCATCAAATGCACACCTCAGCATCTCGACGGAAGTAAATTCGGATGTGCTCCTTTTGTCTCGTACTATGTAGCAGGGAAGTGTGCTATTTCGGATGCAGCCGGGCACGTTAGGTCACATGCTGTCAAGGCTCCAAGTGAGTTTGTTTTAGACTACAAAATATATAATCAATTTAATATATATATATATATATATATATATATCATTGCACATCCAAATGTGTTTTCTAAAGTTTTTGGTAATTTTTAATGCACATTTTGTAAAAACAATAATTTAAAGACCAAAAAAAAAAAATATCTGTGCTTCATGCATAAATGACAAAGTCCATTTAGGCAATTCATATTTTCTGTGTAGCTGGTACAGTGTTCAGTACTGACAGGCAGTATATTAGCCTTTCTTCCTGTGTTTTAGGTTGATGTTATTAAGTTTTATAGAAGATAGAGAAAATTAGCTTTACCTCTTCTAGAAAGTATTGATGAAAGTGATAAGGATGATAGTAAGAAAGGATCAAGTTGAGGATCAAGGAGGATAGAAGCAGAGAGGGTGATGGTAGAGATGAAGAATATAAGTCATAGATTGTTGTGGAAGTCAGACATTTGCAGAATTTATTATAAAGTTCATACAGTACACGGTTGATAGCGCATAGTGTGTCATTTAGGACAATGACAACTTAAGACCATTTTCCCTACTTTTCAGATGCATTTAAATGTGTGTGAAGTTTCAGATGATTTGCCAAAAATAATTTACCCTTATAGGACAAAGTCAAATATGTGTAAAATAAAAAGTCATTCATTTTTTCTAGCTGTGATTTCATAATGAGTCCCATAGAGTGTTTAATTTACTTCACAGGTTACACGAAATGAACGAAGAATTTTTTTAAAGGGATAGTTCGGCCAAAAATGATATTTAACCCATGCATTACTCACCCTCAAGCCGTTCGAGATGCATATGTCAATCTTGTTTCAGACGAACACATTTTCAGTTATTTTAGAAAATGTCTTGCGCGTCGATCGTTGCCGGAAGTCAGATATTTTCATTTATAAAGTTTTAAATATGTATATTTTTACGACAAAACCGCACAGATTACCCTCAGAAGGCCTTCGATTATCCCCCTGGAGCCGGATGGATTACTTTTGTGAAGGATGTATGCACATTTTGGGACTTGAAGGAGGTGGACCCCATTGCTTCACATTATATCCACTGAAGGGTCTAAGACATTTTCTAAAATAACTGAAAATGTGTTCGTCTGAAACAAGATTGACATATGCATCTCGAACGGCTTGAGGGTGAGTAATGCATGGGTTAAATATCATTTTTGGCCGAACTATCCCTTTAATGTTATTTTTCTTCACAGTATAGGCTATAACATGTTATAATTCCCCATACAGTGCTGCATGTATTTTTACCTAAAGGTCGTTTTATGTTTTTATCTTTCTCATTTTGAATTACTTTAAAATAGTCTTGTGGGGTTTTTTATGTATTGCACTGTGATTTGTTGACAGACCAACAGCAAAATCCAGTCCAATCTCTAGCAATCAATATCCCATAAAGAAATATGTGTAACTTTGTACTTGAAATAAGTCATATACTGTAGGAAAAGTGTAGCCTTGTGCATTTTCAGTCATTGTCATCAAAACCGAAGCCATAGTTTACATCAGAAAGATACTGACAGAGTACACTGTTTGTGAACAATGACACAGAGACTGGAGATTCTTATGGCACTGATATATGGTCATTGACATAAATATTTACTTTTGAGAGATGAACTAAGGATTTTGACCATGTTACAGACTTTTGCAGATAATCCATTGTGTGGTGTTGTTTGTACAAATTGTTTAAAAAAAATGCACTCACTGGAAGAGTCACTGGGCCTTTAAATATTTTTGTGGCCATAGGGGGGCTTGGAGTGAAAAGGTTGAGATCCACTGCTCCGTGGTTTTGATTGGAAAACTAATCAACTCACGCACATCAGATAAAACTGAAATACAATTCAATGATAAATTAGCGATTTACACACCTAAATGATTAGATAAGATTGAAAAGGAAATATTTGTTTTCTTTTTTTTACTCCTGCAGTATAACAAAATAGTGCTGTCCTCTTGTGCCATGAAAACATGCCCTATTTCTGCAGTAAGCTATGCACACATGCACTTGAAACAGCACTTTTGCACTGTTTAGAGCACACAGAGTATAGTGGATAATGTTCCATTCAGAAAGTCAAAACGTTTGTCAAAAACTTGACAATTCTGCACGCCCTTTGTTCTGAAATTATGCAAAATAATTTCAACACTGTCCCTCAACACTGATGGAACAAAACAGCAACACATACATTTGTAGTCAACAAGTCTAAAAGTCCAGACAGAATTAACATCAGTACATAGTCTCCATGATCACCATGGGATAAAGGGTCTGTTGGCTGTTACGGGGTGTGACCAGAGATGAACGAAGGTGCTGTGATAGTTGTAAGCTCCTTTTGCTCTTGTTAGTCCTCTGGCTTTTAGAGTACATCTGGCAAAAGTAAGTGACAGTGGAAAAAAACATTTGCCGGTATTTGGACGAGACCAGGTTGTAAAGGATGGGATTGATCACAGAACTCACATAGAAAAGTACATTTGTCACCATGTAAAAGTAATGGTAGAAATCATAAAATGCACTGTGGGGGGAAACAAAACCAAGGTTACAAAATCAGCAAATTATTTTAAAAGCAAATCTTTTTTTTGCAAATATATAGTTATATGCAAATGCATAACTCACTTTGTCCACTCCATTACATAGCAGTACATCAGTCGGCGACAGTGATAAGGAAACCAACATAAAACAAAAGCAAAAACAACCCCACCTGATAACAAAGAAAAAACATATGGCAATGAACTATTGAAACCAAGAAATTAAAGGGTTTACCACTGATTAAAATGTGTACTCACATGGAATGAAAATGACAATTAGGTACTAGTAAAAACATATAGGCCCTGTCCCAAATGGCACACTTCATATGTACTTTCGGCCTTGTGGACTTACAATGGCTGCCGCGTGCGTGTGTCCGTTAAGTCCGTGAGACCGTAGGGTGTCCCATTTGTCATTTTAGCTCTCAGAAGGGTGCTCGCGAGCGCCCCCTCTGCCGTCGATTTGCGCCCTCGATACGCACTTTTGCCGAGACCGCACTGATGCGCACTCCGCAGCAGACTTCTTCCCGACAGTCAAAGCGGCGTTACGTCAAGAAAGTGCAGACTCAGAGGAAGACAGCGAGTGCTTAGGGTGCCATTTGGGACAGGGCCATACTATAATATAATGAATTATACAACAGTTCTGGCCCTGAAATATGACTGGACAAGATAGAGGCACTCTAAAGAGTGTTGATATCCACTTTATTTTGCAACGCGGAGGTAAGCTATTTTTTGTGAATAGGCTTGTGAGATTTCTAATTCATTAGCCGCTATAGGTAACTAGACGAATAACAAAGTGCACTAAATGGTAAAGCTATTTTCGCTACAAAACCAATATGTTTATAATTATCATTCAAATATATAAGAAATACCAGTTTGTAATATCAAGCAGCATAACGAGCTGTTTGTACAGCTAAAATAACTGGGAGCAGATGACACCACTCTCGCACGTTGAAGTTACAAATGGCCGCTCTTAGAAGATAGAGTGCAACAGTGTCTGCCCACTTTTTCAGCAGCCTTGGTTACGAAAGTATTTTTCCCATAAAGTTTTCCCTTTGGGACTTTTGAATCACAACATTACAAACTCTGATGTGAAGAAAAAAGTATTTGAAAATCAGACAAAAAGACATAGTAAAAGTAAAAGACAATCCCATGAAGCACTGCAAATTAAAAAGGACAGATCATTATATCAAATTATTGATTTAATGATTGTGTATTTAGAAAAAAATCTCTGATTGGTTTAAATGATGAACATATTGAATTTAGCTTTTTATTCACATAATGATGTTTTATTAACAAAGTTAGAGAGGAGCATGTTCAAATAATTAACCTAATTAACATGGGAGGAGCTCATTCAGTTAATCAACTCAATTAGCATCAGGAGGTATATACAGCAGACTTGCCTCTGTTCTAAGGCCCTGTCCCAAATGGCGCACTTCATGTGGACTTTTGGTCTCGTGGACTTAGATTGCGCGTGCTCGCCGAGTCTACGAGTCCGTAGGCCGTCCCATTTAGCATTTTAACACTCTGAAGTGCGCTCAGCAGCGCCCCCTTTGTACCCTTGAAGCGGTCTTCCGCGAAGCCCGCAGAGATGCAGGCTCCACGCACCTTAACTACCCAGGAATCCTTGCGAAAGGCCAATCAAACAACGGATGTGAGGAGATTTCGCTCACGGACAATTGTTAACATGGCTGAGAAGAAAATATATTTAAGTGTAATTATCATTACGGTTTTTATGACAAGTTTATACAAACATTATGATCATTGACCAGTGGTTAATGGTAAATGGACTGCATTTATATAGCGCTTTCACAGACCCAATGGCCACCAAAGCGCTTTACAATTTGCCTCACATTAGACTTGTAGTCGAGACCGCCTAAACCGAGACCAAGACACTACCAAGACCAGATGGTATCGAGACCAAGACAAGACCAAGACCAAGACCAAGACCAAGACAGACCAAGTCGAGACCAAGACCAAGTCGAGACTAAGACCGAGACCAAGTCGAGACCGGAGGGGAAAAAAACATTAGTGTTGAAGCTAAGCAATAACTTGTCAAATGTTGTTTTGCATTTGCCTGCCTATCTCTGCTGATTTCGAAGTCTCCAAATGAATCCATTCTGCAACTTTTAAATACATAATTATATTTTTAAAAACGATATTATAGGCTTAAGTGCAGGATCCGAAAGTTGGTCGTTTTTGTCGCTATGGTTACACACACACACACACACACACACACACACACACACACACACACACACCGTTGACGGTGCGCTCAAAGTCATCTGTCAGTTGTGCAGTTACCCCAAATCTCCTGAATGAAGGTAAAACCCATCATGTCACTGATATGTGTTTTACTAAATATTAATATATCAAAAACTGTACATGATATGTGTTTTTTAAATCAAGTGATCAAAGTGCTCGTTGCCGCTGCGATCAGTGGCGCAGATACAGTGTTTTCTCGCGTGGCTCGCGCGCACCGCACTGTCTTCACTCGGACGCGCGCTTCAATCCGTTGCGGATATCGTCGTGGATATTGTAGTATTGTATTGCTCAATCCCCTGACCACTATGTCGGTCTGAGACAGCGAGACCTAGACAAGACCGAGAGGTCCGAGACCAAGACAAGACCGAGACCAAAGACCGTCAAGGCCGTGACAAGACCGAGGCCACGTAAAAGTGGTCTCGAGACCGGTCTCGAGACATACATCACTACCTCACATTCACCCATTCATACACCGACGGCGGTGTCAGCCGTACAAGGCGCCATCCAGCTCGTCAGGAGGAGCTGGGGTTAGGTGTCTTGCTCATGGACACCTCAACACTTGGTCAGGTGGAACCGGGGATTGAACCACCAACCTTCCGGTTTGTAGACAACCTACATGAACCACTGCCGCCCCTTAATGTCTCAAACATAGGCTAATAATAGCGAGCTGAATAATACGATCGCATTATGATTCATTAAATAAATAGAACAGAGTGTCAGGGCTTTACTGAGTCATATGTAAACACAACAACAATAGGCAGCATATTTCCCCTAACCTGTAGCTCCTGTCCATAACAACAATCAGACCCTCTTCCTGTTTCCGGCATGACGATCGAGTCTGTCCCAAAAATACCTCTCAATGCGCCCTCGCGGACTCGCGCTAAGGGCCCTATAGGTCTGCACTACATGACGTCACCGAAGTGTGGACTCTGAGGAAGTCCACAAGTCCGGAGTGTGCCATTTGGGACAGGGCCTAAGACAGTTTTCCAGCATTCCTCCACCACCACATCTCCTCACTTCTAACTATTCTTATCCCAATCTGGGATGGGGGGAGTTCAAGAACCAATGAGGTTCATTCTCTTGTGTCACGCAGCACATTTGAATTTCCGCAAGAGGTTTGTTGTTCTCGCATTCAAGCAGGTTCAGTTGAGCTTATTTTTATGTTCGCTGATCATTTATATGTGAATTATATGTGAATAAATGCCTAAATTCAATCTGTTCATCATAAAAAGCGATCAAGTCTCTTCAGAAAAGTTGGACTAAACCGCTCAATTCATATAGATTATTTTAACGATCTCTTTATGTAGCCTCAAAGTGTCAGTTGCGTAAGGGTCTATGGTGGGACAGAAAGCTCTCAGATTTCATCAAAAAGATCTTCATTTGTGTTCCAAAGATGAACGAAAGCACGCTTCAAAACAAGCATAAAAGGTATTGAGAGCATCAGGAAGAGATGGATTGGGCATTCAGTGTCTCTACAGCTGTAGTCTGTGATGGCCTTGATGCCCGCCCACATGCTCTGGGGTAGAAAAATGACCCTGTATCTTTACAGAAAATGCAGCTTTCGCTTTTTTAATGCCTGCAGTCAATTTACCGCTCTGAGCGTGACTGCATCACCAGACCTGAACGCAGAGTCCTAGGCTCTCAGAAGAGATCTGACCTCAGGATTCAGCCAAGGTTTCTGATTCTGATGGAGAGTAAATGTTCTGGTTGAGGTAACATCATTCACACACTTAACCACTAATATAGCTGGTGACAGATGATGCATATTCATCCAAATATGTCCCAGAGTTCGTTGTTGCTTCCTTGAAAATCTGCCAGTCAGTATAAGCAAAGCAATCCTGGAATATAGACGCAGCATCATGTGGCCACACAGTAATTGTCTTTTGGGTTGGTTTCATTGTCTTCAGCACAGGGCTTTAGGAAGGGACAGCTTAGGCAGCTCTGTATAGCTCTGCATCTGTTTGTGTACACCTGGGGCCTGTACCATGAAGCCGGTTTAGGTGGCTAGCCAGCTATGTTTCAGCTTAGTTTCCGCCAACCCTGGGTTTTAGGTACTATGAAAGTAGCTCGGCTTTAATCGGTGTTCGTTGCCATGGTACCTTACGCTGCACGGCTAACCTGCTCCGGGGCAGGTTAAGTTCTGGATTCGAGATCTCAGACTGAAGTTTGACCAATCAGCTGTGAGCAAAGAAACATATAGGTGACGTAACTAATTCCCAGTGTTTGTTGCAATGGCTTTACATTTTCTTTCAAATCCTGTGGACATCTCAGCGCAAATTTGTTAGACAAGGACATCGTAGAGAATGAGTTTTTAGCCGGACAAAATCCCCTTGCCTTTCCTGATAGTTACTTGTATGAAAGATACAGATTTTCTGCGGAAGGAATTTCTTATCTTTGCGAACTTCCTGAGCCGCACATAAATAATTTAACACGTCGAATTCATGCATTTACTGCACCACAAATGGTATTGCGTTGCGTTTTTTTTTTGCAAGTGGTAGCCTACATACTTGCACGATCGGTGATGCACAGAATCTAGGGGAAAACACGGTTTGTCGAACCATTCGCAAGGTGGTCCTCGCTCTGCAGGAGTACATTAATAGTTTAATAGTGTTCCCCAGACATTTATTGACCATGTCCATAAGAGAGGGTTTTTATAAAATTGCCAGTAAGATAATATATTGATAGGGTGACATCACGTTTTTTTTTCTTTCAAAAAGCAAATTTCAGAAATGTACTATACAATACAGTACATGTTAAGCATTATTTTAAATCTTTTTTTATTTTATTCGGTTAATCTTATGATAGGATTCCCTATAGAGTCATTGGAGCAATAGCCTGCACACATGTTGCAATCTCCACTTCTCTAGGAGAACATGAGGCAGATTATGTTAATAGAAAGTCATTTCACAGCCTTAATGTTCAGGTAGAGATTATGTGAACGTGAAATTATTATTTTCTGTGAGATGAATCTTTAAATTAATAGTAAAATTAATAGATAACAATCTACTTTCCGTGAGTATGTTGTGTCAGCGCTTTGAGGAAAGCTAGTTAAATTTGGTACAGTACAAAACACTGTTAATTTGAATTGGGACAGCAAAACCTACACAATAACCCCCTATCATGACCCTCATGTGTCAGTAAAACCATAGTACGAGTTCTTTGGCATCCTAAAGGCACGTTTCAACTGTCTTCGGCGCTTAAGAGTCACCAGAGTGGGCATCACAGATAGTGTCTTTTGCCATTCATTTGCTTTAGAGTGCAGAGGAATGTAGACAGCTACAATATACACTGCAGTGTACCTCTGTGTTAAATAGTGTGACCGGCATTTGATAAATGTTCTACTCCTTCAGAGCAGTGGCTGCTAATGATAGATCAATTTATACACCAACATTTGTTGGTGATAAATACACAGAGTCCTCCTCCCTGAGTTTTTTTTTCCCGATAGATAATTCTGATGGGCTCTGAAAAGAAGCATGCCCTTAACATAAGCATCCTCCTCCTGACGTACAAATCTCTGCATGGACTTGCACCTCAGTACCATCCCTACACTCAGCAACGGTACCTGCGGTCCTCTGACAAGGACCTGCTCGCTGTCCCTAAGTCCAGGCTCCGGACATTTGGTGATAGAGCTTTCTGTGTTGGTGCTCCATCACTCTGGAACAAGCTTCCTCATGCCATCCGCTCTGCTCCCTCTCTAATGACCTTTAAAAACCAGCTTAAAACACACCTCTTCACTGAGGCTTATGGACTTTAGCTCTCCTGGCCTTTCACCTTTCTCCTCCTATCCCCTCCCTTCTCCCCCCTCTTGCTTTTGTTAAGCGTCCTTGGGTTTTATGAAAGGCGCTATATAAATTAAAGTAATTATTATTATTATTATTATTAATCTAAAAGGGTCCGAGTCCGGTATGTTGCTGTTCAGCCACGTTTCATTCAGTAAAAGCAATAAGTCAGTTTTATTGTCCAGTGCATGAATTTTGGCTAGAAAGAGTGATGGAATCACTGGTCTGTTGCGGTTAGCTTTTAGCTTAGCTAGTAGGCCAGCTCAATTGCCCCTCTTTTGCTTCCGTGTGCATCGCTTCCTTTTGCCTCTCAGCCGCTGTGTGTTGCTCCACCATTCCGCTGACCTCAGTTACTGTAGCCACTGTGGCAAGTTCAGATCAACTATAACATACAAACTTAACAGCACATGCACTTGCTTTCACACTCACTGTACAAAAATCTAAACAAAAACTGGGAGCTTGAGAAGCCGCTGCACTCCTGCACACCGTCATATTGCATACCGCCATATTTTGGATTTTTTTTTGGACTTTTTGCGTTATTATCTCCTTTGTCGTGTGCTGATTGCAGCAGCAAAAAATGTGACAGAACACAGATCGGATTTAAACATAAAATGGACTTACTTACACCTGCTCTGCTTGGAGCAGAAGCATCGTAACTTTTCAGGACTTTTCAGACCTGATGTGCCTCACCACCTTCCCCGACCTCTCCCTGCATCTGTGCGTGTTTTTGGACTAGCTTAAATGAGCGGTGTAATGCATGCCTTAAGAGTGGAGTGGGGGCTGTTGAATTGTGTATCTGTGTTCACCGTCAGCCCCGCTGAGGAGGACATCACCAACCCCATTCCGGACCCACACCCTGCATGGAGCCTATCCCAGAGCCAATTGTAGACATAGAGCCTGAGCCTGCCACGATGCCTATGCCCCAGCTGACGCCAAAGCATATCATTACCTCGGAGCCTGAGCCTAACGAAGAATCTTCCGCTCTCCGCCTCAGTCCACCAGCACCCTGGCTTCACCTTGGCCACTTGTCACTGCAGCTCCACCTTGGCTACGAGGACCTACGGTGTTGCCCAGTCTCTGTGTCTCCTCGGCTCCACCTGGGTCTCCAAATCTCCTGGCTCCACCACGGGTGGTCGGATCGCTGACTTCACCCTTCATCGGTTCCACCATGGGCCTTCGTCTTGGCTGTACTCTGAGTCATCATTTGGATCCTCACTCCATCTTCTCCCTGGCTCCTCCCTCCATCATCTCCACCATGCTGTTCCCCTATGCAAGCTCCCCCCATCTTCCATCTGTTTCTGACTATGCGCCCTCCTCCAGAGCCCCCACCCTCCCTCCGCTGGACTATGTTATTAGTTATGGCTCGAGGAAGCACCTTCTTGGGGAGCAGGCAGCAGGAGATACCAGGGCCATCAGACACCAAACCTTGAGCTACTACCAAATATCAGACACTTTCAGTTGTAGAGTAGTTAAATAAACCTATAATTACTAAACATTTTGGTAAAATGCATGCATTTCTTTTACTTACGTAGGACTTTGACGCTATGGCGTAGGGAACGCTCACGGTTTGTCTCTGTTGTGACATCTGAAGGCGTTGAAAAGTGTAAGTCATGATAGGTCATTCTCTGGAGCTTATGTCCAATCAGGGCGTTCATCACAGTGATCACCAGCATTGGCACAACAAAAGAGAGAAGGGCATTGACCTGTAAGGAAAAACACTTACACTGAAATAGAAACTATTCAAAAAGTGGGTACCGAAACATTAAGGTTAAGGCGTAATGATTATTTCCCAAGATACAAGGGAGAGAAATCCTTTCACTGGCCCTAATAGTTTCTACACACCTAAACCAAAGTTTAAAAAAAATACCTCTATGGTTTGGTCAATTAGTGCAGTCTCATTTTGCTTTATTTTGTCTGCTTTGCTCTTTACTGTGTCATTCTGATTGATTGATTGATTGATTGATTGATTGATTGATTGATTGATTGATTTGCTCTGAGGTTTATTTAAGGTTTCCTCTTATTCTTCCTCCCTCCCTATACAAAAACAGGGTGATTTACTTCAGAGCATTTTTACCAGCTAGTATTCTGAAATTAGCTTGTCCATGTGAAAAATATGTTCAGTATGCACATGTGTTGTTATATCTAAAGAGACATTTTAATAGATCTGCTTTTTTTTCTTTTGCTCAGCAAATTCAATTCAAGATGTTTAAGTTAAATCACAAGTGACAGTTTTGAGGGCTCATACTGTCTTTGGCATGCCATGCAGCAACCTTCTATGTATCACTAACTCTCTTAGACATTATGGTCATGTTAACTACTTTATACTCGGGGCTTTACTGGATCATCTGTCATTGTAGACTTGGTCAGATTTTAAAGCAAACCTGACATATAGACAAATGGCAAAGAGCTATATTGAAATGTATTATGTTTACTGTAAATAAATAACATATCTACCTCCAAGTTAAAAGCTAAACTGTAATTTTTATTATTTATGTTGCCATTATTTGTTATGACAGCAGCACTCAAGCTGACATAACTCAACAAAACCTCATGTTCTCTCCAGCATGATTTGGGAGAGATCTAGAGCCTCTTGTGCTTCAGTAAAATCAAGAACATTTCACCATCTGTACAAAAGAGTTCACATGATCAGTGTAACAAATTTGTTTAATTGCAAATAATGCAAAATCCTAAATATTTATTCTTTGTTGTATTGCAAAATTTTTACATTCTGAAAACGATTAACTGTTCTGTTTATTTCCAGGTTTAAATGAAAAATAAATTCCACATTTTATCATTGTACTGAATTACTATATTCATTTCATGGCATTTACATGGCACTCCAGGTACCAAGATGTAAAAAAAAAAAAAATCAATATTGCCAATAGCTAGCCTACAATACAGTAAGCTCCTTTAAAATAGACACCTATGAAAGTAATTGTACATCAGACTGCTAATAATCTATCTACTGTATTGTTAGTGCCATCTAAAGTAGCACCGATACAAATGTAATGAACTAATATGGGTGAAATAGCTTCATGCCCACCTGTAGAACAGTTTTGGCGGTGTTGTTGGAGGCTACGGTGGTGCAGATGCTCTCTTCACCTACATAAATTTGCCCCATTGTCAAAAGCATCGGTGAGGCGAGAATGAGCGACGCGCACCAGAGCGCGCAGATGAGTCTCCTTGTGCGCCCGCGGGACATCCGACTCTTGGCTTTGAACGGGTGGCAGAGCGCCATGTAGCGTTCCACGCTCAGACTCACGATGTTGAACGCCGTCGCGTACGAGCAGCCGTCCCGCAGAAAGTAATAGCCCCTGCAGACCACCTCACCGAAAGCCCACGGATGGTGAACCCAGATGAAGTTGTACAGCTCCACCGGCATACACAGCACCAGAATGAGCAGATCCGACACCGCGAGACTGGCGAGGTGATAATGGACGGTCCCTTGGAGATGTTTGATGGATCTCCTCTGGAGGGATATGTAGAGGGTCATGGCGTTGCCGATTAAACCGACTGCAAACAGCACAGCGTAGATCAACGTCACGAGCACTTTGGAATAAATATCCGTGTTCACATCCAAATCATCCACCGGCGGGGAATCTGTGCTGTTGAGCGGTATGACCTGGGTTCGGTTGTCCAGAACATGATTAGTCCAAAGTTTTGTCATCAGATTCGTTTCATTTGATGTCATTTCTCAAACCTCTAACTGCTTGGCATAAAACACTGAATAATTGCGTCCGTTTTGAATGTGAAGCTGTGATGAGCATCTGTGCATCACTGCTTTATATGGAATGGGGGCGCGCTTGCTGACGTGTGAATAATAAAAAAACATGTTTATAATTGATCTACCTATTATGACACACAACGACATAACACACTTTTTTTTTTCTTTTTTTTTTTTTTTACTAATGTCAGTGCATATAACTAGAAATTTAACCAAATGGAATTTTAGTTCAATTCACAATAAGTGATTTTTACAAAATACTTTGAAACAAGGGACAACAAGAACAAAAAAGGTTTAAATGATAAAACAATAAATAAACTGTTCAAAATGAGGAGGAAAAATATTGTGACCATGCAGGGATAAAAATGTATTAGGGGTGAAAAATGTGACAAAGATAATAATATTAATAAAAATATATGTAATTTAATACAAGAATAATAATAATTTTATGATTACTACAATAATATTTTAATAATAATAATAATAAAAATTATTGTTATTATTTAAATATTCTGTTAAATTATAAAAATTAAACAAATCAGTAAAGATTAACGTAGTAATAATAAAAAAATAGTATTTAATTAGGCCTATTATAATAATTTCATTTTACAGAACAGTATAAAATTGATGGATGTTGCATTCAATGTTAAACCATAGAGCTCTATAGAGCTTTTAAAAGAAGACCTTAAAGCTTATTTTTCTTTGATGACAGATATAAAAATCTCATTAGCTGTGCCAATAAACATCAGTGCACAACTTTCCCATTATAGTGTGACAACATGCCTTGCTATAGGACGGGTCATCGTGTTAAACCAACTGTATAATTCTGAGTAATAATTATGGAAATTATCTAAAAAATAAAATTGTAGACAAGATTTTATAGAATGGTGTACAGAATTAGCCATATAAGCAAAAATATTGCTCAAAAAGTGTGACAACTATAGCTCCTGCAGAAATGTTGACAATAAAACACGTTCAGTGATTTGGTTACACAGTTACCCACTGATCTATGCATGGGGCATCTTGTCTAGCTGCCTCCTCCTGATCTATATAGTGTCATGTGGTTCTTTTGCATAGGGATATTGTTACTGCCAATAGGACTGCACCTCTGGCACTAAACCCCGTCTGAAACCGTACGCTTGACTAGACAAACCATGTGCTGATGGTGTAAAAGAGTTTCTTTGAGATTTGAATCAACGCAGCATTTTCACGTTCAAAACTGGGCTTAAATTATTTAACACCAGTGGTGTTGCTTTACTTCAGGGCTTGCCAAAGACAATTTCAGTTTCTCCTTAAACAACCACCCTATTCTGCTCTTTTTTCAGTTGCATTTCTACATTTATACTCAGCTGACAAATAAGTATTGTTTTTTATGCACTGAGCTTGTAGTATGATGACTACAGGCTGCAGACTTAAGCATGTACATCACACATAATAGTATTTTCAACTCAAATTTGACTAATTTAGAGGAATATTCCAGGTTCAAAACAAGTTTAGCTCAGCACTCGTGACATAATTTTGACTAGTCTGCATTGCTACTGGTATTGGTAGTTAAAAGAGATGGAACATCTCATAAAAGAAGATATTTTGAGAAATGTCTATAATGGAAGTCAATGGTCACCAAAATTGTTTGGTTACCAATGTTTCGCAGAAGAAAGTAAGTCATGTTCGGAACGAGAGTGAATAAATCAAAAAGTCAAGTCACCTATATTTCTATAGCGCTTTAAACAATACAGATGGTCTCAAAGCAGCTTTACAGGAATAAACAGGAAAATAATTATTTAATGATGTAAACAGAGTTCAAAATGGCTGTAAAGCAGCTCTAAAAATGTCATTGTTCAGCTGAGGTCAGTTCAGTGTTGGTTCAGTTCAGTTCAATAACTGTGTAAAGGTCTTTCATGGGTCCTCCCTCACCGCTGCATTCTCTCACTCACCCGCTCGTGTCAGTTCACATTATAAAGGACCTTCTCACCATTTCTCCATTGTCTGGCCTCGTATCTGATTCCTGGACTGATCCCCTACGGAAATAGTGGACTTACCTGTTTTGTATTGTTTGTTTTTATGAGAACTTTACTTACCTGTTCTGCTGCATCTGTGGATATCCTGTTTTAGTTTTCCTCAGACTTGTGTTCTTGTTAATCCTCATTTCTGGTTGGACTCTGTGTTTTTTTTTTCTTTTTTCATTTAACTCATTCGAGTTAGTGATCTTTGTTACAGATCATTGTTTGAATTACCTGTGTCTGAATCTTTATTTCATGCATACCCGATACCATCTCTCTCTCTCTTTGTGTCATCTATGTCTATCATCAATATGAAAAGAGTTCAATTCAGCTATAAATCAGCTCTGTAGAAAAGTGATGTCATCAATTTAATTAATATTGATAAAGACAGAGAACTTACGAGGGTTCCCTGACACGAGGTGATCATATTTGGGAGTCTGTGGATTAAAAACCCCTGCATTAGAGCAAAGACTGTTTAAATCTTAAAGGGGTCATATAATGGTACATGCACTTTTACAAGTTGATTGTACTGAAATGTGTGTTGGCAGTGCCTGTACACAACCATCATAAAATGATAAAAATCCATCCAGTGTTTTTGTTTTAATCTCCTTATGTTTTCCCCTGCCTCAAATTGAGCCGTTCGATTTTGTGACGTCACACGCTCGGAAAGCCCTCCCACGATTGTTGATTGACAGCATCGTTTCAACACAGACCCGCCCTCGCTCGTGACTCGTGAGCGAGCTGTCAATCATAGTCTGCGCGGACCGGCGCGGTCATTGTTGATATGCTGGAGCACTGTCTATGAGCAGAATGGCGTCTAAGCGATTGTGGTGTTCTGTTCTTGGGTGTGATAACGAACACAGCAGTCATTTAAATGTTCCTAAATCCGAACCGCTGAAGACGCAGTGGCTGAGTTTGTTTTCGAAGGGAATATTCCCCACGAGCAACGTCAATGCTTTCATGTTTGCGCGAATCATTTCTCACCAGACTGCTTTATAGACGAGGATCAGTATGAGCTGGTTTTGCTAAGAAGTGAGTGTAACGTTTTATTAAACTTTATATTAATATTTATATTAATCTTTGCAAATTGCTAGCTGCACGCTTCACAATGAATGAGTCTAAGGTTTTAGGGTACATTATGGCATGTTTTCTATGATGTTCTCAATATAATTCATAATCCCACGTTTATACTGAACAACGCCTTATGGTTATTGTGTTACAAACGGTGTACACACAGAACAGAGAGGCGGGGTGAGCAAAGCTCATTATCATTTAAAGTCATATGCACTGAAACGGCGTGCTGAAAACAGAGCTGTTTTTGAAGTAAAATAAGTGTTTTCTTACAATACTAATGAGAATTTTTAATTAAAGTATATTACAAACTTTTAATTTAGACCCTAAAGAATCATACTAGCTTGTACAAAAATGGCATTATATGACCCCTTTAAAGTATTATTTTATGACTCACTGAGCTCTGCATTGTTTATTCTGTTCATATCAGTGTTGCTGCATGAATTCATAGGGCTTAGTAGACAAAGAAGCATGTGAGGACAGATTGTTAGTCTTCAATGTGCTCAGCCGCCTTCAGCACAGCCCTTTTCTGCCTTCTCTAAAATTAATCTGGATTTCACACAGAAGAAACTCATTTGCAGCTGCAAAGATTCTTCTTTTGCTTGAAAATGTTATCTGTCTATAGTAATTGCATGGCAGATTGCATAAATGAAGGGGCTTTGTTGAGTGGAAAACCATCTTCAAAAAATCCTAACCAATGTTTTGGTGACATTGAATGGGGGGAAAACCCCCTACTGAGACATTTCTCAAAATATATTTTATGTTCCATGGATGAAATTATAGTTTTTATGACATAATTTTCATTTTGGGGTGAACTAGTTTTTTTTTGTGGCTAAATACAATTCATGAAAGACATGAATTGGTTGAGAGATAGCTAAGATACAGGAAAACATTTGAGGATTTTCTGCGGTTTGTCATGGGGGAAAAAAACGTTTTCACAAGTACAGCTGTATGCAATGCATGCATCAATGATTTTGTAAAGGTTATTTAGCTGAAGTAAACGTGTTATGACAAATCTGTCAGAAATTGTCAAGTGTAACAGAGAGCCATCATAATATATAATTGCATAATAAAGGATAAGAGATAGATAGATAGATAGATAGATAGATAGATAGATAGATAGATAGATAGATAGATAGATAGATAGATAGATAGATAGAATAACTGCATTTGATGCACAATAGTCAAGTCAAGTCACCTTCATATAGCGCTTTTTACAATACAGATTGTATCAAAGCGCTTCACAGTGATAACATGAAAACAATATAACAAAGTTTGTTTCTAAAAGAAATTGCGTCAACGTCCACCTTAAGTAAGGCAGATCAATAATATTATTGAATATTAAATGTTAAATGTCCCCAACTAAGCAAGCCAAAAGCCAAGGCAACAGTGGCAAGGAACCAAAACTCCATCAGGTGACAGAATGGAGAAAAAAACCTTGGGAGAAACCAGACTCAGTCGGGGGGCCAGTTCTCCTCTGGTCAACGAAGGAACAGTGCATGATTCGGGCAGCATTACAAGTCAGATTGGATCGGAACATTTAGAGTATTTTTTGGAAGTCCAAGAATGCACGCCGGTCTTAAGACGAGTTGTTGAGGATCAGTGCCGTCCACCATAGAGAGTCCATATCGCCCGTGTTGAGTCGTCACTTCATAGGCTTTGTGATTGGAGCATCTAAAGTCTCCGTGAGAGGCTGGATACAAACTGGAGCTGACGAACGCCATTTTCTCGGGACTCGCGTCCCGAGATAACAGCAGAAAAGCAAAGGGAAAATAATTAGCGTAGCTGCTGTTCATAATGATGATTTCCATAACACAGGCGTAAATGACAAAACATGAAGACAGTGACTCTTGAGTCCCAAAATCACCCCCCTCCGTCCCCCACTCAACTCAGCCCAGCTTGCTGACCTCTACGTCCCTCCTGCTGCTGAGACCTAACCACAATCTCACAATCTCTCCGACACCCAACCATACGCGCCAACCCGTT